TTAGTAATATCAATTCGATCTAACTATGATAGAATTGGCACAATGTACGACACCAGGCAGCAAAGTTTCCCAGGGGCTTACATATCATATAGCTTGCAGGATCTAAGCAGGAAGCTGAGACCAATTCCATATCACTCCTATACTATCATATGACGATTCAGAGCTTTTGATCCATATCCGCATCTGCCATTGGCTCAGGAGACAATGAGCTCATCGCTACCCCGTACTTGTTACAACTCATACCCAAGACTTTTCAGACACATGTGGATGAAATGTCATCGTTTTCTTCGCCAATCTTAAATAAATTAAATATCCAGGCACTTTCTCCACAAGTTGTGTTGTGGCTGATTCTCTGGCCGATTCCATGTTTCTCGGCCCTACACATGTGGGGCGATTCCCTGTTATCGGAGACTGACGCAACGATCGGCACGATGACTTCAGAGAGCGATCACCTATTAAACCCCGGACTTGTCGCACCCCAAGTAATCTAGACTCTGCTTATAGTGATTTTAATCTTTTTGAATTTTTTGCAACCGTCATTCATTCCCGTTGGTTCTCAACAATATGGCTACAGCTTATGCTTTGAAATACGATGTAGACCTTACGCAGATGCCCCTGTGCAGCGAGGACTCAATTTCCGGTAAGTTATTAATAGTACATGTATTTCAAGAAAAAAATTACCCCTTTCAGTATGCTGATGGAAGAAAGATGGCTCTTCAGTCCCAGAAACCTGCATAATGTGTTTAGAAGAGTTGGAAACTACGGATTCCTTTCGACAACTACCATGTGAACACCTGTTCCATCAACCGTGCATCGACGATTGGATTTGCAACAGAGATACGACCTGCCCTCTTTGCAGACAGACATTCTATGATTTGCGACAACTTCGACAAAAAGAAGAACCTCCGACACGATCTGTCAATAATAGAAGGCAGAGCCAAGGACAAACCAGACGAATCAGCTCGTTCAAAGGCTGGTGCAAGAAGAAGTTGAATGGATCGAGCGAAGCATTGCCCACTGTTTCCGCCCGTCAATAATTGAAAATATTTCTCTGTATATAGTACTTAGAGGTACCATGTGATATGAAGTTACGACCGTTACGATTATATGAAAGTGGAACTTGAATTTGAGAGATCCCGAACGATAAAGTGTATTCGATAATGTACTGGACGATGTTTCAAAACTAGCGATCCGAAAGAAACGACAAATATTTCTCCATGAGTCCTCGATCAAGAACTGGGAAATGGAGGTTCTTCCCTAGCGTAGCCAGCATGCGACCTGTGTTCGTGGAGTCATATAATGGCATGTTCTCGTAGAGCTCCCATCTTGTCAGACCACGGTGGGCCCTTTCAGCTAGCATAGGCTGGAGCGGTTGCAGCCTCGCTGGACAATTATCCAACAGGGCATCGACCCAGTCTTGATATGGGATACCTTTGATTGGTTGTTGTGATGTGAGGCTTGCAAGATCCATTGCCTCGTTCATATCAATCGATACATCGCGACTTGGTGGAACAATATGGTAAGCGTGGCCGAGTGAAGTAGACGCTGCAGATGAAGCGATATGCAAAATAATCGCATTGACATAGTCTACAGGGACAAACTCTTTTCGTTGATTCGGAAGAAGCGGATAGCAGCCGATTTGAACGCAAGACTGGATCAGGCGACTGAAAAAGTCATCTGGGTTGCATGCTCCAGTCTGACTATGGCCTGTGATAAAGCCAGGGCGGTAGATGGCAATAGGAAAATTGCGGTCCATGAGACGTCTCAGTAACCCTTCAGCAACCCATTGAGATTGGGCATACCCATGGTCGAATGGAAGTGCTTCGACATGCTTGAGGAGAGGCTCATCCTCAGCTATCACCTTGGTCCCAGTTACAAATCCAGTAGGACCGAAGCAAGATATGCTGGAAACATAATGGACCGCCTTGGTGCGACCTCCTGCACAAGCCAGTCGTACAATATTTCTCGTGCCGATCACATTCGCTGGCCGATGGAGGGAGTATGGCTGAGTGTAATTAACCTTGGCACCGAGGTGAAAAATCACGCTCGCCCAGTTGGCAATTTCGTGAAATCTTTCATAGCCGAGTCCGAGGTAAATATCCTCCAAGGATCCGCAAAGTACCAGTAATTTATCGGAGAAGCGTTCCTCCCACTGGCCATATTTTCCCATGGCGTGTTTGATGCGCTCAAGGCCTGCCTCGGTACTCGCCGCCCGCACTAGACACCCCACTTGATGTACTTCATGTGCGCGAAGAAGATCGGCCAAAAGAAACGCCCCGACAAAGCCAGTGCCACCGGTAAAGAAGACGCGTCCTTCTGTATCCCGACGCCAATCAATGACCCGCCCTGAGGGAGGAGCAAGGTCATCGCCAATATGTGTATCCTGGACCCATATTTCGCGTTCATTACGAACAGTTTCTGATACACGATCATGCGATTTTTCAATGATTGATGCAAGATCAGCCAACTTCGAATGATCGTAAAGAGTCAACAGCGAAATATTCGCACCAATATATCTTCGGATCTGGCTTATCAGAAGCGATGCTTGGAGGGATGTGGCACCCAGTTGAAAGAAATCTGTAGCGGCATCATCCGGCAAAGACGGGAGCCCAAGTATGCTGACCCAAAGACCTGCCAGTCTCTGTTGAGTGTTGCCAGTGTCCACATTCTTGCTTTGAACCTCTGGTTTTGTCCATCGCTCACGATACAACATCACAAGGCGTTTGCGGTCAACCTTTGCATGGCTATTGAGTGGCATCTTTGGGATCAACTCGATTTGAGGCACCATATAATCTGGCAGAATAGACTTGAGGGAGTCAATCGCATGTACCACTGCATGTGGTTTGGCTGAAATTGGCACGGCAAAGGCGACTAGAAGAGAGCCCGCGCCACCATTGGCTTCAACCTTCAGTGCGACTGCCTCGGAGAATTGTTCTGTCCGCAACATTGCAGTTTCGACAGCCTCGAGCTCAACTCGATATCCACGAACCTTGACCTGATGATCCTGACGTCCCACATAGTCGATCTGTCCATCAGGACGTCTCTTCACTCTATCGCCAGTACGATAGAATCGTTGGTCTTCGCCCTCTGCCTGAAAGCGAGCGAATGCCCTTTCATTCTTTTTAGGATCGTTCACATATCCAGGAGATACGCCAGCTCCGCCGATCCACAATTCGCCTTCTTCTCCATCCTGAACTGGTGTTCCAGACTCATCGCAAATATAAGCAATGGTTTTACCGATCGGTTTACCGATGCTGACAAGTCCGTTTTTCAGGTCCTCTGGAACAATTCGGTGGGCAAGGCAAAATATGCAGCACTCCGTAGGGCCGTATGCATTTATTAGCTGCTGTGGCGGACCGTGCCGAAAAATCGTTTTGATCGCGGCCACGTTCGCAGCTTCTCCACCAATGAAGCATATTTTGAGTTGCGCAAATGCCCGTGGATAGGTCGATGCAGCTAGGTTCAACAGTGCGGTTGTCGTTGCCATGACCGAGATCCCCTTCTCCGAAATGGCGGCAGCCATCGCTGGAAGATCCAGAAGCACAACCTTGCTCAAAACAGCTATCCGAGACCCACGCAATAGAGGTACCCATATGTCAAAAAGGGAAACATCAAAGCTTGTATTATTGACATGGGCAACTGTGTCGGTCGGGCCAACGGGCTCGAAGGGTGCATGATAGACAACCTGCAGAATTGAACGAGCAGCAATCTGAACTGCTTTAGGTTCACTTGTGGTTCCAGATGTGTGAATCAGATGCGTCCGATGGTCCAGAGTTGTGAGAACTGGGATTTCACTCCTCACTGACGAAGAGCCTTTGGTCGTCAAGATTGAATGATCGTTTATATTGAGTCGTACAAAGGAAAGCTCTCGGTCCATGTTTTGCTCGTCGACTAACGCATATCGAGCCCCGAGCTTTGCTAGTCGACTTTCAATTTGCGCATCCGGTAGTGTCGGATCCATAGGTGAGCAGCTACCCCCGGCATAGATGACGGCTATCTGGGCCACTATGTCTGTCACGCCATGCTGCACAATGACACCAACGGGCTCCTCAATCTCTAAGCCCTGGGCTCTAAGTTTGTGAGCAACTTGTAGAGCTTGACAGTGTAGCTGATGATACGTGAGGGTCGTTGAGTCATCAAAAACCGCCACAGAAGTCGGCGATTGTCTCGCTTGGGCTTCGAAAATCTGGCCGAGACCATGGCCTTGAGTTACGACCAGGTCATACTCCTCCCTATAGGTCAGTTTCTCAGACGGCATTGATATAAAGTTGAAATGGGTTGGTCAATTCAATGATAGAAGGCGTGATGCAGTGGAGATGTTCTGAAGTATTGAATTTGTATCTTGATATGCTCAATTCGGACCAGGACAGCTGCCAAAAATTCCCCTTGTCTGCTAAAGTTTGATCTCCACAGCCTACGGGGCAGTAAATCAGCTCAAATCACAAATTTGAGACCCAGCCAGCCAGGAACTGCTGTCTTGTGCAGATGAAAGCTGTTCCTACCGATAATAGGAACGCGACGCAGCTTTCGAGTAGCTGAATGGTTCCTAGAAGTACTGGCGTTCAGCCAGCCAGCCTAAATATCATGCACCGCGCTGTCAGACAGAGAGCTCCACTAGGATGATTTAGAGGGGTTTTTTTACTGGTGGGGGTTACCGACATGCTTGGGTTGCCTAGAGGCGTGTGCATGTGGATGTTATCACAGTTCGAACCATCCAGGGCTAGACAAGAAAAGCACAATAAACTTCAAGTTTCCACAAATCTATGCAGATCTCATTAAAGAATTAAATTACCAATTCGGTGTGAATACAAGAGACGTGACATCTCAAAGTAGTCTTTTATGCGAGAGTGACGTAAAATAAGCTAGCGTTGTCGTGAACCGTAGAAACCTATCCCCGAGAAGTTCTTTTTGCTAGATGGGCAAGCTGCATTACGAGATTCAGCTGCTCATAATAGAATAGTCTAGCTATCTTGCGTGTCGATCCCGTTCGTCTTTCATCATTAGCCTTTATTGCCGAACCGAGCTGCGAACCAGTCCTTAAGGGAAGCCAGGGCGTGTTTATCCTCTGGATATCCTAATGCAATTGCTGTTGCCTTCTTCAATTTCTGAGCCGTCTCACGTTCGGTTGGACTTCCAAAATACATCCCCCCCGTAATCTGCGTAAACCCGAACATGAGCTTAACATCTTCCAGTTCATGGATGCCATGTGTGTCAAATTCCTCCCACGATGGGAGTATGGGAACCCATCTTGCTTCACGGCATGTTGCCTCTTGGAAATCTGCTACAGCCTCAGGGAAGCTGCGGATATCGCTAAGGACATGAATGAAGTGGCCGTTCCAGGATTCCGGATCTAGGAATGCACCATGCACGATATCACCGAAATCATCTGAGATGCTTATCCAGGGCACATCTTCCTTGCCACCCCAGAATGGAGTGCGAAAGAACAGACAGCCAGAATCATTAGGGAAAAAAGGAAACCCTCCAAATATTGGGGCAGCTTCTTTGCTCAAGAAGTTTTCTAAAAACCAGGCTGCTCCGAGAGGAATCACAGACTTGAAGACATCAAGATCTTTAATGTATTGCTCGATCTTGTATTTCACTGGAAATGGTTTAGTCATTCAACTATCAGCACAAGATGCGTAATTTAGAACCTACTGTCCATAGCTTTCATAGAAACCTTCCCGTTGGTCATCTCGGTGCATGAAGGGCCCGAGCTGAACACAATGTGCTGTACTCCCGCTTCCGCCGCAGCATCCACAATGATTTTACCCATGTCAAACTCGGAAGGACCATCTTGGTTTGCGAATATCTAAAATTTTCATGATTGATCAGTGTGACTTCTTCCTTTTTTTAATACATAATCTGGCTAGACACGGACCTTATCGTCAGAATTGATATTCAAGAAGATACCCCAAGTATCCTGGAATGCGGTTTTCATCTGATCAAGATTGAAACCATTTGCTTGAACCATCTCTACTCCAAGAGCCTTGAGCGCATTGCTAGACTCTGACTCGAGATTTCGGGTGATTCCCCGGACATTAAATGCCTTGTTCTTCACCAATGAACGGGCGACCGACCCTCCTTGGTTACCAGTAACACCGAAAATAGTGATGAGTTTGGGATCCATATTGGCTTATCGTTTGGTAAACAGATAAAATAAAGGTTGGAAGTTATTTGGAAAATGACCCTGTGGTGACGAAAATCTAAGCTCGACCTTTCATTCTCCAAGCCATCTCAATTTGAATGGCGTGGTCGGCTTCTTTTGCCTTACCCAGGTAGCTACAAAGAACCCCATAAAATCCACAATTATGCTGGAAATTGATTCTCGCCGCGGAGTGTGACAATGTAATACCAACTTGCAGTTCTAATTATGATTGCACAAATATGGACTAGTGCGAAGTCGGCTATGATCGCCGACTTGCCCGATGACCACGGATTAATATTTGGTAGTCACCATCAGTAACAGCTACATTTCAAGGTTGCTGTCAAAAAGCCTTGACTAATACTTAAAGCCCGCATTTCATACGTATCTCCGGTTCGTCGTAGTTGAACTCTAAATCTAGTTCAGCTGTCACATACCGAAGTGCATATGTACATCCCGCCCACCTAGTACGGAGTACAGGCTCCCAGCATGCGCATGCAGCCAGCCACAGCCCACGAAACGCCACCAACTGCTCGCTCAAAATTTCCGAAATTTAGCTCCCATTGTTTGCTAGCAGCTAACCACTCTCCAAGAGCTAAGACACCATCCTGCATTCACAATGGCCCTTATCTATGCCCCCACTCGTGAAGCTCGTGCGTCGCGGATCCGTAGGTTCAGCGGAACATGGCCTTGCCAAACCCCGTATTCCTTTAGTTCGTGCGGATCAATGTTGTCAGACTGCGCCTCAAAGTCAAAATTCCAGAGCAAACGAGCAACTATCAATCGCATGTTCAAGTACGACAAACTAGAGCGGAAATGTGATTAGCAAACGTCGCTTGCATAGTGCCTGTTCATTCGACACATCTTACTTCATTCCGATGCACTTTCTCGGACCAATTGAGAAAGGTGCCCAAATCTGACGGTTGTCTGAGGCAAACTCGGGATCACCTAGCCATCTCTCCGGAATGAACTCTTTCGCGCGCTGCCAGTATCTTGGCGATCTGTATGCTGCGAGGAGGGCTACTGAAACCCATGTCTATATGCGAGTAGCGGAGGTCAGCTGGATTCGATGTCGTGTCAATGTGGAGATAAAATTAGTAAAAAGTTACTGACCCCTCCAGGGACCCATTGGCCATCAATGTAGCTGCCAGCCTTGGGGGTGATGCGATGAAATCCCACAGGAACAGAGGGGTGAATACGAAAGGTTTCCTGGATGACAGCTTTCAGATACTTCAGGTTACCAATAGCATTGAAAGTAATCTCATTTTCGTGTGTGAAACTAGAGCGAATCTCTGCCACGAGTTTCTGGTAGCTATGAGGGTTGTGGGTTAAGTAGTAGAACAGCGACGAAAGAGTTGTGGCTGTTGTCTCAGTGCCGGCAGTTGAGAGAATGTTAATATTGTCGACCATCTCATCCTCCGACATCCCTTTCAAAATGTAGGAAGCAAAATCTGCTTGAGAACCGGTGTCTGAGCCGGTGTCTGCTTTCTCACGTGCTCGTACATACTTCCGGACGTTTTCCATGTGTCTCTCGGAAGGATCACTGATTTCTCCGGGGATCAACATCTCGAGTAATCTGTGGTAGGGCTTGAGTCGGTGAGCGCATTGAATGAAGTGGGCGTGCTTCATAGTTCTGAATATGACATCTGTCCATTCATGATAATCTGCCAATTCCAGACAACCGACAGGTTTCCCCGAATGAAAGTGCGCTCAAGATGTCGAAGACGAGAAAGTTGCACCAAGCACCAATATTCGCTACCCCAGCTGCATTTGGATAATATGCTTTGCCGGATCTATTATAGCGAAGCTTGTTCATCATGACGCTGGTCAACTGTTGAATTGTCGGTTCTTGTTCTTTGATCGCCTGATCGGAGAACGCTGGAGCCATGAGCTTCTTGATCCGGGGATGTTCGCGGGTGTTGGCAAACAAAAGATTTTCCGCCATCCCCGATGCCTGAATATAAACAGCTGGGTTCTTTTCGAAAGTAGCTTCTTCCGTGGGTTTGTTTCCAAATATTGTTTTGTTGGCCGACACCGTCAAATAGGAGATTTCGTTGGGGCCGACTCGAACAACCTCGCCATACTTCTCATGAAGTCTTGCGAGATGCTTGCAGCTGTCTCCTTTCACCATATAATAGACATAAACAAGCTGTGTCGCTGCATCGAGTTTGGGACCGGGGTATTCTCGGAGAGGATGGAAGAAGAGATTGTACACTGCAAAGCCCGCGTGGAGAACGATCCACTGTTTCTCAGGTTAGTCGAGTATGGGACGAAAAATGAATTCTGGGGTGATACCGCTCCAGTGAGAAGAAAGACTCCTTCAAAAATCTCCATTTCAATTGCCGAGTTTCGTGTTTTGAAAAAAAAATAAAATTAAAAAATCGTGGTGATGCTACAGATTTTGCTAAACTGGCAGTATGCGATGGTTTCTGTCCGTGTACCTTAACATAGGAATTTACAAGGCTTCACCGCGATACCGGCGATTGCCCCCCCAATCCTTTGACAGGAAATCTCGGACTAGTCCATTTAGAATGTTGCTGCTGGGGAGCTGAATTGCCACTCAGCTGCCCCAGCTGCCCCCTCATTCCCGCAGTTCATCAAGGAAATCACCTGCAGGCGATTGGTCGCCCTACCCGCAATGGGTGGGGAAGTGTGGGTTTCACGAGTTTGTGAATTATTGATGCCTACAGCCTTTGTCCCGCGCTTTATTTGGCACCAACTTTGCTATGACGTTGTTTGGCTAAATCTCATTTAGACTCTCATTTACTAGAGACTCCCCCTTTTCCAACTTCCCCTAGGAGAAGACTTTCATCAAACCCCAACCATGAGCCGTCTGATCGATAAAGAACCACCATACGAGCCCGAGACCCCCTTGAGGCTGGTTGTCGCAGGGCTTTCGCGCACTGGAACAGCGTGTAAGTTCTCTTCCGGTCATCCGGTACCTGATTGACTGACTCTCTAGCTTTGTATCTGGCCCTGCAAGAACTCGGGTACACTCCATGGCACATGTGTGAACCGATTGACAACCCAAGTCGCATGTACAATCAATGGACCGAAGCTATGAAGTGCAGATTCTTTGGAAATGGCCGCCCATATGATCGACAGGATTTCGACAAGCTACGAGGGCCATACGATGCGCTACTGGACATCCCGGCATGTCTCTTTTGGGACGAGTTCCAAGAGCTGTACCCAGAGGCCAAAGTTATTCTCACAACGCGATCTGCAGAGTCATGGTTCAAGTCCATCCATAACACAATAATTCCTTGGCTGGAGAAACCTCTTCTCAACATCCTTCAGCACTTCGATAACAAAAGATTGGGACCTGAAATGCGTATGGTCAAAATGGCCTACAAAGTGATCTGCAAGAACAATTACCACAGCCATCGAACTATGGAGCGCTTTACACAGCACAACGATCGGGTTCGAAAGGGGGTTGCACCCGAAAGGTTTCTCGAAATGCGACTGGGTGATGGATGGGAGCCACTATGCACGTTCCTCGGTGTGCCTGTGCCCGAAAAGCCATATCCCAGGGTCAATAACACGAACGAGTTCAACCAGGGGGCGGGGGAGGCAGATACTGCAATGTTGATCGCACTAATCAGGCCGTGGCTGGCTGTGATAGTTCCTGTTGTTTTGGCTACCTTGTGGTTCTTACTCCTGGGGCGATAGGCTGTCTGCAAGTCTTGGGATAGTAGCCCCTGTCAAATAATATGAAAGGTTTTCCACACGGGTAATTCGAAGCGAGCTCCATCTGTCGTAGAATAACTATTGTTTAACTTCCGCTAGTGCATAGTTCATGCGGGCTGTCAAGTCGGGGTGCATAGGCGCCTACGCATGGAGGACGGAGAACACGAGTTTGAGATAGGGGTCTCAGCTGGTCAGCTTTGAAATTGAGCTCGCTGCATGCAATGCGTGGCACCTCTTCTGCATTTCATACAGCCAGCCACCATTTGAGTAAGCACCTAGAACCAAACCGGCGCCTCAGCTCATCCCATGAGGGGTTATTACATCGACCAGACTAATGCAAGATTGTGATACTCCTCTTGTGTCGATGGCTCGAGGCTCCTTGGATCGCCTGTGCTGCATATGTACAGTTTGATAGGGGCACTCCCCCCTTTCCAATGATCATTATCTTTCTCTACATCCTGGTAAATCATTCCATATCTTTGGCAGTTACGAGACAGTTTCCAGATCCTCTAGAAAAGTCCGATCATGACTCTCACATTCGAAGAACAATCGAGCGATCTTTACAGCTCACCTTATTTAGTCGATTACTACGACTTAGTCGCTCCTAACTCACGCTCGGTCGATGATGCATCTTTTTATTGGGAAGTTTACCAAAAGCTTTTCGCTCTTCGATCGCCTACTCCCGAAGATCCCTTCGTCATCTTGGACGTTGGGACGGGAACAGGCCGCGTCCTCCACGGCCTCGAATCAAACGCCATCAATTCAGAATGTGAATTTGTCAACACTGAGATAGTAGGTGTTGACAATGCCCAGCACATGTTGGATAAAGCCAAAGTGATCACGACAGGAATTTTGAAAAATTGTGTCAGCTGGGTCCATGGATCTGCTCTCAATTTGAGAGAAGTCATGGACGCACGCAAACACAAGAAAGTCGATCTTTTGATATTCTCAATCGGCTCCATCAGTCATCTTTATGAGTCTGGCCAGCCAGAGGAATTCCTAAACCAGACTTCCAAGGTCCTTCGCCCTAGAACTGGACGAGCCTATGTATCAATTTACGATGGCTCTCTGCTCAACCCCAATAAGAAGATTGCATTCCATCAACCTCAGGGTGTCAGCGAATTGAAGAGTGCCGTGTTTGCCTCGATAGTTTATAGAGAATCAAATCACAGAGGAGAGCTGGAAAGAAACGTTAAGTTCCTCAAGTTCGAGCTGGAAGTCGTGGATAGCGACAACCAGTCCGTCGTGGAGACGAATCATATTTCAATGAAGATGCGGCAATGGTTAGACGATGAGCTCATCCTTCTCTCTTCGGAGACTGATGCATGCTTTGTTGAAAGTGTCAGAGGGGCCCATGAGACGTTTTATGTGTTTAAGGCGATTGAGACTGGAAGTGAATAATTTTAAACAGACACTAGTAGAAAGTCTCAATGTTTTCTTCCCTGCCAACTTGAAATTGCAAATACTCTAGCAATTGCTTCTTCGATGCTGAATAATTCTATACGAGCGAGGGGCTATTTTAGCGGAATCTATTAAAGCTGCAAAGCCCCCTTTTTATCGGTCACATCGCTTCCAGATCTGTCACCATTTCTCTACTTCGATCGAACTTGTACCTTGACTCTTCTACATTTTCTATTCACCCGGGACTTACTTATCTTTCAGCTCTCTTTGAATCTCCTTACTGTGTGTTACTCTTTACATATACTCGAAAATGGGATGCTTCATCAGGGTGCGATCATCGGGCGCTTTTGTTCTTGTCGCAATGTGCTGCTCAATCTTCACCGATACCTTTCTTTACGGCATGGTAAAAACCTGCGCCTGAGTAATGCTGATCAACATAGAACCCGAGCTAATAACCAGCAGATTGTTCCCATATTGCCATACCTGCTCATAAACACCAAAATAACCTCGAGAGACTCAAGTACAACCTCCCTCTACAATTTGATGACAGAATCTTACGCATATTTTCCGAACCACAGTTCAACAATGGACATCAATTTTGCTTGCATCATACGGCGCTGCATTGTTAATCGGCTCTCGTAAGTAACATGAAGCAAGCACAGAGACAAATTAACCATCAGCAGCACTGGTCGGTCTACTAAGTGATCGGATCCAATCCCGAAAATACCCTCTACTTGTAGGCTACATTGCAATTGCCATATCGACCTTCTTCTTTCTCTTCGGAAGATCACCGGCCATCATTGTTATCGCCCGGGTTTTCCAGGGGTTATCTGGTGCTATCGTGGGTGTTCTGAGCTTCGCGATTGTTGCAGACACTGCCAGTCCTGAAAAGAGAGGGCAGTATATGGCATTTTTATCTGCTTCATTTACCTGGGGAATGATCATGGGCCCTGTTCTCGGAGGACTTTTGTATGTTCTATGGTCTATAATACAATTGCATCTGGCGCTGAAAACCGATATCATCTAGGTTTGATAACTTTGGCATCTACGGGGCTTTTGTGGTCCCAATCTCATTGCTTGTCTGTGACATCATTCTCAGATCTTTAATGATTGAAAAGAGTGAGAAACCTCTTCGGTATCCACGATTCTCGCATTCGGACATCTAATGTTAAAACTTGTAGGAAATCACGACTCAGAAGTGTGCGGACAAGACCAGGCCGAAGAAGCTCCCTTGCTGTCCACACAAGGCTCCACGGGGAACGAATTGCATCTTCGCAATTTTGTTGATACCCGCTTCATCGCAGCCATAGTTACTGAAACCACGATTTCATCCATTCTTTCCGCATTCGAGAGTGTATGTTCGCAAATTGGTGAAATTGATAGCAATTTTGCTAATCTCCAAGCCACAGACCCTCCCACTATTCACAATGGAAACATATGACTGGTCTTCAACAAATTCCGGGCTATTGTTTCTAGGGATATCTCTCCCCAGCCTTCTTAGCATTCCAATGGCCAAATATTGCCGGAGCTGGGATCGCCGAAGAACGGTCGCCATTGAGCTTATTCTAGCCTTTTTCCCACTCTCTGCACTGCGTCTGGTTGAAATGCCATCTTCGAGTCACCAGGTTAGTTTTGTTGCTTTCGTGACCTGCGTCGGGTTGTTCATGACCACCTCGCAAGCACAAGTCATGGCGGAGGTGTCGGATGCCGTGCGGCAGATTGAGGCGAAGGAAGGGATCGATAGTCGTAAGAAGAGTGGAATGGGTACTGGTTACGCGTTTTGCAATGTTGCTATTGCTCTTGGGCAATTCCTGGGTCCTATTGTTGCCGGCTATGCGAGATTGGGGCTGGGATGGGGAGGTATGACACTAATCTTGGGTGGTATCTCTGGATTTGTTGGTCTCGTATCTTTGTTTGTCAACGTGTGAAGTCAACGTGTGAATTTCCAGTAGAACTGATCTAGAGCATGAAGATAATACTGTTCGTTTTCCCTGGTGTCCTGGAAACAATTCAGAGTTGAGAGAGTGAAAAGTGAAAAGTGTTGATCCGCGGGGGGGACTTGGCAACCCCGTGACGCCTTGAACTCCGCACTCCGCACTCCGCAATCGACACTTCAAGACCTCAACAACCAACATCGCCGACCATGTACGACTCGAATCGTAGGTTTCCACCATACCCCTTTGCCTATCTATCATTTTATTGACAACTACCAGGCCCGCACCCCCTCCTGGCCCAAGTGCCACTAACAGTATCGCCTTTCATCAACCTCCCCACTTCCGTCACCTTGCCATACACCTACAAATCCGTGGCCTCAACCCTGCCACCTTCCGTCACTGTCGATCCCTTAAATCCGGATTCCAAGGCACGCTATGTCTTATCCTCCAACGGCGAGCATGCCGCCCATCCAGACGATATCCTTACCGCTTGCCAATCTCTCGAGCAACACTTGAAGAAGACCCGTGATGATTCCAAGGCAGCACTCAAAGCCTGGGAAGACTCAATCCAGCAGCGGGAGCTGGCGGAGAAGCGCCGCGTTGCACCTGGGTGGCTAGACCGCGATGAGAAAATACTTCAACCCAGCCGGACAGGGGCATCGCCGGAAGCCAAGGGGGAGAGTCTGCTAGACAGCTCTTCGGGTGATCAGGGATCGTCCATGCCTTCTATGCAACCCCGCAATGAAGGAGAGGAGCTGGACAGGGCATTTGGGGCTCTGGGCATGAAATGAACTTGCGACACTAGATGCCGCTTGGACACAATGCTGATTGCGCTTTCGATTCCACCTTAGGGTTGATGATGGAATTGCATGCGCCTACGATTGCGAGAAAATGAGCACTCCGCCACAAATTGCCCGAAACAAGACACTGCACTATCAGACATGCGCTCTCGTGTGCATTGCAGCGGGACAGATTGGGATTTTTCCTATATCACGTCAAAATCGTTGTTTCCGTCCCACAACTCCCTTCTTTTGGACCAACACCAGAGCCATCTGAGCACGAGGCTGCGCATTCTTTCTTCTGGGGGAATGCTTCCAGAAAATGCGCCTAGCCAAGGAAGTGAGGTGCAGATGGGAAAATGAAGTTTACCTCGATAATCACCAAGTCTTTTATGCCCAAAATTGATTGCCTAAACTACAAGGCACCGAAGATTTTACTATAACTATGGTTTTCAGAGCTTTGTAGTTTAGGCATCTCAATTTTGGGCAACGAAGACTTAGTGGGAGTCGCCTTCTCTCTCATCCCAAATATAGGACGTCTCATGCGCTCTTCCTGGAGGAGACGAGTTGTTTGAAAAAGTCATTCTCCCTCACCCAGGATGTCTTGACTCGCATTTCCAATAATTCACAGCATCTCTTACCCAAGCACCTTCAGGGTGTGGACATATTGGACCTGATGCAGTCACGATGAAGGATGGGCACTGGACAGACTACTTTCAACACCAAACAAACATCGACTCTCCATTCAGCTTATGCTGTGGAGGCTCCCATATCTCCTGAGACACGACCGTACACTCCAGCAAGGACTGAGTGAAGGATGCAGGACATTGCTCTATCGAAGCGCCTCAAAACGGTGATGCGTTGGACCCGAAATTCCCAAGTCGGAAATCAAGGACGGTCTCGGATTTTCGAACTGCTGTTACTGCACCTGTTACTTGTCTCCCTGGTGCTCAGATTGTAGCGATGTGGATGTGAAGGACTGTCTATTGGCGACTCCGTTGCTTTTTTCTTTCTTCGGTTGTCGTTTCTATGATTAGGATAGTACTTAATTATTTACATACCTAGGTATCCATGTGACGCACTGGATAAGTTTAGAAAGTTTATTCTTGTTTCTCTCTTGGTTCTTCTATTTCACTTTTTATAATTCATACAATGAGCCGTCCAATCACTCAGTTCTCCGCCACTTAGTCTCATCATCATCCTCACCGTCTTCCCCATCCTGCTCCCCATTCTCATTCTCCCGGGAATGCACATTTCCAGCCCCAGGCCCAAGCGGGAGAGACGGCGGCTCACCCCCAGCAATCCAATTACCCTCCTCATCAAAGAACTGATCCATATTCTCCGCCGTAATCCACCCAGAGCTCCCATCAACAGGAGGTGGCAACCCCCCCATTCTCAGAGCCGGTCATTCCCTCCCCAAGCTGGAAAAACGAAGGCTCCGCACCATCGGCTGTGAAAAACTTCGCCCCCTCGTCCTCGTCCTCGTCGCCCGGCTCAACGGGGTCGGGGTGTAGGTTCGAGCAAGCAGACACGGCATTGTACAGTGTTTGAATGGGGCTTTCCTCAGGCTCATCGGAGAGTTCATCGGAGGCTGTGCTCGTTGTCGCGTCGGAGGGCAGCACAACTGTCATTGTAATGCATTCTTCTTCGTCGTCTTCGCCGGAGGGAGCGCTCGGTGTCGCAATCTGCATGTAAAGTCCTTGAACCTCGGCATCGGAGGCGCCCGGTACGCGCAGGCGCTGGATAGCGTGGAGGGAGATGGAAGGGTAGGGGATTGAGACGCCTGTTGAGGCGGAGGACGAGAAGAGAAGGAATTTACTGCGAGGCGGGTTAGCTCAGAACATATACTTGGGATGTAAAGGGAATAGTAGAGACTTTGCGGCGAATGCGCCGGTCCTTTACTGAATGCGCGCTTGGTATCTGCAGAGCAGAAAGAGAGAACTTACTCGGAGGTCACCCAGGTCTCGACGTTGTCAATGGCAACCTCTTTCTCCTGCTCATTCTCCTCGGTTGCGGTTGATCCATTTGTGGCTACTTCGCCGCGTAGGGCGTTCAGTGTAGGGGTGGCGACGAGGTCGCGCTCGAGAATCACGACCTTGCAACTCTGGCTGTGGTAGTGTAGCACTGTCGGACCATCGTGGAACGAGGCCGGTGTGCGCGACTGGTGTTCGGCGATAGGGACGAAGGATGATGTATCGGGGGCTGTACGGAGAACCTCCATCTTTGGCGATTGGAGAAGCTTGACGAACTCAGATGCTGGGAGGGGAAGGGAAGATGAGGTGAGGCGAGGTGAGATGAGTTGTGCCGGTTGAAAAAAACGAAGTTCCAAGGTTGAAAGCTGGTTGCGGCAGGACAGCTTCGGGCGGAGTGCAAGCTTCAACAGCTGAACAGCTCAGTTACCCGAGAGAAGTGCGAGGGATAACCAGATAAGCTCCATAGTTTTATGATTGATTCATTCAAACTGTATTTACTAAGTTCCAATGGTTACCCCCTTACATTTTCAAATTCAAGTTCAACTTCAACTTGAACTTGAGTCGACTGAGGCAATCATTACCTACCTACCTAGGTAGATAGGTATGATACTGCCAGTGATCCTCCAAGTTGTGCTAATATATATTTCAAGTTGTAACTAGTGAGGTCTAGCACCTAGCACCTGGGCATCACCTGACAGCCTGAGCCCTCCTGGCTGGACTGTCCAGGTGAACTACTACCTACCTACCTAGGTAGGTAGGTAGCAGTAGGAAGTTTTAGTTTAATCCATGATGATTTATATTAGAATACGCCGAGTAGGTAAATATTAGAGTATCATAGAGATGATTATCGATAATTACTACTACCTAGACCGTGGATATCAAAACAAGCGTTTCACATCAGGGTAAAAAAAATAAGAGTGTAAATGCTCCGGGAGAAGAGAAGAAAGAAAGAGAAAGAAAAGGTATAAGGCTTTTGAACAACAATCCCCACCAAAAGAAGACAACCCAATGCACCCAGAATAAAAAAGAACGAAAACTTCAATGTAACTACTCCCTGAAGAATCCATCACCATCGTACAGGCTGGCTGGAGTCCCTCCAATCCCCAATCCAAGAGCCTTACCGGTAGGTGTTGTCAAGCCTCGTCGAGTAGAGGTAGGCGTCGGCGGCATACGTTGGCTACCATTGCGCGGAGGAGAATTCTCGCCTCGAGAGATGGATCGGGGGATATGGTTGCCGTGACTGTGTTTCTGCGATGGCGAAGTCTCTGCGTAACTATAAAGACCGGGTAAATGCGCAGCGGGAGGCTTGGGCGGTGATGCACTACGATTGGCATCTTCCCAGATCGTGACACGGTCTCGCACAGTATTACTTCTTCCCCTCTTTGTATGAACTGGGGATGAAGGACTGGTGAGTGCGCCGATTCCGTTCGCTATAGAGCCGTGGAGATCGCGTGACCGCCGGGACGAGCCATCGGCAGCGTCGGTGTTTGTTCGGAACAGGGTATCGGTAGATTTGCGCCAATCACTTCCTTGGGTTCCTGTGATGAGAGGAAGACCAGTAGGCGAGCCGACTCCCATGAGTGGCTTCACTGGCTTTTGTTGGATGTGTGCTGAGTTGCGGCGGGATGGTTTGCCCGGCTGAGTACGTGGACCCTTGACCGCGGTTCTCCTTGGACTGCCAGTCCCAGGAGAGTCATCGTGTGTCGGCGAAGGCACTTCGGGTATGGTCCAGACCGCCGTGGTTCTATCCGGTGAAGGCGTATGAGACAAGTTGAGCCCGGTGGACGGTGACAGAGCAGTAAAAAGCTCGGGCAAGTTATGTGTCTTATCGTATGGGATAGACCGAGCTTCCTTGCTATTGGGGGCATTCTTTTTCTTTTTGGATGGGGTGATATTTTGTAGAGACTGTGGTTCTTCAGCAAGAGGCCCAAGGGTGCTAGCAGCCGGCTTGGTTCGCCGGCTACCACGTTTGGATATTGGTATGGGGGAGATGTTGGTTGACAAGACTGGCGGCGGCTTGGAAGGTCCATTGATGGTACTTTCGCGCAAGTCAACTTCTTCCATCGCATCAAGATCTTCTGGCTCTTCTTCAAGTGTGGGGGAAAATGTTGATCCACCAAAAGTCATAGGTGGATGGATCGAGATACGAACACAGTTTTGTCGTCGATGGCCTTTGCCCTTGCGTTGCGAGTTGCCACCCTTCAAGGCAGATGGCAAAGCACCTCGCTGAGATAGACTGGATCTTTGTACGGGGCTAGGAGGCATCGAGCTAGTTGCGGTGCCAGGCGATCCCATAGAAAAGAGCGTACCGTTGGAATGCGGCGAGCCACCATAGAAAGGGTCGTTCTCACGCTGCTCATCATAGATATTTGATCGTTGGAATTGGCTGAAATGAGGTACATAGGCCATTTGAGACGGAGGTGATCGCCAGCTGGGAGTGTTGGGGTTCTGGAAACTGCCCATAGATATCGGTGTTCCACTGCGGAATGATGAATGCCTCGTGGGTATATTATTAGACGATACTGAATCGCTCCGATGAGGAGGTCCATCAAATCGATCACTTCCATTGCTAGGATTCCTAGAAGCCGTCGTCATGCTCCTGCGAGGCTCCATGGGCTCCATTGACGATCTTCGACGAGTCTCTGCCGTTGAAGACGAACGAATGGGGGGATTGTGCAACGGTGGCATACCCTGACCGGTGTTTGCGGCGATGAAGCTCCTGCGTCCATTCTTTACCCCAACGTCGTTCGCACTGAACGGAACGAAGGTGCCACCTGATGGGAAGATGGGAGAAGTGAGTTCAGTATCGGCGGATCGGAAACCGAATCTGCCATCGTCTAGAATGGAGCTGTTGCAGGTATCCAAGCTCATAGAAGATAGTCTCATAACGGAGTCATTCCTCGCATAGCTGAGTCTGTCCGGTGGCCAGGCAGCCGGTGGGGGAGGGGGAGGGATATCGTCTGGGATAGCGCCAGCTCTTTGGCTTGCAATGCTACCTCCTCGGAGCCGTTGCGGAGACTCTTCGTAGATTCGTGGAGACGGATCGAACATATCTTGCGAGTTACGGTTTTCCAACAGGGGAAACATGGTAGACCGGTCCCTCTGGATAGGTAAAGGCCATCCAGGAGACACAGGTCGCATGCCGAGAATGAACCCTTCTTCTTCCTCTTTGTTCATCTCGGGTGTTTGGTTCGGAGTTCGCTCTGCTGCCAACTCGAGAACCCCCCTCGATAGCCGAAAGTGGAACATCTTCTCTGGATATCGACGGCCGATGAGGACTAGGCATTTGAATCTCGCTCACTGTGGCCATTGAACTTAGACGCTTGTGCGAGGACCTGGAAAGGCGTTTGGATTGGGATCGCCTGAGGGAATTTCGAAGTGATCGGGCTTTGTCGGCCAGTGGAAATGACGAGTCTGAGTTATTCTTGGGCTGAAGTAGAGTCTCTCGAGATGCGAGTTGACCCCATTCTGTCGGTTTGCCATAGGGTAACTGGCCGTGTGCTCGGAGTGCCGTACCCTCCTCGTGCGAAAGTGATGTTAAGGTATTCCCTGTGAAGGTCTGAAGGCTACGGGAAAACTCCCCTTCCTTAAGGCCTAGGACTCTCAACGCATGACGCTCCTTTCTAAAGCGAACCCAGACGACTATCGAAACGACTGCGAAGACGACGAAAATAGCCGCGCCTGAAGCGGCGATGGCAACAACACCGCTCAAGCTCACCATAGCCGTCTAGCTGGCCAGCAACCCGCAAAGTGTTTCCAAACCAGAGTGCGCGAAATCCGCGAGGCAAGGCTGGTGCAATATTTCATTCGTTGAGTAGTTTGGCTTGTTTTCGTGCGTCTGAGGCCGTCCTAGTGAGATTGATTGACTTGGTTCACAGGTGGGCTCGGAAAAAGCAGCAGGACTGCGAACCATCCAAGATCAAGGGGAAAACAAGCTTGGAGAACTGAGAAGGCAAAACGCAAAAGGACCTCGCTGACATTCTCTCTGGGGGATGCTTTGTTGTTATGAGAGCATTGATCGATATGCCGAAGAATGTGGCCGCATCACCCTCAGCACCATGAAGAATGCTGGCGGCCACACCCTCCGCCACCCTTTCTGCGAAAGGTCATGACACTTGGAGCTTAAAGGGGACGTCAGTGATTCAAGCAAACTGTAAATTGTCTTCCGTTAGTTGATCACTGTTAGTTGGAATGGAGGTTGGCTTATTTGGCATGGTATGAGGTGACTGTCAACAAGTACTGCAGTTGGTTTTAGTATGATAGTAGTGGAGATGGCCAGTATTTATTTAATATTGTTGATATAAACATTATACCACCAGAGCTCATATCCAGTGATAAGGTTCTGAATCTTTCCCAAGGTTAAGGTCAAGTCATTGGCGTATTCGGTTCCGAGGAGTGTGAGAGAGCGAGGAGGTCGCACATCCGGCGGAGAGAAAAAAGTGGAGGTTTCCAACTTCCGCCGGCTTAAACAACAACAACAACTCCACTTCACTCCTCCACTGTGTTCACTCATCCCCACGGAACACCATTTCACTAATCATGCCTCCAATACCCTAAGATGTGACCTGCCAGTCAAAGTCTAGAGTTTAAGGCTCTCGCAGTCGCCCTTCGGACTCCCAGCGGGTCAAATGCGGTATCTTGACGAATTATCACCCCGGCACAGCATGGCTGGAATCCCGAGTCGGCCTCGGCTGCGAACCCCATGGAACAGCAATCCACCTCCGAGAGGGATCCGCTCTGGGGTGAGAGACGTCCGATGCTTCCCCCGAAACCGTTCATCCATAGTCCCAGATTTGCCAATTTAACCACCCTCGCGTCTTGTTGACAGCAACAAAGGTGGCTCTGCGCTTTGGGAGAGCTCTTCAAATGCGAAAACGCCCAGGAAGCTATATAACATCCACCGAGCCGTTGACAGCATGCTGGCCAGCCCGATGGAGCTCCATGCTGTCCCCCCCCACACGCGATTCAATGCCCCTCCAAAGGTACTCCATCCCACTTCGACAATATGGCGACCCGCTCTGCTCTCCGTTCTGGAACGCATAGCGTCATTCTCCGTCCATAGCATCCCGTGGCCGCCACTCCCAACGTAGTGGACCATCGGAGCTCCCCCGGCCAACGCACTGTACACCGTCTGAGCGTGTTGAGTGGGGGTATGCTGGAAAGTCTCTCCCCGGAGCTCTATTTAAGTGATCTTCTTTCGCCCGTCCCTGCGGGTATTTTTTTTCCCTAGACATATCAACCCCAGAAACCTCGCCATTTCACCGTCGCAATGGCTGCCGCCCCCATCAACAAGCAGGGACTCTTCGTCCATGACAACACAGTTGCCCCAGAGCACCCCAGTCTGATGAGCATGTTCTCCCTGAAGGGGAAAACTGCCATTGTCTCGGGTGCCGGTGCCGGTATTGGTCTCTCCGTGGCCCAGGGTTTGGCCGAAGCTGGCGCCAACATTGCTATGTGGTATAACAGCAACCCCAAGTGCGAGGAGCGCGCTGCCGAGATTGCCCAGAAATACGGTGTCCAGGGTAAGTCGCGGATCTCTTACATTGTATTTGAAAACTAAGCTAACGGCTGATCCGCTTGCCATAGCCAAGGCCTATAAGGTCCAAGTCACCAATGCGAAGGAGGTCGAGGAGGCCGTCAACACAGTTGTCAAGGATTTCAATGGCCGCTTGGATGTTTTCATTGCCAACGCTGGTATTCCATGGACTCAGGGCCCCATGGTGGACGGCTCCCTTGAACATTACCGCGATGTTAACGGCGTTGACCTCGACGGCACTTTCTACTGTGCTCGCGCCGCCGCCGCTCACTGGCGCCGACAGAAGGAGGAGGGCACTGACGCCAATGGCAACAAGTTGACTAACTTCACCTACGGAAGCTTTGTTGCTACCGCTTCGATGAGCGGCCACATTGTCAACTTCCCCCAATTGCAGTCTGCCTACAATGCTGCCAAATCTGGCGTGATCCACCTTTGTACGTTATCGGAGATCTTGATCTACACTTCCAGCCCTGCTAACAAGTTCTATAGGCAAGTCTCTTTCTGTCGAGTGGGTTCGCTTCGCTCGCGCGAACACAGTCTCTCCGGGATACATCGCTACTGAAATTTCCAGCTTTGTGGAAGAGGACACCAAGAAGATCTGGCGCGACAAGATCCCCATGGGTCGCGAGGGTGAGTCCCACGAGTTGAAGGGCGCATACCTCTACCTTGCCTCCGACGCATCCAGCTACACTACTGGTGCGGATTTGATCGTTGATGGAGGATACTGCGCTCCATAAAGTAGTGCAGGCCGGTGCGAAAAGAAATATATTTTGGCGATGGGTTTATAGCATGACGAATCTTTATGATAGCAGAACAATATAACGAACGAATCCAACTTTGGAAGCATCTCCATCTACGCTATATCCAAGCGCACTAACTATAGAGTTACCGAATTGATGGGAGGGAGGATCATAGCCAAGGGCTGTACATGCAAACAGGAATAGCCATTTGTTCGTTGAGATAGTGTACATTAAAGTCCTAGAGGTCACGACATCCACTACTGGTACTTGAGCGCAGCATGACCCCGTTGGGATATCCGTCAACAGACGCTGCATTCCATCGTCACCAATCACCAAGTATCGTCGTCCCAGTCAGAATCCATTAACCATCGAACGTAGTTATCAACCAGAATGTCGACCCATCCATCTCCATTTTCCCAGTCCAACCGATTGTACCCGTCGTCGTCTCCGAAAGAAGATCCAGTCGGTGTATCAGATGGGGTGAGAAGCCCATAGCGCAGCTCTATTTCAGTGGCCATGGCTGCGTGAGGGACGGCAAACCATTGTTGGGAGATGTGGTCCTTGGCTGTGGTGTAGCACTGATGAATAAATTGGAGGCATTTGGTTGCGAGGCTCTCACATGCTCGGCGGTTCAGTAGGAGGATGAATATCAGGGACGCAGTGAGGCAGATAGTTGGAAAAAGGAGAGGTGCCCCAGCTGGGGCACTCTTGGCTTCAGAAACTGGCATGCCGTTCGGGCTGTAGGTATAAAATATGATCAGACTCGTTGTTGCGGGGATGTGGCAGCAATGAAGTTGTTGAGGTCTTGTTGTAGCCTGGTGTTTGGTGGTGGTTGTTCACCAGCGGGAACGTCTTCATGTTTCTGACTTCATGTTGATTCAAAATTCACTGGCAGCTATTTACTTTGGTTTTCTTATAATTTTCTAACTGTTTGCAAGGTAGTTCCCGCAATATTGTGAGTATACTATAGGAACCCCTATTATGAATCTCCAAAAATAAGCTTGCCCCCAGTGAACTAAGATCTGGCTTATACATCTAGTACTAGTATGTATAAAAGCATCCTAGGATGTGGAAACTGCCGGTTATCGGAAATGCTGAAACTCTGCATATACTTTGGTACTAGAACTTGAAATATGTACAAAGATTTGCGCGTCTTTATCTTGATCTACAAAATACATAAATCTTCCGACTTTACTAGTTGCCTGTAGTAGTGGGTACAGGAGTAGTATCAACATCAGTTGCACTACTAACTGCTAGTGGATGGGGTACGCCAATTTCCCCATCTTAGGGCCTGTTCAGTAACTCGTTATATTCTGGCATCAGCAGGAAAGGCCATGGGTCAACTTCATCTGCAAGGAGTGAATGTCATGAAATCCAAGCTAATAGATTACAGAAGTGAGGTCTGTAGGGGCAAGCAGCAAGCAGGTTATCAGAACTCCGAACAATTAATGACCAAGTCTTCTGAGGGGTTTATCCATGATTAAAATGATGAGTGATGATCCCGCTGGTCGCAAGGGGGAAGTATGTTATCAATGGCGGGGCTACATCAAGTTAACCTGCTCCGCGCCATGCGACCGCCAGTTCACCCCTCATCTACGGAGCACAGGGATGCGGTCAAGATCCCATATATAGACATGAGGGACCAAGCTACTCGTGAGCTCGAATGAAACCTAGTGACCCCATCACGCCCCCCCCCGGTGTAATCCACCGCATCGGCGGACTTCGGGACAGATGACCAGCCGCGCTCAGATCCGGGAATGTCATTTGACGCATTTGGCGCGGACCTCCTCAAGAGGCCCCGAAGAGGTTCCCAAGCTAAGATAATTCTTATAAGCAAGCCATCTCCGAAATCGAGTTCACCCCGAAAGTCGTTGACCTCATTGTATTCGCGGAAATTCCAGTGGTCCTTTGTTCCCCGAGAAAGTTGCGGCAGCGGCACAAAGAAAGGCAGAACCTTGGGAGATCCATCCTACTTTGGAATTCGAATCTAGACTTTGTGACTCTTTGTCCATCTCTCATCACAACCATCGCTTGCTCCGATACATCTCCCCGATAAAATTTCACCCTCCGGGACTACAGTGTATAATAACCCAGAAAATGCTCATTTTGATGCTTTCAAAACGACTCAAATTCGGCATCACTTGAAAATTATCAACTGAGGGTTTGGAAATTCTTTTCTTCATAACAAAACTACTATCGCGCCCTCAGTAGGATTCGACATCATCGAATTCCACAAATCTCTCGAAATGTCTGGCGATTCGGGTAGACAGACATACAATGCCTCGGATATCAAGAAAATGGAAAAGGCATGGGACGAAGCTACGGAAACAGACCTGGTACGAATTCAGATTGCAATTAATTTCCATTTGAGCTAGTACGCTAATTATATTGCCCATAGTTTGAAGCACTGGAAGAAGCCCTCGGTTGCACAAAATGTCAAATCACCATCACAGACGCAATCATGAAGGGAGATATCAGTGATGGTGTCTACAACGCTAGCCATTACCCACCATTCTTTGTGAACCAACGTACCAGAGATGATAATATCTCACCCCACGACACTGAAACAAAGCACCAAGACCCAACGTGGTGGCGTCGCATCTCTGTTTCACAGCGTGAGCGCTACTACCTCCTAGTCGAGGACAATCTAAATCGGGCTCTTGAAGAGACAAAGGACGCCGACCCAGAGGCCGCTGTTCTATTTGCCCACTACCAAGTTGACTATCACATCCGTCAGCACCACTTTGCTCGACGGGGCGTACTAAACCTTTGCCGAGATTCAAATGATTTACATGAGCTTCGTTCGTGGCAATGGGATATGGCTGCGATTGACAGAATCACCTCCGGAAAGGAAATCGAAATCACAGATGAAGACGAAGGATGGCTCCCAGCAGAACGAATGTGGGGGTGGCCAACTGATCGTAACTTGGAGAAGACCCATCAGGTTATTTTATGGAAACGAGCCTGGCCGGCGCGTCGGAAGCACCTCAAGGCTGTGCGGGCCAAGTGGGCCATCATCATGGAAGAACGACGGAAGCAAAGAGAGATGCTTTTGCTCAAACAAGGGGCAACTGTTACTGTCCGGCTTTATTGTCGCGGGGAACTGTGGGACGTGAGGAAGCTTCATAGGGAGGTAGAGAGTGGGACCGGTATTCAAATGGAAAGAGCCACACAGAGCTTGGGATTCTAAATGAAAGCATGGATTGGCGTATAGGGGGAGCATGAAAGGGGCATCTGGTATCGTGCGGGCCATGATTTTTACGGGTTATTTTGCATCGGGCTTTCAACTCCATTCTGTTCTGTGTTCATATTCTGCGTAACCGCAGCATACACTTTCTGTCGTCTTGTCGGAAATATTACCATCGGGTTATTGAATACATCGATATCCAATTTCATAATATTTTACTCTGGCGGGCTGGCTCCACCATGCAGGCATAGGTGGTACCTTATTCCCAAGGTTGACTGCACCCCACATTCAAACGAAGCTATGCTGAACAGGAATTGATAACAGCTTCAACTTCAAATTGAGCATATAGTGTATATTAGCATTAGTTAGAGCTGTGATAGTATTTTTCGTTGCCTGGCGACTACGGCTTGACTGCTAAGCCTCCACAATAGAATCTCAAACTTCCCGAAAGAATCCTCGGAAAGCTATGAGACAAAACAATGTGACTCTTCGATAGCAGGAGACGGGAGTTACATCATTGTTTGTTGTACAATTCGAGGCTGTTTCGGGGCGTGGATTAAGATCGCCCGTTTTGTACTAGTAGTATAGTTAGTTAGTGGTAGTGGCGTCCCGACCCCCGACCCTCCGACCCTCCGGTACTCTTTATGCGAAAGCGGAGGGCGGGATGGTCGATTGGAACACCAGTAGATGGTATCAGTAGGAAATAGTAAGTTCCAAGCCCTTGAAGTTTCAAGTTGGTACTACCAGTAGTTAGTAGTTCTAGTAACGACTGCCAAGGTAAGGTTGGATTCGACTTTGAACATATAAAGACCTGAAAGGCGCATGGACCATACTAGTACTATGGCAAAAACTCGGGTTGCTCCGACCGAGTCCTATTAAAACACTCGAAGCTGGGCCTTTACCTCAAAATGCATCGTTGGATCATACTACTGGTTCTTTTTTGCACGGTACTGACCGTCGCTGTCCCACTTACCGTGGCAGTAGATGATGGCGCTGACTCCATCAACAACGACAACGGCAAGTTGTGGGGAGAGAACAGTTGCGATAAGAAGAAACTTCGAAAACGTTAATGAGTATGGGCCGCTATTTTCTATTTTCTGGGATCGATTTTTATGCTCTGCTTATTACTACACTTGGAAGCCCTTGTAGTAGACAAGATATTGCGGAGATTCTTGTCTGTATTACTCATAGGGACTCGGATATATGCTGATCACTCCCTCCGACAGAAATACCGGAAGGAGTATCGCTGCGGTCATTGAAGGCATCTTGCTAAGTCAAAAAGTTGATCATGAAGTTTTGTCATCTTGAAAAGGGATATTAATGGCCGGGGCAGCGATCTAGAAATGATGTCGGGGGGGATGAGGTCGAATACCACGTCGAAGCCACATGTCTGTCTAAATCACATGGAATCGACCGTTTATTACTCTTTAATTTTGATTGAATTAACTTGTTTTTTTTTTCTCTTCGTAGGAAATAGTTCCAAAGGTGTCCACACGATAATATCATACAGGGTACAAGTGTAGGGCAGTCAGGTGCCTATCTGCCCCTTCCACTTCCATTTCCACTTTCCCCTCAACTTCTTTAATGAATTCCCACCATTGCTCTATCGACACCCAGGGCAGTACTGGTAAGAATGTTTTGAATACTGGTTGTGCGATCTTTCTGGCAGTTCTGAATGGCCATTGCAAAATTACTCCGCAAGGATCACCTTGGGCTGCGCAAAATTACCGTGACAGTGTGGAGTCTGCCCTCGCACGATCCCACCCCGCGATTTCAACCGCATGACCCGCGGGGAAAGCGCAGAAAGCTCTCATATTCATGCAGGTTTCACGTTCAAGGGCGTACATTCTTCAATGCAAGTTCCCAGCCCAGAGCCCGAGATCGTCCTACAGGCTTACTCTATCCGACGCAAATTCCAGCCATTACCGACAACCCCACCAACCACCCCCTCAATCCCTGGAGGAGGATCGTGCCCGTGAAAATCCGGGAGAGCTGGAAAAGAATAACGGGGGAGGAAATTCCGTCCTAATGCGGACTGACGGGCTACCGTGCTCCGGGACGCACAACGGGGAAAACAGAGATACCAAGTCCGCGAAGCCTTGAGGCAACCAGGATTGTCCGTCGAACCAGGCACCGATCTCCCGCGCCCGAGGCGGTTGTGGCTGGCCCGTAGTAATGGCGCTCCGATTTGCTCCAAGGGATCGGACAACAGTACCTTTACATGTTGATCAACTTGGTGGTGGTGAATTCTTCTCAGAGACATCCAATAGTGTCCCCTTTTGAAACAGCCCCAAAAGCCCCTCAATCTCAACGGGGAATCCTACAGCCGCATCGCGTGCATTTGGGTCGCCCGATTCGCTGACCGTGGACGGGATGCTCCGATTATTTGGGACAGATATCCGCCAATGAGGAGGATGGCTTTGCGTGACTAATATTACTGGACGCATTTCGTCACAGTCTTGAAGACCTGAAGAGCTGACCGCCACTGGGCAGAACTTGACTTCAAGTTTTCAAGTCCAGTGTGCAGATCCGAAGATCGCTGACGTGGGGGGGGGCAGTTGAAGGAGGGGGAAAAATTGGAAATGCTAGTGACGGGAAAGAAAGAGTCTGCATACGCATCAGACTACTCAGATCCTCCTTCTTTCATAGGATGGATGACCAGCAGAAACCATTGGAAATAAACCGAGGCGCGCGCAGGACAATCATTACTCCCAACGTGCCCACCCGACTAGTTCTCGAGACTAGTCGCCTCAGACGAACGTCGCACGGTGCGATCTCCTGACAAGTGCAGCGGGCTGAAGCAGATGAGGAAAAGGATCCCATGTCTCATTCCAAAATCCGTGTGTGCCTTTACCTCGTATACGATGATGGAGGTATCCCGCAAACATCATTCTTATTCCAAAGCAGAACCAAGCCGGGAAGCCGTCAGTGACGTAAGGGTGGCCGACCCAGAAGGGTTTTGCTCCCGACCGCACCGGCCCGTGAATTGATGAAAAATGAGGCCGACTTGATGGGATTCAATGCACTGTGACTTATATATCTGTAGTCTGCAGTGTGTAGTCTGTACTCCGTACTGATACAGTACTTCCCGTGGATATATCCCTTAGATGTAAATCGACGATCTCCTCATGACGTCCTCCCAACTTCGGTCTGAGTCTCCCCTCGTTTGAGGGAGAGAACATCCACTCGACCCACCATCGTCCACTCCCGTATGGCAGAGAAAGTGGGTAGCAACCTTGGGTGGAAACATTTGGGAATTTACATAACCTCGCTCCTCAATCCGGTTCGCTCCCCTTCCTTCTTTCTTCCCTTTTCATCCCCCCACCCTTTCTCCCCTCATTCAACTCACCAACTACCCTTCTTTCACCTTACTAGTATTGACCTCGACCAAACCATTCAGTCAACTGCCCGCCAACATGTCGAAAACCCAGGTTCTGTTGGTCGGGGCCGCGGGTGAAACCGGAGGTTCCATCGCAAATGGTCTCCTCGACGATGGTCGCTTTGTATGTTTTCCAGCTGCAGCGGTGGTTACGTGTTTGTCGTCTCTCGGGAATCTCAACTAATCATTGCCACTTGATTGTTTCCAGGATGTTATCGCTCTGGTCCGACCGGCCTCCATTCACAAGCCCGCCATCCAACGACTGTCGGATAAGGGTATTCAGATCCGCAAGTGTGACTTGAAGGCCCCCGAGGAGCATCTGATTGAGGCCCTGTCCGAAATCGACGTTGTCATCAGCTGCGTTGGCCCCGCCGAGCAGCAGGATCAGATCCCGCTGGCCAAGGCGGCGAAGAAGGCTGGCGTCAAGCGCTTCATTCCGTGTGGTTTCATTACCGTTGCACCTCCCGGTGGTGTGATGTGGTTGCGCGACGAGGTAAGAAAGAGCCCCTCCCCCAAACCAAGGAAAAGTGGAGGAGATGGGGAGAGGAAAATTCCCGCGCCGCGTGGTGCAATGTCGTACTGGAGCTGACCATCCGCGTGTTTCCCATTTACAGAAAGAGATTGTCTACAACCAGATCCGCCAGCTGTGGCTCCCGTACACCATTGTCGATGTGGGCTGGTGGTACCAGCTCTCATACCCTCGTCTTCCTTCCGGCCGTGTCGACTATGCTATGACCTCTGGCAACGACGAGATCATTGGAGATGGAAACATGCCCACTGCGCTCACCGACTTGCGGGACATCGGTCGCTATATGGCAATGATCATTTCCGACCCCCGCACCATCAACAAGAAGATTCTCGCCTATAACCTGGTTTCCACACAAAACCAGATTTACCAACTGATGGAGGAATTGGCCGAGGAGAAGGTCGATCGGAACTATGTATGTCCCTGGCACCCCCATTGCACTGATCCTTCTTCCACCCGATTGCCACTGGCTAACACAGCGTTTTTCCCCATCACACAGGTCCCCGAAGAGACTATCTGCAGCCGAGTTGTTGCCGCTCGTCAAGCCAGTGAAACGTACCCCTTCGACCCTATCAAGTTCATCCCTCGCTACCTCGCTGAATACCAATACTCATGGGGTATCCGGGGTGACAACAACCCCGAGTACGCCAAGTACCTGGGCTACCATCTCACCACCGAGTTATACCCAGAGTTCAAGCCCACCGATTTCCGCGAGTACCTCGAGTCCGTCATCCGGGGAACCGCCAAGGGCGTTTACACCGACCGTGTGATTTCTCGAAAGCACCAGCGACACTTCCCCCGTACCGAGTCGAGTGACTCTCTGTACACTCGCATTTTCCCGCGGACAGAGTCCAGCGAATCCCTCATGTCGCGATGATTTGATGCATCTAATTCACGCATTTCCTTTCCTTTTCTTTTCTTTTTCCTTCCTGGGGGAGGCAGGCAATATCGCATCCGTCCTCCACTCCATCTTTCAATCGGTAGTTCTCAATCCTGAGGATCTATTCACGATACCATCTCCTCATCATGTCCCTGTTATCCACCTCCACTAAATCGAATCCGACCCGGGTCTCAAGTGGAGGATTCCCCTGCTGGTTCAATTGGGGCGTCTTGCTTCTAAGGGCGTTTGCGACTTCTTGGGCTTTGCAACATGGGACCTTGTGCCATAGGCTGCCAAAATGCGTCTCACGGACCTCTCATGACGATAGGGTTGCTGGCATCCAACCTGACCTTGCGTGTTTCTCTTTACTTTTCATCTCTGTTATATATGAGTTATATTTTTTTTGGTCCCCTCCACGGAGGCGATTTTTGTTTTACCTTTTGCATATAGAGGAAATTATATCCATGACAGGCTCTGATCAGTTCTATTTCTCTTTCCCTGTACGTGTGGTAACTGGAGTAACTAAATGGGACGAGGCGCACCTTCCTTAGGAGCACCAACCTCAAGGCTTACCTGAACCTCCAGGGCTCCCACTGTCTTGTCTTCCTCATCAACACCGCCTTGACCCGAGAAGTAACATTGGACCTTTGCGAATGGAGACCATTGAGCTTTCGCGACGGCTTCGTTCTTCCAATGATGACAATGAAGACACTGGAGATCTTCAACATCCGCCCAATACACCCATTCGGTCAGCTCTCGATGCTGCTCGCCAGCAAAGAGTGGCAATTGGATTTGCTGATATCTATGGCTCTTTGACTTCTAGGCAGCTCAGTGTCATCAGTCCGTCACTTTGTCATCTGGACGACTGAAATGAACCTTGAACTAATTCAGCATACAGCGATCGGGTCCGCCATTGGGACAGGACTGATGGTGACAAGCGGGCTGGCCATGTCGATGTAAGATTTTCCATTCTTGGAACTTTGGACCTGGCTGACACAATCTAGGAGTGGCGTGAGGACTTCCAAATCATGTACACTTGATTGATCAATGCCGTCGCTGACAATCCTCCAGCCACCCGCGCTTTTGATATCGTACTCGGTTGTTGGTTTTACGGTCTATCTGGTCCTCTCTGCGCTGGGCGAGGTTGCTGCGTGGCTACCAGACCCATACACCGTCGCTGATCAAGCCGTTCGCTTCTGTGACCCAGCCTTGGGCTTCAGTCTTGGGTGGATGTAAGTACTGTCAAGCGAACACCTCTTCCTTCACAATTCTGGAGCCATCTGACCTCATCGGTTTTACTTCCGTAGATATTGGCTGAAGTATGCTATCATCACCCCAAATCAGCTGGTCGCAGCGTCTTTGGTGATATCCTTTTGGGTCGATACAGACTTTGTGAATCCGGGAGTCTGGATTACCATCTTCCTTGTCACCATCATCATCCTCAACTCTGTGCATCATCAGATACCCAGCCAGGTTGAATTCTACGTCTCGTCTTTTAAATTGGTCGTTATGGCTGCTCTCATGATCTTATCCTTCGTCATTGCCCTCGGCGGAGGTCCAGACCGCGATATTCGGGGCTTCCGGTACTTTCGAGAATCGGATGACCTCGAAGACGATGGCAGCAGAGGTGCTCTTGGAAGGTTTTTCTTGGCTTGCGGAACAATGTCGCCGGCAGCGTTTGCTTATGTCGGCAGTGAGAGATCGGGCATCGTGGCACGAGCTCCCAATACCAAAAAGGCCATCTCCCGCTCGATCAACCATACCTTCTATCGCCTTCTCGTCTTTCACCTTCTCGGCATTACTCTTGTTGGTATGATGGAACCTCGGAAATTCGTGTCTGCAGCATGGATTGAGAGCCTGAGCCTTGAATATTCTCGCAAGGCGAAAAATCCGGCTGCATCCCCATTTGTTGCTGCTTTGTGTCTTGCACATATAGCTGTCGCGCCTCATCTTTTGAACGCCTGCATTTTGATCTTCGTTCTGTCAATAGCGAACTACGACTTATTCCTCGCCACTAGAGCATTGTGCGATCTCTCAGTGAAGCGTCGCGCGCCGAAGTTTCTATCGCACACCAACAGGAAGGGGGTACCATTCTACGCACTCGCCATTTGTGCTTCGCTGACGACAATAGCCTACGTGAATGTAGGGCGCGACTCGTCCCGGATATTCAGTTACTTCGTTAAAATGGTCACCATGCTTGGGCTTCTCACTTGGATGTCGATACTTGTCACTCATATCTCATTTGTTCGGGCTCGAAAGGCACAAGGGATCTCTGACTCCGTTTTGGTATTTAGAGCCTCCTTTGGTATCTCAGGTAGCTGGCTTGGAATTCTACTCTGTCTCTTCATATCGTCAACCATGATCTTCAACTCCATCGACATCAGACAGGGCAAGGCGACATTTGACTATCGTTCCTTTGTGGCAGCATACATTGCTGTTCCTTTTTATCTCATACTCTATGTTGGATACAAGCTCGCTGTCAAGAGCAAGCATATCAGCGCTACGGAAGCTGATCTCTGGTCTGGGAAGAGCGATATTCAGCCGGGGGAATTGTCAACCACTTGAATATTAATTTTAGAACTATGCGTAGTAGAAAACCTCTCCGAAATTCTCCGCATGGAGCTTGCGAAATGTCTGCCGCTGTCCCGCTATTCTCCCTCACGATCATCGTGGCTCATTGAAGTAGTATCAAACCCAGGGCTTATTGACATCATGGCTTAATGATCCAGAATTGATTTACTACTATTCACATATATCTTATCATGGGAGCCATGGAAACCATTGAATTGGGTTGCCGTGCTGATCGTATACGCTATACAAATTAGTTCGAGGCCTTCGCAAAATACGAATAGAGCTAGGTATGTACTAGGTTAACTCACCTCCCATGTTACGGTATATCAGCCAATCACCAACACTCACCTCGCAATAGAAGGACGTCTCTCGTACCACCCGATCAATACTGTCACAAGTCGGCCCCCATATGGAATATTTGTAAACGTCTCCCTCTTCTTCCCGGTGTCCTTCAAAATCACCCAGAAAGGGCCTTGGGCTATGCCGGCCTCCAGCCAATCTCGGGACCATAACCTCCTTTTCCATGATGACATTCATAAAATTTCCATAAATACCATCATTCTGATACAGCATATCCGGAATCCCAGCCGCAGCCGCACTCGTCATCTGTCTTCGTTTGGAAATCACTCGACACGCAAGCGTATACGCGCCGCGTGCGTAGAACCTACCCGGCTCAGCGATAATCGTGATACCAGACGAGAAGCCAGAACCAATCGCATTCCGAATGGAACTAGTAATCCTTTCAAAACTGTTATCTTCAAATCCTCCCCCTATATCGAGAACAGTAGGGCGAAGACCTAGTTGCTGGGCTTGCAAAAACGCATACCGAGCGTCTTTGATGGCTTGGCAGAATGAGCTTGGATTACTAGATCCAGTTCCTATACGCAACGAGCATATTAAACACATGAAAGAGAGGGAGTAGGAAATTGATTGGTAACCCTACCAACATGAAAGCTGACTCCAACCAAGTGAAGCCCCAGCTCCTTCACCCGAGAAAGAAGTATCCTGACTGTATCGAGATGTGCGCCATATTTCTCCCCGAGGGGAACGAGGGCACTGTCGTCGTTCGCATATATACGGAGAAGGAGCTGTGCCTCCGGCATATGCGCCTTGATCGAGTCCAACTCATCTATATTATCGAAGGTCGTGCGCAGGATGCCTGCTTTCTGCGCAAAGACGAGTGATGATTGGGACTTACAGGGATTCGCGAAGAGAATCCTGTTTGAGTGCACGCCTCGATCGAGGACGCTGCGCATTTCCTCTATCGAGGCGCAGTCGAATCCCGTATTCAGGCCGGCGAGATACTTTAAGAGGGGTGGGTCGGAGTTGCATTTAACAGCTGAGAAATGATGTGAGGATTAACCTTTCCGAGATCTCTCTCCACTGATTCGAGATTGTAAGCTTACCATAGTAGGGCTGGACATCCGGTAAATTTCTCTTCCAGCGCTGATGCTGCCTGCTGACCTCTCCTAGATCTACAACGAAGAATGATTCATCACCACTGATAGCGCCATGCTTCTCCGCATGGGCGATGCGGGTGTCAATTGCAAGATCAACCAGCTGTTCCGGGGAAAGTTGCCGATATTCCCGAGGGGAGCCATTCTGCCTGGGGGTGATGGTTTCAGTCTGTGTGGGAAGGAACTCCATGCTGGCAGTGAAGATACGACCTATTATTGCCGAGTAGAATCGAAGATCTCGTAGGTATTCATACATCGACAGAATGAAAGGGACATTGGTGGCTTCAATTTTGAATTGCCGACAAAATGCTTCAGACCGAAGGATCAGAGTTCAGTTGATTGCTGATTATAGTCGTCCTTAATAGTCTGCAAGGAAGAATGATATAGAAATTTGGATGCGTAAACTATTCGCTGTGACTATTTCAATAAGATGACAAAGCCCCAGCCCAAATTGTGAGCCCGCTTGGAAGTTTTGGTTGCTTGGTCCAGTTGCGAAGACTGAGATTGACTGCCATATTCTTTAGAACTTCTGATCGATCGTTTGGCTTTTTATGAGTGAGTATTCTCGATCTATCCTCGGAAAGCACAGACACTCAGATATTGACTTGAAATAGAGCAACGAGAAGGGAAGCCGAGGATTGTTGCCTCGTGGGGGTCATTTTCTGCGGGGAAAATAAACGGTCCTGCCTGGTGAACAATTTTGTTTTCGTTTTCGATAGCCTGGGTTGGCATTGCACTTGCATCTTTATAAGTGATTCAACTGCCGAGTATCTCTCGAGCCTTTTTGAAATGAGGACATGATCATCAACAAAGCGTAAAGAGACGCGCTCTTGTTTTAATAGACAATATTGCTGGGTAGTTTTGCACAAAAGATGATCGACTGAAAAGACATTGATCTTGTATTTGATAGCCTACAGCTTTGTAAATCCCCGCCGCCTGACTTCAATTACTTAAGTAGAATGGATTGCATGACCAGGGATTCCAATGGTGCTCGGCGTGGAGGTGCTGAGAGAAGAGACTATTTGAAAAGGGTCTGTGGGTCTTATTTGTCAAGTTCTGGTCGTATATGCAGCTTATATCTCCGTTAAATCCCCGCTCTGCTTTCTATCACCAGATCCTCGTATGTGGATTGATATTTCAACTGGGGTCCTGTACGTAACGGAGCGCCCTAGAGTATGTTTCGTAAAAAAGCCGCCAATTCATGCGACTGGTCAGTTATGCCATAATAAAACGGATGAATCATCTTCCTGCCTTCATGAATGTAGATGTCTGTCTTTTTTCTACTACGCTATCCATGCCAGTGGATGGTATGAATTCGAGTTTTAGAAAATCTATCTTCTGAAGCTTCCCATGGAGGTTTATTTCCATGTACGAGCCCTAAAAATTAATAATCAGCAATATCCACTGTTATATTGACAAAATGCTATCATATACTTACATATATAGCGGAGAGCATCAGGGAACATTTGGGGGCTTACAGATCCTTCAAACTTTAGAATTTGTCCAAGAGAAATCGAATTTGCTATCACCGAGACTTTGAGGCTAGCTCGAGGCTCAATTTATGAGTGGATCTCTTTCTGTCTCACTAATCTGGTCATCTTTAATCGGTCCACTAAGCCACATCATCGGAACAGCTGTGACGAGGGAGAGCAAGCCCAGAGAAAGTGTCATAACATCCCAACCGTAGTGGAATGATACAAAGCCTCCGATCATTGGCCCAAGGGCAAAACCTCCAAAATGCGCCATACTCTGAAGACCGAAGGCCTGCCCAACTGCACCTTGTCCACCAAATACGCTTGGATCCTCAGCCTCCATGTCGTCGAGAACTTTCTGTAGTTCAACCAGAAGAGCGGGCTCGCCAAGATCAATACACATTCCAACAGTGGCAAGTATAACACACAGAATGGCTTTGTGCTGAAAGGTATTTTCTTCAACAAATCGAAGCAAAACAAGGGTTGGTGATAGAATGACGAAACTTGAAAAAGCAATTATTCGTGAGCCAAGACGATCAGTAAGGTAGCCTAGGAAGTAAATGAGTTAGATAGGGTCTTGACATCAGAAGTTTGATCAATGCGAGTTACCAAATAATGGCTGTAAAATCGCCACCGAAGCACCGGGTATAAAAATGAGACCAGCTCCCAGAACATCCCAATGAAAGATCGTTTCAACAAATATAGTCAAAGTCTAAGAGAGAAGAGTCAGTGAAAGTATAGCTTCAGCGGCAGTACTATTTTCATTAACTCACAGCATCGAAGGCGGACGCTACGATTGCGCTTACGATAACGGCCCACAGAGCTATCAGGACTCTAGGTTGTCGTAGCAGTTTGAACAAAGCTAAGGATCCTTCTTTTCTTGATGCTTTGGGCCAACGCGGCATAGGTGGAGCAGAGCCGTACGATTGATGATTGTGGTCATGATCTCGACGTGAGACAACTCCGTTGTCTGGAGATGAGACCCAACGCTCAGCAACCTTCTTTTCAATGACAGCTAGTCGCAATACCAGATCCAGGGCAATAATGGCAAATGCCATCCCAAATGCAGCATAGAAGCCTCCAATGCTGTATACCACTCCACCTAGAACAGGACCCGAAACAAAGCCTAGGGTCATAGCTGTTCCAATATAGCCAAGCATTTGTCCCAAATGACGTTTGTCTACTGCATCTGTCACAATAGCGAATCCTGCGACCGTAACCATTGCAGTTGCTCCTCCCTGGAGTATCCGCGCGACCGTGTACCAGAGTATGGAATTTGATGCCGTGAAAATTATCATTGAGCCGAATAGCAGAATGAGACCCGCTAGGTAGGGCCCTTGACGAGTACCGGAGACGTCAAGTAAATAACCGAAGATCGGGCTACAAATGAGAGCTGCGACGGCTTCGGAAATGAGAAGCGAGCTATTCCAGAATTCTCCTGCGTGAAGATAAAAGGGCTTAGTAATTTTCATACAGCTGGAAGAGTAGCAATACTCACTGTCCTCAAAGCTGACCCCAGCTCGTAAAACCAATGCGCTCGGCATTATTGGCACGATCTATTCTAGTTAAAGTACTTTCTAGTTAGATCATGATGTTAAGAAAGTCGGTACCATTGTGTAGAGAAAGAGATCCTATAATGGTACTCTTAGTTTGGGTATCCTGACGTTTGTAAAGTCGACCAAATTGAACCTACAGTGAACATGGATAGTGAAACAGTCGCAATAATGAACGATTGCGATGACCGTAGAGATAGGAGCCATGGCTGGCGTTCGGAGGCTTCGAAAGATAATGCTTTCCTCCACATATTTCAAGAGGCAAAGAAATGAGAGAAGAAGAGACTGATACCTTGAGCGATTCTTTGAATCGCTGTTTCTTTGACTTCGAGGAGAACAGTTCAAGAGTGGTTGAACTTGAGAGAAAGAAAATCCAAGCAAATCTGTTTCATGGCGATGCAGCTCCCCATGCAGGTAGCCACCAAACAAAAAAACGGCTTGAGTCCTCTATGAAGGGGTGCGACTAGATCGGAAGGTTATTTGCTTGGAATGATTTTCTTTTTTTTGGGCAGCGTACAGTGCAGCTGAGGAATGGGATTGTGTAGTCGAGAGACTTTGATTGGTTCGGACGACGTGATGATGAATTGCAGCTGCATCAGTTCCTTTGACGGCCGCCAGGTTCTCAGGCCTCCTCTTCTGGTTCAGAGGGACTTCCGGTGGCTGGCCCGAATCTAAATCCCCGAAATCAAGAACTGGTCACGAATGAGAGGCAAAATATAATAGAAAGTTTTCATTCACTCGTATTTTCTTTGTCCTGAGCCTTTTAAGCCTGGCTGGCCTTCAAAATGTTGATTGTAGTGGGATGCCATGTACTACAATCTTGTGTTCCCTGCTTTGGAGGTGAGGAGTCCAAGATCACGACCAAGCCACTTGGTCATTAAGCAAATCGATAACTTCCGAGATTCTATAGCCAGACTACTTCACTGTGAAATATTGATTCAAATTCCTAACATGAGGAGGAATCGGGGGTTTGAGGAACCTGAATTCACAGTCGCAAGTTTGTTCCATTCGCCAAGAATGTACTGTGTGGCTTAAGACAACAGCGAATGACCACTTGCCGAACAGAAATGAATATTAGGTAGCATTTGAACGTAAATTCCGACTGCCTTTCAAATTTGACTGTTGATGTCTATCGGTGATTCGTTTTGCTGCATCAATCAACCTGTGGAGTCTCTACAGTCATGGAAAGATCGAAGCATTATCATTCATGGACTCGGAACATTTGCCTATTTCTATCCACTGACATTTCATTTTGCATCCCATGTGAGTGGATAATTTGCCGCGAAGCTTCCGAAGTTTATGGAATATTTTCAGATTATGTTCTCTTTCGTTGTGCATTCTTCCAATGATTTTCCAGATCCTCTTTCGAGAACCATAGACATAGTAGGCCGAGTTTCAGACGTATCATGTCTTCATCGTGCAGTATATCCTCCGTCCACAGGCCAGGAGACTCCAGTAACCCATGACGCATCATCACTGGCAAGAACAACGGCCATCTTTGCGATGTCTTCTGGTTTTCCAGGACCGTTTAGAGGATGCTTCCGCTCCAGTTCTTCCACGGGCATTCCAGCCTCCGTTGTATCTTTGAAAATGGCAGTTCTTGTATCTTGAGAGATGGGGTCGGTTTTAGTGTCTTTATATCAAGTCCAAAGGTCACCAACTTACATCCAGGACAAATAGCATTGACGTGGATTTTGTCAGGTGCATAATCAAGGGCAACCTGTCTTGTCAGACTGCTAACAGCCCCTTTAGAAGCACAATAAGACGCTATAACTCTTATAAGCAATGGGCTTAGTCGACTACCAGATAGTTAGAGTTACGTACGATTGTGAGAGCCTCCAATCATTGCCATGATGGATGAAATATTGATTATCCAACCTCTATCTCCACTTGGGTGGGGAGCTTGTGTCAGCATCTGTGCGATTGCATATTTGCAACCCAAAAAGACGGATTTCGAATTAATTCTCATGGTTGTGTCCCACAGATCTTCGTCAGTCTGGTGGCACATCACCAGAGGGCGGAGAGCCTCCAGGCCAACTCCAGCATTATTCACCAGTCTAGATAAATAGTTGGTGACACGAACTGGATCCGAATGAGGGAACTGACATGTCAAGTCTTCCATACTCCTTCGCCGCGGTTTTAACAAGTGCCTCCACCTCACCAGCGATACCAACATCGGTCTTGGCGAATATGGCTTCCCCCCCCTTGCTTCTTAATCAATGCGTGCGTTTCTATGTCTTGTTCATTCCCTAGATCGAGGCGGGCTGTCGGTTTTAGATCAGAACAGACCACCTTGGCACCCTCTCGAGCATAGCGCAGTGATATAGCTCGACCAAGACCCGAAGAAGATCCAGTAATGACTGCTACTTTGTTCAGAAGACGACCCGACATTTTTTTGAAAAATAAACTCGATGTGGTGCAACAAAGAGAGGATGATTTTTAGCAGATCATACTATTAACTTGTACTTATAAGTGCCGATCATGAGTGTCGGAGCTCAGTTGACCGAAAGTGAGAGGGGTAAGATATTTGTGACCGAGGTTTGGAATCTATTCAGGGCGCCTAAATGCACCAAGAACCTCTGTTAGCCACGCTTCTGATGGAAGGCTGATGTCGGCCGAGTACTTTCCTACAGTCACTCTCGAGTTTTTAAATCACAATTAGACTGTAGTGGTTTGAGTAGGAAATGACAAATAGTACAAGCATGAAGCGAAGACTTGGCAGGATTAAGAAATGTTCACCGGGCCATATTCGCATCAAGGCAATGGATTTGTACTTTGTGGATCTGGTATTTTCCAAATTTGCTGTAAATTTTCAAGCTGAATTCAAGAACTTTGAGTTGCTAATGCTATCAATACTACTAGTAGTAACTATCTGCCCAGGTGCAGTATGTAGTATAACTATTTCAAGGTTAGGCCCACCTACCTAGGTCTGTCAGAATCATGCCGGCAGCCGGATCCACTTCCCCAACTCAAATATCAGAGTAGAAGAACTACTACTAGTAATACCTAAGTATAGCATACAAATTGGCATATTATATCTTTCGATCCATGGATAAACTGGCAGTTCACGCAGTCAAAGTCCACTCAGATTTTGGAGCGTAGTCATTTGGACTGCTGGAACTTCAACGGCCTCGGGGGCAACGCGACGCATATGAGGCCAAAAGTCACGACTCATAACAAAAACTCCAATATGGCATGAGTCGATACTGGGATGCCCCATGATGGCTCTCCAGTGTGGTTGGGCTTTCAGTTTTGCCATCTAAATCAACACCTTTATTCAACTTGAATATGAAACATAAGAATCGCAAGACAAAAATGATTGACTTCCGAGGTCGGGTGGTGACATTTCAAAGACTAGATAAATTTCCAAGGTTCATCGAAATTAATAGTATATACTATCTAGGTAGATAGTAGTACTAGTAACTAGCTAGGTCTATTTACTACTACCTTTGATGTGATCCGCACTACCTACATAGTACTACAGTAGTAACTACTTGTGCTAACTAATAGCTAACTAGTACTTGCATACCGGTAGTTATAGACGAGTACAAAAGCGCGATAACTCGAACTCAATGATATTTAGCGCTCTTATTCCAGCTCTGGAGAGTTATGCAACTTGTACCCCGTACTTTGAAGCCCAAGATTGAAATTTCGAAGACTCTTCCAAACTCGCCAAGGAGTTCCACCCGACAACAATCATGTCCGTGCATTTAAGAGCGCGCGGGCTTTGGATTGATTGGTGATGGTGAGCATACACTGCCTGACTGCCTCCATGCATCCCTAGGTATAGCTATGTAATAACAATTAGTTAATCCGTACCTCAAATTCAAGTCGAACGATAAATCGCGGAATCCGCCCTTCGGAAATATGGCTCCGATTATTAATGAGAAATGCATTTCGACGCTAGCGTCGGCCAGACCCCCCTTTGTTGGCGATAAGCTGTCGCGCCAGGCCGACTCTGTCCTCGGTTTCTCCCCACATGGAATACTCTGCTTGGATAATATCCACGGGTAGTAATGGCGGGGAGTCCTGTAAGAACTCAAAAAGGAGCATCCGAAGGAAAATTGCGACCTGTATTTTCTGAGTCAACGTGAGTAATAAGTACCCCATGGCATACATACGACTGCCTAAACGGGACCCCGATTTCAAACGTCGAATGAAAGACAGAAACCAAAGAGAACACGGACGTCCGCCACCGGAAACTGCCGTTCAAGAACGTTCCATCCCCGCCCCCTCCTCCACCGTCTCCACAACGTTGCCTGACTCCGGGGTTTTACCGCGTGGTAGGCTGCAACCCCGTACAGGTCACATCGAACTCCGACTCGACGAGCCAATATCAGATCACTTGAACTCCGATTCCGAAGAGCTTTATTCATCACCGCTAGTTGACTCAAGGCTTCTACAGAAGGAATACCCTAGTATGGCGATGTAAGATCTGGACCCGAAGGGTTTTAAGTCCCATCTCGAAGTGGAGCCGAAGTGGACAATGTTTGGAGGATCAGACGAGTTATAACTGGTCGGGTTTAGGGGTTAACCTTGCACTTGGCTACCTCCTAACTAGCTGTCCTTGGCTCTTGTAAATGACTCTTTTTTTTCTCTGCTTGTCTTCTTGCTCTTTCTTTTTCTTCCTGGTAGTTCTCTGAAAACCCCACCACTTTTTTTGTCTGGCAAGCTCCACCAGCCCTAATCACTTTGGCATCTACTTCTATATAGTGAAGACTTGCCACCGTGGGACACTTGGTCCAGGGTGGGGCTCGCAGTTATAGAATACTACGCTTCCCCATTGGAATATTTCGCACTTGAAGGTTTCCCGGTACCTCTACAATGAATGAGAAGGAGAACACCGAAAAGAGAGAGGGGAGTTTCGACTCCGAAGTCGACTCTTCTCAGACTAGTGACTATGAGCAACAACGTGAAGAGCTTCGCCTTTCAAACCCGCAAGGAGTTACGTCAACTCTCACCGGAGTGAATGTAGAGAAAGCTGAGCATGATTTTGAGGAACTAAATCGCCAGTTTTCGAGCATATCTCACCAAGCCCGTCATATATCCAGGCAGGCGTCTCGAGCCTCGAGACCGACTGTCACCACTGAAGACCTAGAAGGGGCAGGGAGCTCTGCCGACTCAGATGATCTCTGGGACTTGGAGACCACTCTCCGGGGCAACAGAACCGCAGAGGAGGAAGCGGGTATAAAGGACAAGCATATCGGTAAGGAATTTCACCATTCCTTGGAATGAGGCTCATGATTCTGACCATTCCTTTAGGTGTTATTTGGAACAATCTTTCTGTTCGAGGAATGGGAGGTGTCAAGACCTACATCAAAACCTTCCCCGATGCGATCATCGACTTTTTCAACGTGCCAGAAACGATCATGAACATGTTTGGATATGGAAACAAAGGGAAGGAATTCAATATCTTGGAAGGCTTTCGAGGGCTCACCCGACCAGGTGAAATGGTTCTAGTCCTTGGCAGGCCCGGCTCTGGGTGCACTTCTTTCTTGAAAGTCATCGCAAATCAGAGATTTGGATACACCGGCGTTGATGGTGAAGTGATGTACGGTCCTTTTGAATCAAAAGAATTTGCCAAACGATTCCGTGGCGAGGCTGTGTATAACCAGGAGGATGATATCCATCAGCCAACCCTGACCGTCAAGCAAACCCTTGGCTTTGCTCTCGATACAAAGACCCCTGGAAAGAGACCATTTGGGGTATCGAAGGCTGAATTCAAAGACAAGGTTGTCAAAATGCTTTTGCGAATGTTTAACATCGAACATACTGCCAATACAGTTATTGGAAACCAATTCATCCGTGGTGTTAGTGGTGGTGAGAGAAGACGAGTCAGTATCGCTGAAATGATGGTCACTTCCGCGACTGTCTTAGCATGGGATAATAGCACTCGTGGCTTGGATGCCTCTACCGCTCTGGACTTTGCCAAGTCACTGCGCATCTTGACGAACATCTACAAAACAACAACATTTGTTTCCCTCTATCAAGCATCTGAAAACATCTACAAGCAGTTCGATAAGGTTTTAGTCATCGACAGTGGGCGACAAGTATTTTTCGGTCCGACGGCCGAAGCTCGATCGTATTTCGAAGGGCTTGGCTTTCGCGAGAAGCCTCGGCAAACCACTCCAGACTACGTGACAGGATGTACCGACCCGTTTGAGCGGGAGTTTAAGGATGGAAGAACTGCCGATGATGTACCTTCCACACCCCAGGCCTTGGCAGAGGCATTTGAGAAGTCAGCCTATAGCAAGCAACTCGATGAGGAAATGCAGGCATATCGCGCACAGGTCGAACAGCAAAAGCAAACATACGATGACTTCGAGATAGCCAATCAAGAAGCCAAGCGCAAATTCACTCCGAGATCATCTGTCTACTCAATCCCCATCCACATTCAGATTTGGGCTTTGATGCAACGACATTTCTTGCTCAAATGGCAAGACAAATTCGCGCTGACAGTCTCTTGGGTTACTTCGACAGGTATTGCCATCATTTTGGGAACCGTGTGGCTCAATCAGCCTGCTACCAGCGCGGGTGCTTTTACTCGGGGCGGATTGTTGTTCATTAGCATGCTTTTCAACGGATTCCAGGCCTTTTCTGAGCTTGGTGGCACTATGATGGGTAGGACAATCGTCAATAAACATCGTTCTTTCACATTCTACAGGCCAAGTGCTCTTTTTATCGGCCAAATCTTGGTGGATACTGCATTTGCAATAGCACGCATCCTGGTTTTTAGCATCATTGTCTACTTCATGTGCGGTCTAGCCCTTGATGCCGGAGCATTTTTCACCTTTGTCCTCGTTATTCTTACCGGATATGTCTGCATGACTGCACTTTTCCGATCCATCGGGTCTATTTGCCCCGATTTTGATTATGCGATGAAATTCGCTGCTATTGTCATTACTCTCTTCGTGTTGACCTCGGGTTATCTAATCCAGTGGTCTGCTTCTCAGGTCTGGTTGAGATGGATCTATTATATCAATCCATTCGGTCTAGGCTTCGCGTCTCTGATGGTGAACGAGTTCAGTCGTCTTACAATGACATGTACGAAAGATTCATTGGTGCCCAGTGGCCCTGGATATGACGATATCGCACACCAGGTATGCACTCTTGCCGGAGGTGAGCCAGGGTCGGACATTATTCCAGGGTTAAGTTATCTTGCTACGACATTCAGTTACCACAGCGCAGATCTCTGGAGGAACTTTGGAATCATGATTGCCCTGATTTTTGGCTTCCTCGGGATGAATCTGTACCTCGGCGAGATAATGCAATTTGACGCAGGCGGAAAGACACTCACGTTCTTCCAGAAGGAAAATGACGAACGTGAACAGCTGAATCAAGCACTCGACGTGAGAAAGGCAAGTCGTCAGTCGAAGACTGGGGATACTACCGGTGCCAAGCTTGAAATATCCTCAAAGTCCGTCCTTACATGGGAGAACGTATCCTATGAAGTCCCTGTACCATCCGGCACACGACGGCTTTTGAATTCTGTGTATGGTTATGTTCAGCCTGGAAAATTGACAGCTCTTATGGGCGCATCTGGAGCCGGCAAAACTACTCTGCTTGATGTGTTAGCCGCACGGAAGAACATCGGCGTAGTGACGGGTGATATCCTTGTCGATGCAGTCAAGCCTAGCACTTCTTTCCAGCGAAGTACTTCATACGCCGAACAGCTTGATGTGCACGAGTCAATGGCCACTGTTCGTGAAGCTCTACGCTTCTCGGCCGATCTGCGTCAGCCATTTGAAGTTCCACGATCCGAAAAATACGAATATGTTGAGGAGATCATTAGCTTGCTTGAACTTGAAAGCCTAGCAGACGCGATCATAGGTACTCCGGAGACGGGGCTCTCCGTCGAGGAACGAAAGAGGGTTACCATTGGGGTAGAGCTTGCAGCCAAGCCTGAGCTACTTTTGTTCCTGGACGAGCCAACGTCCGGCCTGGACAGCCAATCGGCCTTCAATATCATTCGATTCTTGAAGAAGCTTGCTGCGGCTGGTCAAGCAATCCTCTGCACAATTCATCAGCCTAATTCCGCTCTGTTTGAAAATTTCGACCGAATTCTACTCTTACAAAGAGGCGGAGAATGCGTTTACTTTGGTGACATTGGCACAGATTCCAAGGTTCTATTGGACTATTTCCATCGCAATGGTGCAGACTGCCCTGCTGATGCTAACCCCGCTGAGTGGATGCTTGATGCTATCGGCGCAGGGCAAACACGACGACTTGGAGACCGTGATTGGGGTGATGTCTGGCGAACGGCCCCCGAGCTGGAAGTGGTCAAGAAAGAGATCATTCAAATTAAGGAAAGCCGTGCTAAGGCGGCCCGGCAGGAGACAAGCCAACAGAAAGACATCGTTGAAAGAGAATATGCATCACCACTTTGGCATCAAATGAAGGTAGTTGGACGCCGAACGCATTTGTCATTCTGGCGCTCTCGTAACTACGGCTTTACTCGACTTTTTACACACGTCGTTATTGCACTTATCACGGGCCTCGCATTCTTGCAACTCGATGACTCTCGTTCCTCGCTGCAATATCGCATCTTCGTTATTTTCAATGTGACGGTCTTGCCAGCAATCATCCTACAGCAAGTTCAGCCTAAGTACGACTTATCCCGATTGATTTTCTACCGTGAATCCGCCTCGAAGACGTACAGCCAGTTCGCCTTTGCATCTTCTCTTGTTCTGGCAGAAATGCCTTACAGTGTTCTCTGCGCTATCTGCTTTTTTCTACCATTATACTACCTCCCTGGATTTAATATGGAGACCAGCCGCGCAGGATATCAGCTGTTCATGGTTCTGATCACAGAAGTCTTTGCCGTGACTCTCGGACAGATGATCTCCGCCCTGACACCGAACAGCTTCATTGCGTCCCAGCTCAATCCCCCATTTGTGATTATTTTCTCCCTGTTTTGTGGTGTCGCGATCCCGAAGCCACAAATCCCAAAGTTCTGGCGCGCATGGCTCTACCAGCTTGATCCTTTTACCCGACTTATTGGGGGAATGGTAGTAACGGAGCTCCATGGGCGTGATGTTTCTTGTTCAGAAATAGAACTCAACACCTTCAATGCTCCCCGTAACGAGACATGTGGCGAGTACATGCAATCCTTCTTCGAGAGCGGTGGGGCTGGATACTTAGTGAAGAATGCCACTCAGACTTGCGAGTATTGTGCGTACAAGATCGGAGACCAGTTCTACGCGGCATTCGGCATGAACTTCGACAACCGATGGAGGGATCTAGGCATCTTTATCGCATTTGTCGGGTCCAATCTCATCATATTGTTCCTAGCGGTGAGTGCATCTCGAATCTACCTAATTGTGGTGCCATGCTAATCGAATACAGTCCCGGTTTTTCAACTTTAACCGGAGGTGATATCGGGGAATCGCTCAGGTGAGCTCCCAAATTGCACTCTATAGCGAGGCAATGGTGGGTTATATTAGATTGAGTTCAACAATATTTTAAGGGCAAAAAAGAGGAAAGGGGGAAATTTTTGCTGGGGTAGATCATAAAAGTGTTCAAAATTATCAAGCAAACAGATTCTTCATTCCTTACCTTAACTCCGAGTATAAACACCGGGTCGATTGCCGCTATGGCGCGAGTTCCTCTATTATCCTACGACTAAGCTTCCTCGTAGCCGACTTATGAACACTGTTCATTGCTTTTACTTCTTCTACCCCAAGAAAGTGGATTACCTCCGCACTCCCCGGATTCCCCACGCCCCCACGCATCACTCTGCCCGTGCGCGATCTACACTGGCCCAAAGAGCCTTTCAACTCCCCGAGGCAAGTTGCTCGACCTATCAATTTGTGGATTGTACACCATCTAAGGCATAGAGTTGGAGCTAGGCTCAACACCAACCATCTGAGCGGCGAGATCACCGCACTGTCGGACTTGCTCCGATGACTCTCACTTCCTAGTTCCATCCATCCAGCGATTGACCAGCCGGCATCTATCGGCCGTAAAGTTTCTCTTGGCAACATCACATCTCACTGTTCGCAGTAACTTAGCAGAGACCGCGGCAAAACCCCGGTTTTCCCTCAGCAATATCCGACAGCCAAGACTCTGCTTGAAGCCGGGAACCAGCATTCCACGAACCCTCTTCTACAATACGACATCTTTGCGTCGATGTGGAGAAGATTTCGGGTCTCTGGGTCCTTCCCCGCAGTTTGATGCCGTGGCTTGATTGCCCCATGGGGTAGCTTGAGCGTTCGCCTTTGTTGAAGGGAAAATACACGAGTCATAAAGTTCGAAGCTGGATTATGCAGACGAGCACGGGCAGGCTGCGATGCTGCGGGCGCATGCTTGATAGGCCCCCTAGCCGGTGTCACTATTTTCTTTATCTTGCAGAATTCGCCCTTTAAACCTGCTCTGTTTCTAGCTATTACCCCTCTCCTAGATTTCTGTTAACCCTTCAATCCCTTTCTGCGAAGTTGAGACGACTATTTTCCCAAGAATGGGGACCAATACTATGAACGAGCCATCATCTGGCTCAAAGACAGACATTGCCGATATCCCGACCATCTCTCATTCAGAAAGCAACCAAGTCCAGTCTAAATGGAAATCTGCAAAGCTCGCCGATGGCGACACTGCAATGGCTCTGTTCAACAATCCAGATGAGTTGCACGAGGACATTGACCCTGCTGAGGCAAGGAAAGTGTTGTGGAAGATCGACTTCATGATTCTCCCTTACTTGGCTGTCTGCTATGCATTCTTTTACATCGACAAGGTGGGTCGTTATATCCCTCCTATCAAAGATTATCACTCCAAGTCCTGAGGCTTAACGTTTTTTCTTTGGCTCTAGACAACACTGAGCTACGCTGCTATCTTCGGCATTCGCGATGATCTCAATCTCCATGGAACTCAGTACAATTGGCTGAGCAGTATTTTCTACTTTGGTTTTCTCGCCTGGGCATTTCCAACAAATTTCCTCATGCAACGACTTCCGATCGGTATGACTCCTATCTTATGGCCTCATTTATAGAAGAGTTCTAAATTGTTCTCCGCAGGTAAATACCTTGGTGCAAATATCTTCATGTGGTAAGCATCCGATGTCTGCAAAGGTGGACCCGGATCATAACTGACTAGTACGACCCAGGGGTGTATTCCTTATGATTCAAGCTGCATGTAATAGCTTCGAGACACTCGCCGTTCTTCGCGCCTTAGGTGGTGCTGCCGAGGCGTGCTCTGATCCCGCTTTCATGTTAATTACCAGTATGTGGTACACTCGCCGCGAACAACCAGTTAGAATCGGTCTCTGGTATACAGCCAATGGAATTGGAATTGCCCTCGGTGGCTTACTGGGATATGGTATTGGCCATCTCCGAGGAGCTCTACCATCGTGGAAATACGAATTCATTGTGATGTGAGGATCTCCGTTCTGGTACGATTATTCAGAAGCAATAGCTAACAGGTGTCAGTGGTGCTCTATGCTCCGCCTGGGGCATCGTTATGTTCACCTTTCTCCCTGATTCGCCTGTAACGGCGCGTGGCTTGAGTTTGAGAGAGAAACGTATTGCCGTCGATCGCATCAGGGAAAATCAAACCGGTGTGGAGAACAAGCATCTGAAGCCATATCAGATTCTCGAAGCATTCATGGATTACAAGCTTTACATGTTTTTCATGTTGGGTGTAGTATGTAAGTAGTATCCCCATATTCGAGTTCCATCTCCTAAATACGGTCTAACGTTCGCGATAGGCAATATTCCCAATGGCGGAATTTCGAATTTTGGCACAATTATCATCCAAGGCTTCGGCTTTTCTACTTTAGTGACAACTCTTATGCAGGTAAGTCTCGCTGGAATTTCTGTGGTTTCTTGTATGTCACGGTTGATTGATCTTCTATCGTCAGATCCCCTATGGAGCTATCATTGCCCTTTCAATCTTGGCCTGTGTCTACCTGAACGACCGTTTTGAGAACCGACGCTGCGTTTTCGTTCTCATCTTCCTGATTCCGAATCTTGTCGGTGCTTTTGGTCTACGGTTCGTACCTATTGATCGAAGCGTCGGTCGACTCATCTGCTACTATTTGACTGGGCCATATAATGCCGCCTTTGTACTTGTACTTAGTATGCAGGTGGCAAACACTGCTGGTAAGCTGATTGAGGTGTAAATGATCGGAGAAGCAATCGTATTGACATGACTTTAGGACATACCAAGAAGGTAGTCACCAACGCTGTTTTGTTCCTCGGGTATTGTACTGGCAACATCGCTGGGCCATTCTTCTATAAGACAGATCAATCGTATGTCTGCACCTGTCCTGGAAAATACGTTGAAGATATCTAATGTGAGAACACTAGGCCTACCTATCAACTTGGAATCTGGTCAATGATTGTCTCCCACTTGATCGAGGCAGTACTTATTACTATTCTGGGCTTCCTTCTCCGGTGGGAGAACCAGAAGCGTGATCGCATTCAGTCCCAGATGGAGGGTGGTCTTGAAGGTAGGGATTTGGATGCGACTGCATTCTTGGATTTGACTGATCGGGAGAATCTGAAGTAAGTCACTCTGTCAGGCAGCATATACTTGAGATGCAAATCACACTAACGCGGGACTTTCCTTTTTCAGTTTCCGGTATATCTACTAGGATTGAGGACTCAATCATATTACCGGTTTTGGGCTTCGTGACTCCATTATGAATATGAATATGGACTAGAATACTCCATGGTATCGCAAACTGATTGGCCATTCTCATTCTCATTGTCATTCCTAAGATATGTTCAATATCTCATCCATATCAATAGCCTGAAATAGGATAGGGTTGGAGCCTGCAGTCACCTCCACCAGTCCCAGTCCCAGTCGTACCTTCCCTATTCACAGGGCTCGTACATTCTAATTCACCTGGGCATTGCCCTTCTCTTCAACTTTCCTACTTTCTCTCCTTCTCGCTTCCTTTCTCCTCTTCACTTGACCACTTCAATCAAATCACGCACCCTTTCACAACAACTCAAATCCACCATCCAATGTCTACTCAATCCTCCAAGGATGTCGTGGAGTCGAGTGAAGTTTCGGCTGAAGAAGGGCAAGGTCCGAAGACCCAGATCATTCAGCATGTCTTTTTGACCGCATTTTTTTCCTTTCCTCGCAAACTAATCAAGACATGATCAAGCCACCCTCGCTGCGCGCGAACACTGCACCCAGATGCAAATCCGCTACACCTGCGGCCACGCTACCGGTGGAGAGTTCCTTAAATGCGAGAAGCATTTGCCCTATGACGACGACCGTTGTGCCGGTATCAACATCCAACATGTCGAAGCCAAGTTCTCGCCTCACAAATGTCGAAACTGCCTGCACACCCCCGACCGTTAAAGCATGGTCGAAATGAGGAGCCGGGATCAGGGCCACCCATCCCAGATGATGACGGGGAGATGTATGGGATGAAAAGAGGAATGGATCGTGAATGAGTCTTTGATTTATCGATACCCCGATATGGCAGATGGAAGCTTATGTGTTAACGTTTTGAAATTTGAAGATTATGCTTACCCGAATTTATCTCCACTATCAATACAATAACATCCAATTTCGAAGGCAACGTGGAATAAACCCGACAAGTACGAGTATTGACAAGAATTCTGTACATAGGCCGAGCCTCTAAAATGGCAATGTGTCTAAGTTCCTGTGATGACTAGCTATAAGGATGGCGATCCGTATGCCTGAGGCCTCAATGTCTCAAAAATCCAAACACGACCGAGAGACCTCAGAAGAAAGAAGACACCGCATCCAGATCATCGGCATTAAGCAGCCCAACTCCTTCCTGCAAAAGAGTCCTCCAAACGAGGTTACGCTGACGAACCGGCCAGTTAGGGGTATTCCAGTATCTCGCACCAATCCCACGCTCCTTCGCTAGCGAAATCTGAGAGCGCAGCGCCTTGAGCTGCTCGTCTCGAAGGATGGGCTCAGTATCAATGTTCACCTGACCGACAGCCTTGACAAAATCAGTCGAGGCAATGGGCGAAACTCTATAATCGACCTTGGCATATTCGGAATCTGCCAGGGCATCGAGAGGGGCGTCGAAGAAATAATCCCGATCCTTGACGGGCAGCACCATGTCGAGGGGAGTTGCGCCTGTCCCAATAATAGTCACCGGTCCGCTCTCTACCGTTTCGCCGTCCTTCAATGTGGTCAGATAGCCTTTCTGGCGCAGAGGCTCCAGGGCTTTGATGACAGCTTCAAAGGTCTCATGGCCGGAAGTTTTCACGTCGATGAAGAAGTAGAGTGTTTGAGCGGTATCAGTGTCCCAGACGCCACTGTTGGTTCACTCGAGTCAGTCATTTACATCCAAAAAAGACCGAGGTTACTGACTTCTTTGTTGGGCCTGTCAGGAAAGGACTGTCGGGGTTTTGTCGCTCCAGGACATCCAGGATGGGGTTGATATAGAGGTTTTCCAATGTGCGTTCGTACGTGAGCGACGACTCGTCGTGGCCCACCTGAACAACGGTTAGCGATCGCGCATACCCGGGGGGAACCGGTAAAACAAACATAGAGAGTGTCGTTATATAGCCAAACATCCGCCTCGGTAGATGTACAACCTTTTGACAAGCCTAAGAACTCGATTAGCGATGGCGAAGGGGAACAGAACTGAAAGCATAAGGCACCTACCGGTATAGAAAGGTCTTTCTCTCCAGTAGTCACTAATCAACACGGTGAGCAAATGGTTTCACAGGAAAGAGATCAATTGGTCCATTTTCAGACGCAAGTCCAAGGGTCGCGTACTTGTGGGAATGCACGGGGATCTACGCTGACGTTAGTCCAACAAGCCCGAACACACAAAGGGGGACAACATATGCATCAAGAAAACCACGATGCGCACCAACATACTGGTAGAAGATCCCTCGTGATATCCGTTGGGTATCCGTAGTCATAGCTCGAGTGGGTATTCTTCAAGATGTTCTGCAGGCTGGAAGTGCCGGGAGCCACGGCAAATGCCCCGGCGGCAAGCGTTGCAAAGGCGGAAAGAAACATGTTTGTCACCGGAGAGATGGAATCGGAAATTCCTATCTTGCGTTATGACAATACTATGATTTTGCTTCGCAGGTTTGAAATACAATTGGAGGGAGAGAAGGAGCGCCGGGAGTCGCGACATCAAAGAATGTGGAAATGCGGTGTCGGGATTGGTCGCTGCACGTGAGAGCATTGGTAACCAACTTCATCATCAGGGGAACTTGAATCGGCAGACACTCCGAGTCCAGTTTGTATAGCGAAATACTATTGAATGCTACTAGATAATTCAGAAGAAGTGTGGTGATAAAAGATGATAAAAATAATGCTAGACATAAAATCTCCTATATATCCATACAAAGAAAGGTCATCCAGAGGGAAAGTCATATCGTGCTGTGTTATGTACATCAAGAATCCTTGTGTTTTACTATCATCTTAAACCTCTCGAATACTCGGTGACGAGCCACTTGCTGGTTGCTCTTGGGATGTGGAGTTACGGCCACGAAGACTGAGGTTGCCGATGCGCTGGACAAGGTTGCTTCCTACTGCATCAACCGCCCCTTTAGGAGCGAGCAAGGTTGGTCCTTGAGCGACTGCCTCTTGCACCCGAAATAAGCGAATCCCGGTACCATTCCACACACCCACCGTTCCTGGTGTGGCTCCTGCGGCTGTACCAACGACCATCTCGCTAGAGAAGACAAATCCCCACAGGAGAGACTCGTACCAACCCATCGAGAGGGCGGACCATTCAAATGATTGAACCCTAGTCGGGGTTGGCTCTGAGATGATACCCTTGACCTGGGGCTCTTCAGCAAATGACGGAAGATTGGTGATCAAAGTACGGGCCTCGGGACTGGATGTAGTCTGAAGTGCTGCATCGGGGATATGGGGCGCGATAGCGGAAATGATGGTGAGAATGGTGTGTAGGGGAAGTTCCGGAAGCCAGGACTCGAGCTATTATCAAGAATGTCAGCAAAAATAAATAGAATGAAAGGACGGCAACGAGTGCTACTCCTAAACTTACCCAGCCAACGGTAGGTGTGAAGGCCATAGAAGATGACAAGAATAGAGCAGACATGCTAGTTTGACTAGTCATGCTGTTTTGGCGCGAGAACGAAGGCTGTCCGGCAGGCTTCTTGCCGCGAGCCTTTTCGGACATCCCGCGCAGCTGTGAGCTGGTCTCATCGGTCGTGGATGCAATCGAGGGCCTGCGTGATGTTTGTGCTGACGGGGAAGACTGGGAAGGTGTGTGTTGGCCTTCATCGTCAGAGTCATCTTCGCCGATCGCGAATGCACTATTCTCTTCCGGGATTTGGGTAAGAGGCGACCGAGCACCCGAAGGAAGATGCAGATCATCTTCGGGTTGCGAAAGAGTCGGGCTTGCGAGTGTGTCGTTGGAGGCAGTTCCGGCCTTCCACCTCTCCTGCTGACGCTCGATCTCTTGTTGGCCGCTTTCCAGCGTGAATTCCCGTACGGCCTCAAAGCGCTGCTTGTACTTCAAAATTGCATAAACAAGGTACGAGTTTTCTGGGGTCGTTAGAGCTGTTGACACAAATGTGAAAGAAGAAAATGATACAAGAAGGCATACCTGTGAAGTTGTGCTCAAGAATTGCATTTATAAAATCCAAGAGCGCTGCAAGAAGAGTGTGATTTGTCTCATTCGCCAGCAAGAAGCTGGGGGTAGACATTGAAGAGAAGAGTTGGATGACCTTGGAACTGGCACTGGGGGAGATGCGCTTGATGTGGGGGGGCCACATTGTTGAGGATCATCAAGAGAGCTGGATAAACAGTATCGAGTTTTCCCTTACTGGTTGCCATGAGGGTGTGAATAGACTAGTGAATATGGTTAGCATATTATTTTCAACTTCAAGAATGGAAAAAACGAACAATGATGAGGAAATCGGCATAAGAGCCTCGGAATTTAAGCAGTCTGATCGATTGTGGCAAGGTCTCCTGAGCCTCAAACTTCATGTTGATACTCTCACAAAACGTCGCCTCTGCGCTCATTGTCTGGAGGATGAAAATGCACAAGCGCACCACACCCTGCTTTGAAGGGTCAGTTCTGTACTCCATGGCATAGAAGATACAGAGGATTAGGAAGTCATGGGATCGGTTGGAATCGATGATGAAAGACCTGAAGCGCTTGTTGCATTGCAAGGTCTCCCAGAACAGAACAAGAATTTCTGGGGCCCATTTCACAGATCTTTGGCTGCCGGGAAGATATGAAGTAGTGGCTTGCATAGGCTGATTCAAAATACGAGTCATACCGTCCACCAGAAACTGGAAATCTTGTGGTCTATGTAATCTTCCATAGTAATGGCGATAGTAGTTCTTTGGCGGGGTGCCGCGTCCGTCTTCGGGAATAGGGTACAGGAGCAGAACCAGGAGAAGCTGTAGGCAGTATATCACCATAATTTGCTTGGGGTCTTTCCAAACCACATGGTCGTATGGAACTCTCCATGATGCAGGGTTGTATTTCATAGCCGTATTCAAAAGAGAGCAGAGTAGGGTCAAAACAGGTTGTTTATCTTGACAGGTGGTGATATAGGTGATCGCTTTCACGCCCTGAACCGGAAGGGTGTTTGACGGTAGATACATCGCTTTGCCGGTTATGGTGAGTAGAAGTCGGAGAATCTCACATCGGTTGCTTTCCAATGCCTTGTTGGATCCCATCGTTGTGTTGCAGCCGACACCACTCTGCCATATCGAGTAAGATATCTTGCTCTTCGCCGTCGGTAGAAGTGGAATGGTGAACTCGGCGAAAAACAGTAAGTCAAGGAGTGTGTCGATCAGCTCTTCGGCGAGCGGCTTCACCTCTTCGTATTCCTCCGAACGGGGGAAGTCCCATCTTGTTGGTCCTCCAGCCCAGCCTCGTCAAAGAGGACCTCGCCAGCGATCTGAGCTTGTCTGGTTCTCTTCTTGCGACGTGTCCAGAAAAACTTCTCTTCCCATCCTTCGAGATGATCGGCTTCGTAGACAAAGGGGAGGAGTCGGGTAAGGACGCGAATACAGTTGAGCGCATCGCGCTCGGGGGCAAGGTCTGGATCTGGGAACGAAGGGTGATTCTTGAGAACTATCAGACGTGAGGAGACTGATAGGAGTAAGGTTTCGAAGTTGGATAGGGCATTGTCTCGCGTTCGACGAATATCGGCGGGGGTAAATAAGCTGAAGACATCTTCGGTGGATTCAGGGAGCTCCCAAAACTGCCATCATAGTCAGTTACAGTATCTCTTGTGCAAAACTAGAGCATAAAATATCAGCTTGAGATATAAATGACCTACTTTTGTCCAGTAGGGGTCATCTGCGGGGATCTCCTTCTCCTCAGAGAGGCGGAAGATACCCTGCTTGAAGACCAGCTTGGACTCCGAGGCTCCCATTGTTTGGAATTATCGATTTCTCACAGGCCGCAAGTCATGTAGTTGGAATCGTTAGGTAGTTCCGAGGTTGAAGAAGCAAAGCAGCCGTCCAAACCGAGAGTGTTGGTTGTTGGTTCGTGCCTGCGGAGTTGGGGGACACATGGGAGATCTGCCGAGCCGCCCAGCCCAGGCGGCGCCGGGAACCACTCAGTAGATAGGATAGGTACTCGATCGCTGACAAGAGACACCACATTACTGATAGTAGATAACGTTGGGTTGGATGGATTACGATTATTTCTTACCTACGGAGTGCTAGCTAGATAAATGTTGTTTACTTTGACAGCTTAATTTGAACTAGTAGTAGTTAGTTACTAGTAGTGGTACTAGTATGTCTTGAACCTTCCAGAACTTCGGTAGCCTCAGACCTAACTTAGATGTCTACCCCGTACAGGTCTCACTGTTGAATTGGAACATACTTTGGAAATATTGTTATTGATTATGGAGCGCTAATGAACCCGGACCTATTCTACAAACTCCTATCCACGCACCCGATGAGAAGGGGAAAAAAAAAAAGAAAAGCTTGAAAGCAAAGCCATTAAGTTCAGACATCACAGAGTGCCATTGCTAGCAGACAACCGTCTGCTGCGCTCGTAGAGCCATTTGTTGCTTAATCCCAGGCTTTGACGCTTGCCGGCAAGAGGAGAAGGGGTGCTCGGCGCCATCGTCGACTCTCCAAAAGATGTGCCGAGGGAGTTTCCAAGGGAAGTGCTGAAAGAGTTGCCGAAGGAGTTGCCAAGGGAGTTGTTAAACGAGTTGTTGAACGAATTGCTACGAGCAAGAGGGGAAGGCGACCCAAAGCTCGGTCTGCGACCACCGCCTGCTCCACTCTCGTTTACGACATTCTTGTGGAAAAGAGGACTCGATGCTGGTGAGAAGGTGCCTGACGAGACTCGGCGCCCAGACAATCCAGGGTTTGCGGATAGCGGAGAAGAGGGACTATGACCGGATGCGCTAGCCGGACTGCCTTTGCGCGAGGTAGACACCCGGTACCGCGGAGGTGTCGCATATGGTGTCCCAGGTGTCGCAGGCGGTGTTGCATTAGGGTCCATACCCAGAAGTGCACGCTGGGTAGGTGTGAGGGGAATATCGGAGAAGTCGTCCTTGCGTCGGAAGAGAGGGTATAACGCGACACAGACGTTGAAAACGAGGAGCGCTTGTAGAAGAAGCAGCGGGAGGTGGTTGTAAACAGACTTGGGGTCGGCGCTGACAAGTAGACGCGAGCTGGAGCGAAAAGTGTCAGAGTCTCCACCCCCATGGCAATTTATAATTTAATTGACTTACTAGGTCTTGGAGAAGTCCTTGAATATCCAGGTCGCGGCCAAAGCACCTCCATTCCACAGGAGCCTTCTCAGGTTCTTATCCCCAAAAGTTGAGGCTTCTTGCCGTCTCACGATCTCGCTGAGCTGTGGATGGCGCCATTTTCCTGGGGTACCCGACGCTGAGCCAGGAGCTACAACAGGTGTAGCGGGTTTGGGGGTCGATGGTAGAGATTGGGAGGCCATTGATAAAGTGGTCGGTCGAAAATGGGGGAAATAGTGTCGAGAAGAGCGGGATGAATTAAGACGAAATCGTGAAGCAGCGCAATGGCTATCTATTCCGAGCAAAAAAGACTGCAAACCATGGTCAATGGGTACTCCATTATCGTGGCAGCTTGGATGGGGCACGAGACTTACCTTTCACGGGAACGAGATTTGACTTACCTTGACTTACCTTTGCTGGGCGAGATTGGGGAGGGGGGAGAAATCAATAGAGACACATGGGTATCGAGATCTGCCGTTGCCCCTTGTCTGGAAAGGAGGGGTGGGATTCAAATGGTCATTGCTCAGGAGGGACTCTGTTGTGATCGCAAGTGGCTGGGGGGGACGACTCGAAAAGCCGCCGCACACGCGAATTTAGACGCCCGGTGTTCCAGTTGACCCGAACCCGAACCCGAACACGCCGCACGCGCCGCACGCGCCGCAACCCCTCAACGTCATCGCCATAATCCGGGGCGTGGTCTGTCATCAATCGGATTGTTTGCATTGTTACTTGCACTTATCCGGGTTGTTTTAACCCTGTCGACAAAATGGCGGATCAAGCATCACTCATTGAACAAGTCGATGCCGCACTGTCGAATGTGCTGGCTGATTGGAACATATACTCTACCCTCTTCGCCGGCCTTCTCGGTGCCTTCGCTCTCTACTCACTTTTTCCTCCCGGGACCCCGACGTTCATCCATTTCTCCTTGCTCGCCAGTCCACTGCATCTCCAATTAGAAACTCTGGCGAATCCGCAACATACCGCTGCTTGGAGACTCCATATGGCTTCCCGCTTCGGTCTGGACTGAATGTCAAGGATCCCGGTACTCCCAAGTATACCGCTGGTCGACGTGGTGATCTGCGTGATATTTGGAAGGCCGCTGTGCGCGGATCTTTGAACCCCGATGGATCTGCATCTGGCAAGCAGGGAAAGATCTTCACCGTGCTCGGCAAGAACTCCATCGAGCATTCTCTGTCTCAGCTCACTCAGGAAATGAACGTGGTAGGAAAGGAGCTGCAGAAGTCTGATGCCAAAACTGTGGCTGTTTGTCTTACCGACTCTGTTGAGCTGCTAGCGTCTATCTTTGGTAAGTATTCCGACGATTATTAATTTAAAATTATGTGCTAACACCTGAATGATCCAGCTGGCTCCTTCTATGGATATAAGACCGTCATTGTGCCCCACAACTTGCCTGCGGAGACTCTATCTGCACACTTACTAGCCTGCAAGGCCGATGCCCTGATTGCTGAGGCTGGCTCACTCGACCTGTCTATCGTCGCCAAGGGTAACAAGCAGCTTGACCTCGTCATCTGGGTCGCGAAGTATGGCAACCGCCATATGGACTGGCACGAGGTTCCTGAGGAGGTCAAGGGTACTCTGAACGCTCTTGTCTGGCACGAGCTTGTTGAAGAACACAAAGACCTGGCCGGTATGGATGTTCCCGAGTACGACCCAACTACTCCAGCTCCTGCTGTAAATACCGTGTGGCCGTCCTCGTCTACGTCCGGTCGATTTATCGATTTCCAGTCAGAGGTAAGTTATTATTATTCTTCCTAGTAATTCCAACAATCGCGTTACTCACAAGTCTATCGCAGAACTTGATTGCTGCTCTCGCAGCCTTGGGCTCTGCGCTCCCTCGTAACCAGCGCTTCACCCCGTCCGATCTCGTTCTGTCCATCGACTCCCTCTCTCGCTCATATCCCCTGCTTCAGATCATGAACGCACTCTACTCCAACGCCTCCATCGCCCTTAACTCAGTTGCCGGTGAAAATGTTGATTTTGCTCTTGCCACCCTCGGAATCTCCCCTACTGTGATCATCGCGTCCTCCCAGACCATGGCCGATTATCATGAGCGTGTCATGAAGCCTCATACTGGACCTATTTCTTCGCTTGGTCGCTGGGTGCAGGCACGAACCTTGGACGGTGGAAATATGCCTTCGAAAAACATCCTGAGCCAAATTAGTCGAGTCGGCCCAACCGCCGAATTATCCTTGAACGACCTGCGCTTGCTGTGTATCTCTCACCGTGTCGATGCCGATCCCTCTGTTCGCCTCACTTCGGAGCAGCTAACCGAACTCCGCATCTTCACCGATGCTCGGATTGTATATGCACTCACTGGGCCTGGCATCGCGGGTGCCATTTCTCAAACAAATATTTTTGACTACAGATGTCTTAGTGGACTTGCCCACTTCGGCGCTCCACTGAGTTGTACTGAAATCACACTGACCAATGTCTCCGAGAATGGAGGGTCAGATGATTTGCCCGAGGGCCAGGTAAGCTCACAATATCTCTCATTCCCATGCCGCTTGCCTGTGATATAACTAATTTCTCCGTTACTTTAGCTTACTGTCGCCGGTCCCGCTGTTGTTGATGGCAAAACTACTTTGCCTACCCGGGTACGAATCAGCAATGACAACACTGTGGAATTGATTTAAATCCAATTGTCATTCTCTGGACGTTGTATTTTCGGAATTTGCATTTTCTTTTTCTCAATCCACCAATAATCATCCTGTGTGAAAATTATTGGTGGATTGCCATTTGACGATTAGCAATACTAGTTCAGGATACGAAATATTTCATCAGCGCCCAGCGGGGTTTCATTTAACAAAAGCGCCAGTGGCGATGCTCAATTCAAGTCGATGTTTTCCATTTTATGAATTACAAGACCAACTCCAAAGATGTTGGAATGAAGGTAATATACATGCTTTTTAAGCCAGAACAACCCGTACACAAATGCAACTCTCGCCCCGCTAGGCCTTAAGCACAGCCTGGAAGGTGTCGTAGCTGAATGGACGCTTCGCGCCCTCGGCAGAGTATTTGGCCATCTGCTCCTCGAGGGCGGTCTTGACCTTAGCAAGCTTAGAGGTAAGAGATGAGTGCAGCTCCTTGTCAAGGGCAATGCCATGGACCAAGAGACTCAATCGAAGTCCATTGTAGATTGGGACAGTCTCCTGAAGCCACTTTTCTTGGTCTCCGAGATATTCACTGGCAGGGGCCGTTTCATGTCGGGACAGAAGCTTGGACTGAACCAGCTTTCGGGCAGCGCTGATGACTTCATTGGTTTCATCCTTGCCGCTAAACTCGTTGATCGCGCGGGAAGCGGCGAGCTCCAGCAAAGTGCCGATGACAAAAGGCTGAACCAGAGGGTCACTGATAGGTGCAGGCTTCCAGTTCTTGTCCACGTAGCGGTCTGCCTCCATCAACTCGATCGCCTGCTTCGCAAGACCCATGGCCTTCTTCACATCTTCGCCCTTGTATTCCGCCTTCTGGGCAATAGTGTGCAATTCAAAGAACAGGCGTCTGTTCAGGTCGATTCCTCGTAGTTGCAGGCCGGTGCGGCTTTGTTGTTTGGCGCATTGGAGCATGACGGAGAGCTTGTTAGACTTGTTGGTCACACGCATGAGGTGCTCCCACTGGTTGGAATTAAGAACAAAATTGGCCGATCCCAGACCGCTCATGAAGGGAACAAGGTTCTTGTAATCGTTGGCAGCCTCCATAAGCTTGAGAACCTTCAGGGCCTCCTTTTTAGTTGGCAGATCGGTGAGCTTCATGGGTCGCAAAGTGAACTGCTCATTCTCGCCAATGCTGACAGTGATGGGTTCGTCGATTAGCCTTTGCGCATGCTTTTCTTGGAACATGCTTCTCCGTTGCCGCCTAGGAAGACCGTAAGGAATAAAAAGCTGTTGTCGGAATCGGTTAAGGGCTTGGTCCAATTCGGCGGAGGAGGTCGGGGTGAAAGTCGGCACAGCTGTATATCAGGAAATTCAACCATTAGAAAAGGGACGAGAGCCAATTTCAAACACAAGGATCAACAGCCTACCTGATCCAGAATAATTGCGGACTTGCGAAAAGGTCATCGACTGGCCGAAGGTGCCCGGCCAGCGAAAGAGCCTACCCATAACAGTTTGCGCCATGATGGAGGGTGTATGAATATAGCAGAAAGATATGCAGTGATATCTGATTCAATTAACCCCACTGTAGCAAAGAACTTGTCCAGCAGACTGCTTTCAATAGCCAGCAAAACGCGGATGCGCGAGAGAGAGGAGGCGGAGAAGAATCTCGACGGACCAAGTCGAGGCTTGGCGGAAATTCTGCCAGACACCGCGCCAAAACTCAACGCCGACTTTTGTCAACTCCTCAGCAACATCACAACCATGGCGGCCTTACCAACAATGCGGCAGCTGGGCTGTCTGAGAGCTTTGCTCAAGACCCAGGAGGCTGTTCAGCCGCAAATTGGTCGTCGATTCATCTCGACCATCTACTCGCAGCGCCCCGAGCGCGTGCCTCTCCCTCCGAACCTCCCCAAGCAATTCCTATCACAATTACCTGTGCGCATGCAGCCGGAAAATGGTGTGTATTTGGACTTGAAAAGGATTCCTCCAGCTAGCTTTTGCTAATTGTATCATTCAATTCCTAGGCCCCAAGCCCGTCAAGGTCTACCCTCCGCCCCCGTCCGCTCGCAACGCCTGCAAGGATCCAGTCGGCAGTGTTACCGATTCGCAAATGACAGTTCTCGACCCCAAGGGAGACCGAAAGGCTCTATTTGATTACCGACGGAACACCCGCAGTGTCAAGCCCGGCGACATTGTCCGAGTTACCTTCAAGAACGGCGACCCTTTCAACGGTGTTGTGCTGAGCATCAAGCTCCGCGGTATCGATACCTCCGTCTTGCTACGGAATGAACTCACCCGTGTGGGTGTCGAGATGTCCGTTAAGATCTTCAATCCCAACATTCAAAGTGTCGAAATTGTCCAGCGTGCCATGCGCAAGCCTCGCCGCGCCAGGCTGTTCTACATGCGGTATGTCGACCTTCCAATCTACCTAACCTATACATTCATTCTATTATGGTACTAATCCATTCATCTAGGTCCCGCAAGCATGACCGCCGCAGTGTCGAGAACGTTGTGGCTGCTTATATCCGCCAGAAGAGGGCCTTCCTCGGTGGAAACAAGCGGTAATTGGACAAAGACTAAGCGTGGTCTCTTCTGCATATCCAATGGTGTACTATTATCTGTCAATATTAAACAATTCTCTTTTTCGTCGATTCATGACTTCATTTTTGGCGTCTGGTTTATACTGTTCGCGCATGCTTGTAACACGGTATCTATTACAATTGATCGATTGATGTCACGGAACCTCGAAAGGGGTCCGTAACACCACATGTTCTTGATGGGTGAGTGGAAATGATATATTGACAATTATATAATATTTTAGGCATACAAAGTTCGTTGTTGTCGTTCACCCAGACACTGTGTCGGAATTACACAGTGATTCGACGAGCCTTGAGATACTCATAGTCAGGCATGGAATCCCTCACGGCTTTCTCGATCATCTGAGCAATCTCCTCGCCAAATTCGACCTTCCACTTGGCCGCTTCAGCGTCAATGTCAATACTCACGGGCGCTTTGTCCTTGACGATACCCTTCGAGTCTTCCAGGGTCGACAGCATGATCGAGGCAGCACGGTTATGCAAGTCACGCTGCTGTTGATCAGCATCTGTCTCGGGAGCAGCCCAATTATCGGACTTCTTCTGCTCATTCTTGCCACCCCACTCAAATTGCAGAGCACTTTTGTCTAGGCCGGTCTGCTCGCAGAGCTTGTACACGATCTCTGGGCTGTGGATGAGATCGTGAGCATCAACCACAGGCGGTGCAACCGACACATCTGGCTGCTCCAGGCACCAGTCGTACAGCATACGAGACCAGTGCATGGTCATGTTGGTCAAAGACGAGCCCTTGACCCCATCCTCATCCATGTACCCTTCCTTGGCGATCTTCACCATCGCACGGTACATCGATGGCCAGGCAAGAGCCGGGTGACGGATAATGAAGGCATATTGCCAGGACCGCATGTACTCATCTGATAAGACGGTCTCGTTGCCCGGGGACCAACTGCTCGGACCGTAAGCCTGGGGCATTTCGGACCGAAGATCCTTGAAAAATCCGGGGTCCTCGCAGCCAGTCCTCATCTTATGAAGGGCAGCCGGGTTGAAGAACCAGAATGCATGTTCTTTGGTGAACATGGCCTTGTTGTTCTTCTGCGCCACCGAAGACTCATCTTCGAGAGTCTCCAAACATTCCTGGAATCCCTTCTTCACAGACTGCCTATCATCTTGGGTCCATTGCTCGGGTGATTTGGCCAAATGGCCGTTCTGGGCCGCGGATACAAATGCGGGATAGAAGAAATACCCGCCCTTCGGGCTGGTGTGAAACTGGGGTTGATCGTGAATGTTCAAAATCTTCAACAAAAGATTGGAAGCTGTGCGGGGCACCGAGATGAGCAGCAACCGGCGAGGGGTGGCGGGGCTAGCGCTGGTCACTTGGGGAGTCTCAGAGATAGCCATGGCCGAGGAGATGGATAGTATAGGGCTATGAAGAATAAGCTTAATTGGGCTTGAAGCAATGAGCGAGCGTGAAAATGACTACATTCTGGGGGCTAATGGCGTGATTATATAGTACAAGTAGGATCTGAAGTCTATCTAAACTTGTCCGAATCAAAACTATCCACAGTCCCTAGTTTTCTGTGCAGTTTTACTAGGGCCCTAGCGCACTCATCGTATTTGCTAAGAGTAGAAATGACAAATTTCGGCCTTTGACGGTGCGGATTAAGCCCGACGTGGTGGAGAAAGGGGTGTGCCGTCTTGGCTTTTGAGTGGGCTTCTTCATGTTGATCTTCACCTCCAAGATTTTCCTTGGTGGGTAACTGATTGAAACATCTCGGCACTCGGACAGTCGGCTTTCCGACTAGAAACCATCGTGTGATGGGCCTTACGATTATAGATGCAGGACGCTTTAATCTCGATGTAACACGAGCCTGCATGTACCCAGGACTTGTTGACTATTCAACGCATCTTGTGGTCGAAATCCACAGTATGTCTGGGTCCAATAGGGATGAATCCAAGCGGATGACATTTTATCCAGCCCTATTAATACGCTTTCGGGAAACAGGGCTATGGAAAGTAACCCCATTGTGGAAACTTTGGAGCTCGGAATACTCCGCAGATCCATGGATGTCGGACTTATCACAATTCAGCCTAACTAAGCCCAGTCAGAGGTGTCTATGTACATAAAGGTGGAGCCTGGATTGATTCCCAGGTGACGATACGGAGTACGAAGTACCTACATGGGTTCTAAGCCTGTGTTGGAGCACTATACTTCTAATCTACAAGTGATAAGTATCATGAAGTTACCTAGGACGATAGCGACACAAGTATACCTTATCAGATGCGTAATTTAGGTTTCCAGCAACCTTGGGACGGTCTATTTTCTATTGGCCTTGATCGGGGAATAGTCCGTCTTGAACACAACCTCGTTGCCATGATCACTTGCCAACTTCAATCCAACAAACTCCCAGCCGTCAACCTTGGAAGCTCGCTAAAATTCGGAGGCTTATGATGGATGATCAAGTCAGCCTCTTTGGCCTTAACATTTTAGCTACACAGTCATTGGGGGTCAACCCAGGTATCTTTGATTATATCAATACGAGACTTGAAGGGTTGGACCATGCCGATAGTTAAGCTACGACAATGGAAGTTAGTTACCCTGTGATAGCCAAGCCTTGGAAATCACTTTTTGCTGGTTTAATGAGAGTTTTCTAGAATTGATAGCTTTCAAAGCTATCATTGGGTAGGATAAATATTAAAAGGTTAGATTCCCATGATCTGATTAGATCTTGGTACCATCTTCTTCATATCGTATCTGCTACTTTTTTCAAGATGAAATGCTCTATAAGTTCTTCTGTGCCAAGCATGCGTGTTTCCAGAACAGGCCGACAGATCCGCAGATCTGTATAGTTGCTCTTTTACCCTGTCTATCCGTACTGCTACAGTCATTCAATCTGAAATATAACATCGAATGGAATAAAGATAGATTTAGAATTGGGATATCAAGCAGAATCAATTAAATTTTCATTTCCCATTTCTTGCTCAGCTCATCATTCCCAGCCACTCATTCCCTCCGCCGTTCACGTGATCATCTTGCTTCACCGGAAAAGCGCAACACGATTGATTCAGCAGCTCCACAACTTCTCAGTCCAACACAGCGCGATTGTCAATCTCATTGGTGCGCAATGGCAGCGGAAGGAGATCTGGGGGATTTGTTGGCCAAGGTGCTCCCCACCGGTGCCCAGATCATCGTCCGTCATGTTTCATCCACTCCCGCCCCTTCGGCGGCCTTGTTTGCAGCTGCACCGGGCCAGACTACAGAGGCAACTTTTTGTGAAAATCATTTCCTGTCGGTCTCAATTGATGCTCCGAGGGATTGCGGGGAGCATGAAGGTGCGGAGATCATTGTGTTTGGCATGGAGGTGCTGGTCTATACCACGGCCCACCTGACGACCATCTTTGTCTCCAAGGCCGACTCAACAGGCTTACTGCACTTGCTTAAGCTTCCACATAAAGTATCGGTGCTGCGACTTGTCACAAACACATTTCTATCCTATCTGGCACGCACACATCAGCGACCGGGAGTTCGATTGGTGATCTCTTTGTTCGCACGCGCCCAAAACCAGTACCTCTTCCCGGGTAGCATCGAGAACGCCGAAAAACATGTCCTCGATGACCGCGGCCTGATTAAGTGGTGGTGCCGATCAGCCGATCCAATTCTTCGTGAACATGAACCCGAGACCGTCTCCCAGGACTCCAAGCAACAGAACCAAACGGGTGAAGCAGCCAAGGCATCTGCGACAGCATATCTGATTGTCCCAGGGTGTGATCGCTTTGAAACTCGTACTTTCTTCCCAGCCACTGCCAAATCGGACCCGCAGGACCGTCCGCGATGGTTGAGCAGCTATCCCCTCAAGCAAATGGTTCATAACCCCTCGGCTCCACCGCGGTGCTTGATTCCCCGGCTTCCAGACGATCCGAAAACGCGCTTCCTGATCGATCTGGACGATGAGCTACCCGAGCCGGCAGAAGGCGACGGCGAGGGCGCCGCCGCTCAAAATACTGGGGTGTGGCGAAGCGTTCGATCTTTGGATCAGTTCTGGGAGATGATGTCTTTCCGGCAAGAGTGTTCGGCCGGCCGTTTAGTTGGATTCCTCTGGCTTGTTATCAACCCCCCGGGCCTGATGAACTCGACAACTATGGCCAGTCGTTCACGCAGTACCTTGTCAGCGCCAACTATTCCCGCTACGGATATTCCCAAGTCCTCTTTGAGTGATGCCTCGGTCCAAGAGGTCCCTGAGCAACCAAAAACGGACGATGCATCGCCAAATGAATCCGTGAAGCCCGTAACTTCGCAAGTCGTACCCGAGGTCCCAGAAGAATTGCCGACCTTCTTCGACCGGCCCTCAACGTCACAATTTACGGACACAAATCCATTCTACTGGCCCGAAGCCGGACGAGGACAAGTCATCTTAAACGACGCTGACTATAAGGTCATGATGGATGGAGTTTTGGATCATCTCTACAACAAGAAGGAAATTGTCGCCAGCACCAAGGAATACGTCGACCAAGTGGCCTCTCTTGCCGACCAGCTTACATGGGGCAAGCGGGTTGTGGGCACCCACTCTCCCGATCAGGCCAATGCTGAAACGGCAGCGACAAACAATATTCTTGATAGCGGCCTCATCCGCAAGCGAAAAAAGTCGGGAAGTCAAAGCACCAACATCGATGGTAGTGCATTGCAGCCAAGTGGGTCAGATGAAACAGCATTCGCTGCTCCATCGCAGCCAGCTCCTGTGAATGTGCTCAATGCAGGCTTGGTACGAAAGAAGAAGAAAACGTGATATTAATATATAAATTTTTAGTTCTTATTTGAAATTTCGGGGTTTCTGGAGTATGGACGGGGGCGTTTTTGCATCTGATTGGAATGAAATGCAATGCAATGGGGACTTGGAGACTTTCGCTATTCGTTCGATCCGATACACATGCTGGCTACTCAGATCAATATACTTCTCTATGGATACTGCTAGGCTAAATTGAAGCAGGGTCTACTAGAAACTACCTAGAATACTTCGATTATTGTGTCCACAGCACATCGGTTGGTAGATCTGCCAATTAGTCAAGGACCGCGGTTTTTCCCTTTACTATCCATCCTAACCCATTTCACATAAAATGGAAGGTGATGCTGCACGCCCGAGTGATGAGAAATTTAGTCAGGTACTTGAGGATAGTCTCAAGACATGGTCTTCCAATGTCAATATCCAAAGCGAGGGCTGTCCTCTGCCCCGGCATGCGATAGACCTGGGACCTCGCGTCAATCACACCTCACCTTTCCTCGGTGGTCCTACTGGCCTCGCTATTTTGGATAAGTCCACCTCGTTCGCTTGTGAGGAGAAGCAATTAGCATAGTCGAATGGCACTCTTGTCATTAATGGCCAATCAACTTGGAGAACCTCCTACGAGAATTGTGATTTTCAGTCAATGATCATACCTAAACAACTTCTATTTGGGGGTTGGCACGAAGGCCATGATCGACTTCCAGTTTGGCCTTGAAAGCCCTTCGGATTTACACACCTTAATGATACAGAGCTCCCAGTTCGACAGCATGCTCATTGTGCATCCCACTGCCTAGAATACGACTGTTGGGAATGGATTCTGATAAACAGCAATTCAATTCGGTGTTCAAGTTCTTGGGCAGGAAATGGCCAGCCTCCTTGCCAAGAATCTGCCTCATCATTCGACAGGACATTGGCTAGGCTTGATGATTACAAGTATGACTTCTATTCACAAATCTCTTTCTGAGGAAGCTAAACGTGGAATATTTGAAGAATGGGTAAGGTCGACAGGGTAGCCTCGCAGCGAAAGGGCAAGTTATGAGCATTCTTGGTTGGATCTGGAAGACACCGACGATGAAGAGGAGCCTGACGAAACAGAGTCCGACAAGGAAATACTGGTACAGCAGGACCCAAGGAAACCCTGCATTGCAGGGTGGCTCGAACTCATCGAATAGCTCCTGGGATCATCTCAGATCGTAATCACCCGCAATTTGAGGGTTGAGGTTTTACCTTGAAGCCGTCAGATATCCAGGGAGTCGGTATAAATAGTGTAGATACCTAGGTATACAAAGATTTTAGAGACTTTTACCTAGGTATAGCTTGGCATGAAATAATGTAACATAAGATATTGATTCTTCGTACAGGCTTACAACTTGACGGGAATGGCTCAATAGTGACCCACGTTACTAGGTCCAATTGAGTATATGTAGTATGAAGACCCTTGGGCACATTCAATACTAGCAGCGACTTGGAGAATGCGCAAAAGTAGAGGGAAGAAGAATGCAATTGAAAGATAAATAAAGGTGATTAAAAAAGGTGATGTAAAGAAAGACTAATGAATATAATAGTAGTCAAATCAATTGAATCTGATACCTAACTAGTTATGTGTTGATAGCTTCGTGTTACCTGAAGGCGGTGCGGCAAAAAGAATGCCGCTGCATCCGAGCTTGAGCAACTGTCAGACCTCCACCCATTGGTATTTCTCTCTATCCTCGTCCACGATCCTAGAATGTGCGCCTTGGCGGCACCCCTGCCTCCGTCTTTCATGCTAGTGCCGACCTTATCGTTCCTCCAATCGCCCACCGATGGCGCTGTGTCAGTGTCTGTCGCGGCCGGCTGGATTGGTCTGATTTGGTACATCGCCGTGCTGGCCGTGTGCGCGTTGGGCTATTTCCAGATGTATGCCCGATACCCTATACCCTGATGCTCAATCCCGCCTATCTCTCGTCCACAAGGGGTTACTAGACCACTAGCTAACCTTCTCTTGGCATTGCAGATGGAGACACTTTTTGCGCCGGCCGCGCCCTTCCCGTCTGGCGTCCGATCCAAACGCCTCCCATGTCACCGCGATCCGTCCTGTCAAGGGCCTTGAGCCACATCTTTACGACTGTCTCGCTGCGACCTTCCAACAGCAATATCCGCGTGACAAGTTGACCGTCTGCCTCTGCGTCGAGTCACGAAAGGACCCAGCCTACCCAACTCTCTGTAAACTGATCGCCGATTTCCCAGATGTCGACGCCGAAGTTTACATTGAGGAGGAAGATCCTCTCTTGCAGGGCAGTGGGCCTGGTTCATACGCACTTGGTCCGAACCCCAAGGTCCGGAATATGAGTCGGGCCTACCGTGAAGCAAAGGGTGATATCATTTGGATTATCGATTGCAATGTCTGGGTTGGGAAGGGAGTCTGCGCTCGAATGGTCGATAAATTATGCGGAACTGGAGCTACACCAGGCAAGAAATACAAATTTGTGCACCACCTGCCTTTGGCCGTGGATGTGACGGGGGAGAGCAATGTACTAGAGCAACGACAAGCACTCCTGGATGCTCGTCCCGAGGCCACGGAGGCTGAGATCGCCTTATCCTCTAGCCGACCAGAAGACGGGCTGGCAAGCATGCTTGCTACCGGAGGCGGTCGTCTCGAGGAGCTGTTTCTCTCATCCGCCCACGCAAAGATGTACACCGCCATCAACACTGTCCTGGTCGCGCCGTGCATTGTGGGCAAATCGAACATGTTCCGCCGTTCGCACTTGAACTATCTGACCACCCCGTCCACTGCTTGTCCCGATCCTCGCTATCCTGGTATCGATTACTTCTCTGAGAACATCTGTGAAGATCACCTCATTGGAGATCTCTTATGGCGCCGAAAGGTGCGTGAGGAGAAAGAATTCGGCGAGCATTGGGGCAAACACGCCATGGTCTTCGGAGATCTGGCAATACAACCCGTCGCAAACATGAGTGTCCGTGGATATATTGCGCGTCGAATTCGATGGCTTCGTGTTCGCAAATTCACTGTCTTGCTCGCAACGCTTGTCGAGCCCGGTACCGAGTCATTTGTTTGCTCTATTTACGGCGCCTGGGGTGTCACAGCTGCATTGGCACCGTTCATGGAGCACAAAGGAATAGATCTTGGCGTGGACTTGTCCACTTGGTCCGCATTTTTTGCCTTTTTTACTTTGGGCATGGCGTTCTGGATTCTAGTCGATTGGACCCTCTACGTCAAGCTGCACTCTGCCAAAGCAATCGAATTGGATGAAAATACGCCCTGTTTTGCACGGCCTGTTCAACCCCGTTCTCAAACAACACGCCGCACTTTCCTGCAGTGGTTTGCGAGTTGGTTAGGCCGGGAAATTCTCGCGTTGCCCATCTGGCTCATTGCTGTGTATGGTGGTGTGACTGTTGTCTGGCGGGATCGGCGTTTCAAGGTTGGATTTGATGCTAAGGTTAGAGAGATTGATACCGAGTCTGTCTCGCCACAGAATGCGGACGGCAAGGCGAGAAAAGTCCGACGTGATTGATGCATGATGCTCTAAAAGACGGGCGTCCGGCTGGCTGATCTTGGGCTGTAAAATATTGCATGAATCCTTTTAGGCCTAAACAAAAATAGAACTTCGCATTTAGCCGCATCTCCAAGCTAAACACCTCATGAATAAAAGAAGATTCTCGGTCCTCATTAGAAACGAAGTAAAATAAGATATTTTTGAACTAGCTTAAAACAACCAGCCCTTGTCTATTGATATTGCCAAATTTTTAGAAGAATGTAATCCGTAAACCAACTTAACACATGACCTCATTTATGCAGAGCTCTCACCCTCCTTGGCACCACTCTCCAGACCAGCAGACTTCTCCGAGCTGAGAAGCCACTCGACAACCTGTCTGCCTGCAGACATCTCACCAGCCGACTGCTGGCCCTCGCCCTCACCCTCACCTTCACCTTCGCCGATAGTCATCTCAATCTCCTGGTCTCCGTTCTCATTCTCCTCGACAACTTCCGCAGAGGCAGACCAAGCAGCGCGCTCAGCCAAGAACACGGCATCGTGGCCGGCATCGTTCTTGATAGCAACGTCCGCACCAGCTTCGACAAGAGCCTTGACACACTCCAGGTGCGTGTTCAGGGCAGCCCAGTGCAGCGGTGTGTTACCGGAGTGGTTAGTGTGGTTGATGAAAGTCGTGCGCAGGGCAACGTCTCCAGCGGAGAGCTTCTGAAGAAGAAAGCTGAGGATTTCTAATAACCTTTAGTACACTTCATGATACTGTATATCTCATGCGTATACACAGTGTGCATGTATGAAATCGCGAAGAAATAGATTGAAGGGAATTCAACATACCAATGTTGCCGTTGGCGGCAGGGAAATGCAACACGCAAGATCCAGTGCCTCCCTCGCTCTCGTCCTCGATGTCGATAGCAGATGCGACAATCTGAGCCTCGGAGCAGCTATTTTGAGAGGCAAGACTGGCGACATCGGCCTTCAAGGCCTCCAGATCACCTGCGCGGGCATCGTAGATGAGGTCATCGATAGACTCGGTGGGGAGTGCAATGGGCACGGTAGGCTTGGGCTTTGAAGCAGAGGAAGCCATGATGTGATAAGCCTTAGCTGATTTTATTTTTTTGAACTGTGAATCCTTCTTCGTGGAAAAGTGGATCGTTGATTCTTTTCTGCCGCCACAGACAAGAATTCGATGTGCGCTAGTGGTATGTTAGTAGATGAATTGGATGATAAGCAAGTGAATGGAGTAAAGATCAAATTGGGAGAAATAAAATGGAGAGCAGTGAGATCTGGGTCAAGGATTCGCAGTCCAAACATGCAAGTACTGCCATCAATCGCGAGGATCCCCGCCATTTGGAGGAGTATGATAAGAGCACTGATCAGTGATGCATTGGATTTCCAATTTACCACGGTCTGATCGGGGTTGGGCTTGGAAGAAAGAAAAACACGCATGGTTTGAATATAACGGACACAAATTCACAATTCGTACCTTATGTGATTGACGTAACCTGGAGATTTCTTGAATTTGTGAAGTCTTCACTCGCCGCAGAAACTTTGATATCGGCGCGCACGTGACTTGATGGCGGGGTTGCCCGTTTAGGGCGGGTCATCTATAAAATTGAAAAGCTTCCGAGAGTACCTGGATCATTGATGTTTTCTGGTCGGTTTCAGCACAATATATCCTTCGGGCTAACTTCAAGTTGAATATGTCATTCGTATTCAAATATTGCTGTAGGTCATAACTGGATATTAGGGAAGAGACGACATCGGGCCATGAAATATCGAGGAGAAAATGGAAAGGCTATCTTGGTCACTAGTATACCATATAGTATGTATATGCAACCGATTAGATTTTGTGCTTAATATTAATGTTACAAATGCGAAAGAACAGTATCAGCCTTTTAAGGCCTGGCAAAACTGCGTCTATTCGCATGCCAGCAAAAGCCAAGAAACCGCAAACGCCGCCAAACCCCACGCCCTGTGTGGAAGGTATCAAAAGCCCCATGATGCGAATGGTGTATATGAGAGTAGAAGCAGAGATGATAAGGGTATCAAGCCACGCGAATCAATCCCTCAACCAAGCTCTCCGCTTCTCTTCCTTCTTTTCCCTTCGCTTTTCCTTAAACATCTTCAGCTCCTGCTTGGTGAGCTTCTTAGCGCTTCTCTCCGCCCGCAGACTCCGGCCGTCATGGTCATTAGCCGCAGAGTCAACATCAAAGAATGCATTCATTTGTCGATAGGACTTGTTATCCTGATTGTGGTTCTCCGGGTTGATTGATCCAGCTTGCCAACGACCAGTAAATCGATTAAATGTACCGGCAGCGCCGTACGCAGCCGTCGGATCAACCGCAGGACCACCGGTTTCTTGTGCTTGTTCTTCATACTGCTGCGCATAGGACGCGGTCGGGTCGTAGTCACCGTGGATAGCAGGATTGTAGCCACCAAGCACCGGTGCCTTTTTCGCCGCAAGTTCTTCCGCAGCTGGAGCTTCTTCGGTGGGAACGCGAGAGGGTTCTCCCACTGTGAAATTCCAGTGAGTCGGTTGAAGAAATAGTATGCCTGACTGCTGGCATCCCACACAGGTTCCCAACCATCGTCCTCGCCTTGGCCGGGCGGTGCTTCATCGGGGAGCGGCGGAGGAACTTCGTCGGGTAAGGGGGGGCGCGGACGCATCTTCTTGCTTGGGATCGCCGTCGTCGTTTTCTAACTCTTCCTCTTCTTCCTCTGGTTCCGGGGTATCCTGGTCGTCGTTATCGTGGTCTTTCGTTGATGTTGTCTGCGTCTCGGATTTCTGCGCCATGACGGCCTGCGGCGGCGACGGCATTGGCGAAGTGTCGGCGCGCTCCTCCGCAGAAGTTGCGGTGTCCTGTAAACCTTCCGACATCCTAGGTAGCGGTCAACACACACCTGGGCACCTCTTGAGGGAGAACTAGAAGATGCGCAGGTTCGGGAGCGTTGCTTGCATGGAGAGGCGGTTAAGGCTCCAGGCCAATGGACAACGCCCGCGTCCTCACCGCCCTGGGGCAAGGCTCAAGTAGACATACTCGAGTTGGACGATGGTGTAGATTGAAGCTGTAGTAATTTTCAAAAATTGGACTTAGATTTGAGAAAATAATCTCACATTACTCTTCGATAATGGTAGTACTAAATGTTAATCTAAAGAACGGGGATATTACCAGCCCTGCAGTGAAGAATTGGCGAGTCAACCTCAAGGTTGAACCTGACCCTAAAGGTCTACTAGTTACCCGTGGGATATATATTTAGGTATATCTTGACAACCTTGGAACTTGAATTTCATTCAGGCACTTTTTTCTAGGCTCAGACTGAAAATACATAATACTACTGTAACAATCAGTATATTGCTACTAGTAATGAACCTTGGAAATTGTACACAATGCATCATAATCATTATGGTGAGGTAATCACAGCAAAAGAGAATGTACTACCTACTAATACTAGTAGTACCAGTCGTTACTAGTATAGTAGTAGTATCTACGATGTTTCAAGTCGATGATCGCTAGGGTATCTTCAAAGATTGGAAGCAATTTTGATAACTTCAAGAGCTTGAACAATTCGAGTCTGGTTCATATATCTAATTCCTATTGAGACTACATCGGTATATTCTGGTATGCTTAGAAGAATCGGGCTTGCCGGACAGATTTGTTTTGAATGAGCTTCCCAGAAAGTGCATACGTCTACATGTCTATCTATCTCGAGAACAGGACTAAACTGTTGGCTCAATGACGTGCAATACTGCTAAATAACAACATGGCTGTGAATCATTCAACAGCCCAACACAGAAAGAAATTGGTCATTGCCAGCTGTGGATTGCAAGAACCTCGGCCATTCCATTGGGACAGACAAAACTTGATTTGCTTTCAGCGGTGGAGCCGTATGCTAGGTTAGAGACGACTATTAGGGTAGGGGATTAAGCGGGGGGAAACAGGAACAGGGGTCTCGGATTGCCAGGCTATGAGCCAAGGAGAATAATTTCGGGGTATGAAGGTTAATCTCTTGAAAACTGGGCAATGCAAATTGGTGCTCAGAGTATTACTTGCAACAAAGACTAAGACCATTACAATCCTCAAGTCTATTGTTGTGATGCTGGATCTCACATAGCCCGACCAGGGCCTCAAGACAGACGTAATTAAGCAGCGTTACGGTGCTCAATTCTTCCTTGTGGCCCAAGGGCGTGAAACAATGAAGGGAGGGCGGGAAAGACATCCCTATGGCCGAAGCACAGGTAAGTGGGTGAATGGGCGTGCTCCCTTGCAGCAGGATTAACCATGCGCCCACGCACTCCACAATATTTTGGGGTGTTCTCACTGAACAGCACGATCCCGACCACTCTCTGGCTTGTAGGGCCCGGTAACATGCCTTAGCTCCCGAGAGCCTGCAGGGTCGTGGCGGAGGAGACCACCAGCGGATCCTCCTCCTGCGGAAGCTGGTTCAGGAACAGAACCCAAATGATCCACTCAATAAGGTACCTGACTCAAAAGAAAGAAACATTGGTTATTCGAGAAGACTCCTTGGTGTGGTTTCACCCAATGTGAATTACTTTTTGAATAGTCCAATATAATTTCAAATATCACGGGCAAGTAATTCATTCATGTCGGTATAGAGCAGTGAATACAAACCTCAGCCAAACAAACAAAAGCTACAGTAATCATGAATCTAGAGTTTTCGAATGGGCCAGAGCGCGAGAATGCCAGGCCAAATGACCCCAGCGCGTGAAGTGAGCCTAACAGGCTTCGTAGATCCATACCAGGAGGCCCTGGAAGTGGAGTGATCCTCCCTTCCCTTTCCTTACAGGTCGCATTCCGGGGACAAGGAGGAGATTACGATGGAGGAAGTAAACAGGCTCTAAGTGAGTGAACCAAGGAGCCCACAGACCACCACTGAGATGTATAAAGGCGTCTTCCTTCATCGCCCAGATAATCTTTTCTTCATCACGCATCACTCTCTTTAACTATCTCTTTCTGAGCAGTCTTCTCTTCTTTCTCAAGAATATCTTATCTTCCGAGAACACCTTTCGTTCATACCCAACCCCACCGACACAATGCAGTTCACTCTCTCCGCTGTTCTGGCCCTCGCTGCCACCGCTTATGCCCTTCCTCCCTCCGGCCCCTCTGCTGGTGGTGTTGGTAACGCCAACGGCGTCGGCAACAAGGGCAACACCAACGTCCGCTTCCCTGTCCCTGACAACATGACTGTCAAGCAGGCTCAGGCCAAGTGCGGTGACCAGGCTCAGCTCTCTTGCTGTAACAAGGCCACCTACGCCGGTGACACCACTGATGTCAACTCTGGCATCCTCGGCGGTACCCTGAGCAACCTGATCGGTGCTGGCTCCGGCTCTGACGGTCTCGGTCTCTTCGACCAGTGCTCCAAGCTGGACCTCCAGATCCCCATTCTCATTGCCATCCCCATCCAGGATCTGGTCAACCAGAAGTGCAAGCAGAACATTGCCTGCTGCCAGAACTCCCCCTCCAGCGCCGTAAGTACCATATATTCAGTGCGATCGATTGGCATATCTAACAATTCACCAGAACTCCGACCTCGTCGGTGTCGGCCTGCCCTGCGTCGCCCTTGGCTCCATCATCTAAGCGCTCTACCATGTTTTCTGGCATTATGCGAGAAGCAATGGCCTCTGCGCCGGTCCTTGTCACCCTTCTGGGTATCATGGTTCCGACACAAGCGCTGAAATGAACTGTTATCGATTCTCGGAGAAGGAAAGTCGGAGGTGCTGGTATCTGTTTGGAATAGTTAGGCGATCTGATCTTATCCCACCCGTGTATCATTAGCTGTGTCGTGTGGCACCCTCGGAGAAAGAAGACTGTTTTCGTTTTTATGTTTGTCTTTTGGCATGATGCCTTTGCTTCTTGTTTTGGTGCACTGGAACCGGATTAGCTGCTGTCTATCCCGGTATTCTTTCGCATATATACCTTTAATCCATTAGATTTGCTCTAATGTGTTTCATAAAGTAGCATTGTAGTCACCAATTTAACATACTATCAAATTATCCTCTCTGACCTTCCAGTATAACCTCCCGCCTAATAACACTCATATCGACAGAAACTTCTGTTATTTTCTTGGAACATTAGGTTCAAGCTGCGCCAGTGATGGATACGTCAGTTTTTAATGTTATCTCTTCCTCATTTGCTATACAAGCCAAAATATGGCGGTCAGACCCAAGGCCGCTAGCCCTACTACTAGTAGTTGTGAGAGGTGTGGAGCCACCAGATCTGTACACAATATCAAGCAAGGTCCACCGCCAACGAGTAGTAGTAGTTCAGCATGATTCGCTCAAATTCGCTTGTTTGCTATTCATAACTATATTTGTTGACTTAGACGAGGTTGCCTACCGTCCGGCTGATGATGTATATACAAATTCCCTTTTTGATTGATCTCTATCAATAAGTTCTTCCAACACCTTCGCTGGTCCAAATTCCGATATCCCGTCCTCCACCAATACCATGAGCCTCCAGCCACTTTTCTTCGTCTTTCTCGGAAACTAAACACTCCTCATCCGCCAAGCTTGAAGCATCTACATCGATCCATCTGGGAGATGTGGGAGATGTGGGAGATGTGGGAGATGTGGGGGCACGCACTGTCTTCATAGACACCGGCGATCGAGGTAGTCGGAAACTATACGTCTTTCGAAAGAGACCAGTCATCGAACGACGTAATTTTGAACCTTTCTTCCCGCTTTCCTTCTCCATTCCGACATTATCACCGCTCTTTTCTTCTCGCTGGCGCTTCAAGTAGCCGTTTTTGAAATATCTGGTCTCATCCAACGCCGTCTTCTCTCCTGTCTCGATGGGAGCTTGTAGCTTTTTCGGCGGTGTATCAAACGGCGACTGAACGGTGTCGAGCTTGAGAATTGGATACTCGGGTCTTGACAAAGCTCTCGCGGCTCTGTTATTTGCATCATCCAGGAGCTGCCCATTGTCGAAGAGATTTTGCATCTGAATGCTCAGACTCAATTGCGCGGGACTCATTTGCTCATGTTGAACTGGGGTCTCGGTCGGGAAAGTGGGCTCGTGAGCGGAGTGGTGGACAGCTGTCGATGCGGACGCCATGCTTTCAGCTCGAGCAAGGGAGGTTGTATTTGAGGAAATTTTGATTAGGTCGTTGTAGTCGTCTTCCAGACGTTGTGGTTTGTTATTTGTGGAGAGTCTGCGGGAGAGCTTGTTATCGCGTACGCAACGAGCAACAGAAGAGATGAAGCCCATGATTGATGTTGGAGGATTTATCTCTTTTTGTACTTGAGATTGAGGGTTTTTCAGGGTGCTGGGACGTGGGGGGGTAGTATAGCTGATAAACTAAATCGCTGGGGCTGGGGCAAGGGGTGTCTTGGGCTGGGATTGCTGCATTGTACGTGCAGCACGCCTTTAATACAGAACTTACGGTAGATATTAGGCATGCACTAGATATGTGGGAAGGTAATTTGAATGTGAGCGATGTTGTACGGATTTTCTAGCCATTGACTATAGAATGATGGGATCATGCTGCGCTAACGGTTGTTGTGAAACGGTCGGCGTTCAATCTGAAGGTGGAGGTGTATGAGCCAAAGTGATGCACGAGACGTTCTTGCGTTGAGCACCAATCAATCGACCAGGCTAGTCTACACTCTAACAGTTCACAAGTACGTTCCTTGATGTAAGTGTACTTGGGTACTTGAGACCGACGCATCTACTCTGCACATTTGTTGTACAAAGGAGTGACAAGACAGCACATCCATCAACGTGATCTCATGCAGCACGGTGGTAGACGCATTAAAGCTCCCATGATCGGAGCTTGCAGCAATCAACCGGAAAGCTGTCAAGCCGATCATGACAAGTCCAATCGCGAGAGCCGGAGGATCGCATTCCCCAGAGGATCTGTCAAGGGCGTATGCAAGGATGCCCCTGGCTGACACGAGCGGCTCGGCGATGCAGCTCGCCCTCAGTTTTTTGTGCTATGATCCTGGCATGCACCAGCTATTGTGTTCAAATGCTCGGGCGCGGTTGGCATTGCAGTGGACGATGGAATGCTCGGGCCTACAGTATAGTCGATCTCAGGAACTAGAACTCCACTTGAAGGAATGCAGCGCATGGACCCCAGCCATCGCGCGCAAGTTAATCCCTTGTGGAAATGGCGGTGTCTTGGCCGTATTGAAACATTTGGAACCGTCGTATTAGCTTCGACGTGTGCAGCAGCGTGTGCAGCAGCGTGGATGACATGGCATGTTGGGCAGGTCTCCGAGTAGTTATCCCTTGAAGCTGCACATTTGAAACAGAAAAAGCATAAGAGAGATTTACCAAAGACGAGTTGGAGAAACAGCTCATTACCTGCTTCTACATGGTGACCATAGCGCACTAGCTTCATTTTATCATCATTTTGACTCAAGTGATTCACAAATACCACCAGTTTGTTAAACCTGATTTTACTTGCTTGCGCCTTAGTTCGCTTATACAAGTATTTCTTTGCCATTATGCCTCGTGTGCCACCAGGCAGGCCCTCTAGACATGTAACTTCTGAAGACATGAGAGGTTCTGGATTTTTGCACACAATGAGGGTCTTGTAGCTAATTAAAATCGATACCTACTAGGATCGTAGATAAGATCCCCACAGTGTATATAATGAGGTAAGTAGTGTCATACAAGTAGCCGAAGCTAACTAGTATATACTAGTACTAGGCTCTGATACCGAGACAGAGCCTACGGCAACAAACGGCAAGGAGTTGGATCAGAATATCCTTGTCATAGCCAGAAACTATGCTCGTGACGATCTATTGTATACTTCAACAACAAAATGATATAGAACAATATAATAAAGCTCAGAGCGTCACCACTCAAAGCTTGCTGGTAGGAGCGTCAATATACAGTGACTGACTGCGCTTCATAGCCTCCTGGGCCTCCTTCTCGATCCGGTCGAGCAGGACAGCGCAGGTCGGGATGTCGTGAATAAGACCAATGACCTGGCCAGCGGTCCAGACCTAAGAAACACTTGTTAGATTATGACAAAGACCAATAATGTGTGATATGCTTACTCCAAAGTCAACATCACCGTTCTCGAAAACTTGGCGGCCTCGCTTGCCGCTCACGTAGGGTCCGATCTCGCTAAAGTCTCCCGTTGTGCTCTCACGCTCGACCTTCAAAGCATCCTGGGTAACTTTGTTCGCGAACAGACGGGTTGTGTTCTTCCAGCGACGGAGAACAAGAGCGGTATCAGTCTCTTGGGCGTTGACAATAGCCTCCTTGACCTTTTGGTGAATGGGGGCCTCAACAGTGCTCATAAAACGAGTACCCATGTTAATACCCTCGGCACCCAATGCGAGAGCTGCAGCTAGACCTTGGCCATCGGCAAAGCCGCCCGAGGCAATGAAGGGCACACCCAGATCCTGGCGGGCGCGGCTGAGAAGGATGAAGTTGGTAATGTCGTGCTCACCAACGTGACCGGCACACTCGAAGCCGTCGATAGAGAGGAAGTCGACGCCGAGCTTGACGGCGGACTTGGCGTGGCGGATGGTGGTGCACTTATGAAGGATGGTACAGCCAGCCTTCTTCAGTTGCTGAATGACAGGGCCCGGGTTGTTACCAGCGGTTTCGACGATCTTGATGCCCTCATCGATGATGACCTGAGCGTAGGCGGCGTAATCGGGAGGCACAAGGGCAGGGAGGAGGGTAAGGTTCACCCCGAACGGGTACTTGGTCATGGTACGGCATCGTCGGATCTCCTTGCGCAGATCTTCGGGTGTAGGTTGAGTGAGAGCAGTGAGCTGAATGAGTGTATGTTAGTCTTGTCGCCTTCCATGGATCAATCCGTCTGTGTGCCAGGAACAGGGAACATACGAGACCCAAGCCACCCGCATTGCTAACAGCAGACGCCAGCTCGGCGTATCCTACCCACTGCATACCTCCCTGCACCACGGGGACTGGAAATTGTCAGTCTCTTGACCGTGATGTGGATCACCATATTAGAGTAACCTACCGCGAATGCCCAGCTTGCGCGTCAGGGCAGTATTAAACGGCATCTTGTCGTTTCTTGTCTTGGTATATAAACGGGGTGTGAAATCTCAGGTGTATGTTTCTCAACGGCTCTCAAATCTAGTATCAAGAGAGGTAGCGAAATAAGAGGAGCAGGTAAAGAACAGGATCAGATGCTCAAATACCAGGCTATCGTGAATAAAAAGCACCGAGTCCTGGGGTCGGGGTAGCCGCGGACCTGGGCTGTGGGGAAGCAAAGTTGCCGAGGTTCGCTGACTGATTAGTTACGCCAGGCCGAGTGGGCGGTCTTGCCGACGGACCCGGACAGACACAAGAGCACTGGTATATATGAATGTACCTTCTTTGGGGAAGGGTTCCTCGGTCTGAAACAACTTGAGGATGATTACAAGGTTGATGAGTGATCAAGAGCAAAGGCCAGCCCTGGTGACCGCCCAGTCCTTCCTGCTGTCTGTTCAGCATCGCCGCATGTGACAGCGGCCATCAGGTCAGCCCCTAACCCAAGGAGGGTGATGTACTCAGTACACCTTCTATTACGTATGGAAGGTGAACACAAATGCAATTGAGAATTGTTTACTAAATCGATTTGAGGACTTTCTGAATACCAGTGCAGCCATTGTTTTTTTTTCTAATTGATATGTAACCCTGAATATGAAACCCATCCGGCTCATTGACAGAGGGAATGGGCGATTAACGACGGGAAGTCCTTCTGCGAATCTCGAAGGTCCCTCTAAGTCGCGACAGAATGCCGAAACAAGAGGGTGCTAAGCACGACGACTTCATTCCCTCAAGGGGTACGGCGTCGTGAGCGGAGACTCGTGAAGAAGAGAAAATCAAAAGTGGATGAGCACGCTGGGAAAAACCAAATACACAAGCGAATCACATGACCAATCGGAAGATTGTTCTTCCTGAACCTGCAAGCTCTCCACAGTCACGTGGACACATGCGGAGAGCTACGCGGGCAGATCGCCCGCGTACCCAATTGCGTTCGTTGGCAACTCTATGATCACTCGAGTTCGGAAAATGCGCAATGGCTGAGCTCTATCCTTCATTGGTGCAGTGCGCCATCGTGGCAGCGGCCTTCAAGGTGCTGCTATTTCCCGCATAGTGAGTCGCTCGTTTACTCTGTTCTCCTCCGTCCAGATCTAACCGTGTTCCGATGGTTACAGCAAGTCGACGGACTTTGAAGTGCACCGGAATTGGCTTGCTATCACTCATTCGCTTCCTGTGAAGGAATGGTATTACGAGGTCTGTCCTTGCACACACCTGATTTGAATTATCTGGCTGTTGACACTGTTGCAGAAAACCTCCGAATGGACCCTCGATTACCCCCCGTTCTTTGCAGCCTTCGAATGGCTCATGTCGCAAGCGGCCGCATATATTGACCCGGGAATGCTGGCTGTGCAGAATTTGGGATATGATTCTTGGGAGACAGTTTATTTCCAACGCGCCACTGTTATTGTGACCGAGTTGGTCTTGGTATTTGCATTGAGCCGGTAAGACAAATCGACTGCCTTGGATGAAAGAAGAGACGAGACTAATTTTTCCCAATTCTAATAGATACGTTAAGTCGGCTCCTTCCTGGGACAAACAAGCTGCCCACGTGGCCAGTCTCTCTATTCTTCTCTCCCCGGGCCTGTTTATCATCGACCACATTCATTTCCAGTATAATGGATTCTTGTACGGGATCTTGATCCTGTCCATCGTGTTGGCTCGGAAACAATCGACACTTCTCTACAGTGGAATTCTCTTCGCCATTCTTTTGTGCTTGAAGCACATCTACCTTTATCTTGCCCTTGCTTATTTTGTTTACCTGGGCCGTTTCTACTGCCTCGACCCCAAGAATGTCTTCCGGCCTCGGGTTTTCAATATCATTAAGCTCGGGGTCTGTGTTCTTGGCGTTTTTGGTATTGCTTTTGGGCCCTTTGTGCAGTGGGGCCAATTGCTGCAGCTCAAGGATCGCCTCTTTCCTTTCTCGAGAGGGCTGTGCCATGCGTACTGGGCGCCGAATATCTGGGCTATGTATTCTTTTACCGACCGTGCCTTGATTCCTTGTATGTTCTTTTCTTCCCAACAGACTTATGCCTGATTTGCTGACTTGGTTTCTAGTGGCACCGCGCCTGGGACTTTCGGTAAATCAAGACGCTCTCAATAGTGTCACCCGTGGGCTTGTTGGTGACACTTCCTTCGCGGTCCTCCCAGAGGTCACCAGCCAGCAAACCTTTGTGCTCACATTTATCTTCCAACTCGTATGTATTATCCCGCGCCAAATAATCCGCATCAGATACTCATACAGCATAGATCCCTCTTGTGAAGCTTTGGTTCCATTCAGGTCCCAACTGGGAGACATTTGTAGGAGCAGTGACACTTTGTGGATACGCCTCCTTCCTTTTCGGCTGGCACGTCCATGAGAAGGCAATTCTTTTGATCATCATCCCCTTCAGCCTCATCGCTCTGAAGGATCGTCGATACTTCAGCGCTTTCCGACCACTGGCCGTTGCCGGTCACGTCTCGCTTTTCCCGCTGCTATTCACCGCCGCAGAATTCCCGCTCAAGACCGTCTACACTGTGTTCTGGTTGATCCTCTTCCTCTTCGTCTTCGACCGGGTCGCCCCCGTCCCAGAGCGACCGCGAATTTTCGTCTTCGACCGACTTGCTTTGCTATACCTCACATTCGCCATTCCACTGATAGTATACTGCTCGCTGGTTCACCAGCTGGTCTTCGGATTCGAACGACTACAGTTCTTACCCCTAATGTTTATGAGCAGTTATTGCGCAGTGGGTGTTGTCGGGAGCTGGGTTGGATTTATGGTGGTTTATTTCACGGCATAGATCGGTTTCCAGATAGAAAAAGAAGCCTCGGCTCAACATATAACTAGAATTTAATCATCAGTTGCTGCTCTGCTTGCATGTCCATGTCCAGCCTGTCGAGGCATAATAAGATGACGTAACCAAATCCACGTGGGTCTGACCCACTTCAACCACGGAGTCTATTTCACGCTATTCTCGGACGGGCTAGCGCCGCCCCGTGAAATCCATGCAGGCGTGAAACTCGGGCTAAATACAAATGCGCGTCAAATCGGGAGAAAATAATGGTTTATCCCTATCTATCATTCATGATTAGAAGCTGATTATGAAGACCTTCAACTTCGTCATGCTTTGGCCATCCTCCGATCAAACTGATCCTACTAGTACTACTACTACTAGTATTTACTATATACCTAGGTATCGAGGCTACGAACTGGGATGAAACTTGGCTTCTGGCAAAAATTCAGAAATCCTCAGTATCACCTCCTCAGGCTTCAAGCCTGACTCAAAGCTGTTGGAATGGCGTCTTATATATAAACTTCAACTTGAAGAATGTATACAATGTTAATATCGGTAATTTCCAAGGCCTCTAAGGAGTGTACGTGGAGTATTTTCCCTGGTGAACTTGGCACATCCGGGCGGGCTCTCCACGGAAAGTGTTGCACGGCATGAAGTTCACGACGTCAATTTTCTGCACTTAGATACTGAGAATAAGCGCCAACTCAAACGAAATGCCATCCAATGGTCACCCAACTGGCTTTACGGCTATATTCCATCAATTTGGATCTGACAGGGTATCTAGAAGCATTCAAGCGCTTGGCGAATCGAGCACATTGTTCTTACCAAGGACTTCGGCCTGGTCAACGAAGTACGGACATCAGAAATGGGACTACCAATCGCTATATAGAACGAAAATTCCAGAAGCCCTTGGAACTGCAATTTCTAGCTAGGTATGTAGGTGGCAAGTGTATAGGTAGTTCTTCATCGCAAAAGGTTTGACTGCTTGTCGAATCAAGCTACGGCGGGCCTTTTGGTTATATAGAAAAGTTCGAGTGTGTAATTTTGGCTCAAACCAGTCCATTTACATACATTTTCAGCTTTGGGTAATAAGTTCCCAAAGTTAAGTAGGCGATGGATCAGATGGCTAGGTCTCAGCACCGCTGAGGATAACCGCTAGGATATTCAGTGAACGCAGCGACCGTAACACATCGAATCTTTGTTATACTGCATTGGATTAACAAGATTAATGCATATCTAATCCTGCGATCGTCTGAGATGAGTACATCACCCGCGGGTGCTCGCAGAAGTCAAATATATGCTTCACGGGAATAATTTGAAGCTAAATATACAATGCAAGTTAGGAATATTCGTTGTAATTCCCGAGATAGTAGGAGTGACAAGCCAGCCCTGGCTTATATAGTCTGTTGAAGCTGGAGTGGCGGAATATTAAGTATGGGGGGGTCATCAGAGACTAGGCACATGAGCTGCATGGTAATGCATCCATGGCCTGCCAACCAAGACCATCTGATGTTAGACATAAGGAAGAATCGGAACGAATTGGAGATACATGGGTGATTACTCGCCGATACAAGGACTATTACAGATTGTGGTGGTGGAAAAAATCGAGAAATTGGGATAGTAATGGTGGACATAGTTGGCAAAATAGACTAGGTGACAACAAGGCCCCTCGCGAAAGTATTTGATACTCGGGTTAAACATGGGATTTTGGGCAATTAAATGAAGCAAAACCCAATCGAGCAGATTCTCCAGGATCTGGCGATTCGAACGAGGGTAAATACTGGTATGGATGGGGGTGTGGTGGACCAGAAACGCGTTGAGGGCGATGGTGGCCGGCCGCAGAGGGCGCAAAGAGGGTCGGCGGGAGCAGAAAGTCGTTTTCCACATTTTCCACTTTCGCCCGCCCTGCTCCTCCTCTCCGCCAATCACAGCCCGCCGCTCCGGCGCGGTTGATCGACCGCTCCTCACTGCGCTTTTTACCTTCTCTTCTGGCACTTGTAACTTTCTTCATCCTCTTCCCCTTCCCCAAATCGTGCGCACTTGATCTCTTCCCACCACCGCCACAGCCCAGGAATTGCTATCTATCCCTGTATACTTACGACGCGTTTACTCTCGGTAAGTCCGCGAGTTTACTTCCATCTTTGTTCTCCACTGTTGCCGAGTCGCCTCGATCTCCTGCTGCCCCCCAAAAGTCTGGACCGACCTCGACACCACCACCCGGCATCCTTCGGATCTTATGATTGCGCGTGGCACACGCAATATACCTATCGCATTACCCTTTCAATCTATATACATCGGACATGTTGGCTGATCATATCGCGTGCTGTCTAGTCTATTCATCCTCGAGCTCGGTCGCGGTCGTCTCCGGTAGACTGACGCGTACCTGCACCTTCGTCAAAAGACCATGGTATGGCCATATCGAATGTCCCGATTTGAACCTTCGCGAAACAATACTCGACGCAAAGATATAACTATTCTCGAGGGACATACAGAGCTTACACTGTGACCTAGGTATTTTTCAAACGGAAGCCGGTCACATACCTCCCACGACCCGTGATTCATGATGACAACTCCGAGGTACCTATATTGTGTGGGATTGTTAGAAGAACCAGAGGATTGACATGGTGTTGCAGGTCTGGGTTGTCCCAGAGACCAGCGAGGTCTTCACGAGCTATGAAGCGTACCTCGCCCGGATGGATTTCTACAAACAACGCCGGTTTATATGTGAAATCACGGGCCATTCTGGTCTGAATTTCTTCGAGGCAATGCGCAGTGAGGTATGTCGTTGTTTCCGCTCCGCCATGCGGTTCCATCGTGAGGGGCAAATACTCAACTCGACATTAGATGGAGGAATCGCGCGAGGTGAACAGCAGCTTCCCGGAAGCGCTCAGGGAGCCAATTTTGCGTCGAATTCAGTTCTCTACGGTCTCAAGGGTCGATAATCTGGGTATGTCTCTTGGTTGATTTACTGAACCTGAGCAAGGACTAACGGTGATTTCCTAAAAGTGGATGAGATATTTGAAGTGAGAAGAACCGTATTCGCTAAAATATGCGCCAGCACTAACGAATGACTCTAGGAATTCAAGTTCGATTTTTACCCCGGAGAAAATGTGTTGATTATCCTGGAAGATGGCAGTAGGCTACATGGGACTATCAGGGATAAGGCAAACTTCGCCGAACAACTGTTTGAGGATGGCACTGTTAAAAAGCCAGCGGCTTCTACATATCTGGTCAAGATCCTCGATCGTCCGAATGAGGAGGCCCTGTTGGACCATAATCATATCACCCGCGACCGGAAGGCCTTCACCAAGCTGATGCTAAGGGGATTCATTAAGCACAACGTGACTCGCGAATCCTGGACTGGTGCGCCTTGGCTGGTCAAACCTTCGATTGCCGACGAATACAAGATCTCCACTGAGGTTCCCAAACACCTCCAGTATGGCTCAAAAGTCGCGGAGAAGAAGGCAATGAAGAAGGCAGACCAAGACGGATATTTTGGCTTCTTCTCTTCCCAGCAACTGCCAGCCCTGAAACCAGCTATGAAAGGGCAGAAATCGAAATTGTCTACCCAGGATTTAGCAAAATCTAGCCAGGCGCAGTACGAGGAATATCAGCGATCGCTGAACGGCAATCCCTCATTTCTACTTCCAAATAATCCCCTACGCCCATCGAAGCCACCGCTGGTCGGTGACAAGAAAATGCATTCGCCTTCCGCGATTATCAAGAGCGAGTCGACGGCTCCATCTCCCCGCCGATCCGTTATCCGATGGAGGACTTGGAGCTTCCACCCTGCCGAGGTGACAAACACCGCCCTACTTTGAAGTTTATGATGCTAGGCGAGTCAGATGATGATGGTGCCGAGGATCTTTTGCCCGATGACTTGGAGCCTGAATCAGTTGGATTGCTTCTGGAGACCTGGGATACTCTCAACGTTTACTGTGAGGTATTCCAGATTGACTCGTTCACTTTTGATGATTTTCTTCAATCTATGCGCTTCTCTTCGGAGCAAATGGAGTGCGAATTGTTTATAGAGTTGCATTGTGCGATTTTGAAGAAATTGGTCAATTCGGAAAATGAGAATGGTGCTATCCAGATCAATCTCCCTGATTTCCCTGCTGAAGAATCTGACGATTCAGAGGAAGACGATGAAGAGGGTGAAGATGATGATGACGAAGAAGAAGAAGAAGAACCAGCAGAATCAGCAGGGAGAATGACTACCCGAGGAAGCTTGGCCAAGAAAGAGCTGGAGACGCTGAAAACGCAGATTGACGAAGAGGAGGAAGAAGATACTCAGATCCATCGTGCCGCGGAAATGTTTACCAACTATGGATGGATTGATCGTCTTCGTCGACGGGACTTCCGCAATGGTGGATGGGAACTAGTGATGATCGGTCTCCTGCACCAGCTCTCTGTTCGCCCTCGCTATGAGGCGACCTGCAACGAGATTCTCAAGCATCTAGCACCGCTCGATGCGAAGCCAATCCAGAAAACCGCTCAGCAACAGTACAGTACTCTCGACATCAACTTGCGTGTCAAGGCTCTGCAGATCATCACCCTGCTCAGTCTAGAGACAAAGGCTATCCGAAACTACCTGGAAGAATGCAGTAACCAAATGACCGAGTTTCGGAAGGTTAAAATCGAACACCAAAAAGCACGCAAGGCAGCGTAAGTAGCACCTTGGATATTTCGTCTGAATTGTTGACAAATACTAATTTGTTTCCCCAGACTCGTTGAACTTCGCCAGCTTCACCTGGACCGCAAAGCTCTCCAACCGGAACCCGAAAAGAATGAAACCGACAAGAAAGAGAAATCTCCTTCACCCGTGCCAGAGCTTGATGGGATGGATGATTCCAAGTTGACTCTCGAAGGTGATTCCGAAATGCCGATAGATTCGGAGGATGAAGATACACCTCGGCCACGAGCACTCCGTGGAGGCGTCGACCGTGTCCTCGAGCGGAAACGAAAACAGGAGATTGAACGAGAACGCAAGGAACAGCTGGCCAAGCAGCCCAAGGGTTCTAAGCAATACCAGAAGGTTCTGAAGAAGATCGATGACCAGAAGGCAAAGATCGAGAAGCTTCAAGACGAAATTGACATAGTCGATAACGACCTGCGTGAGGCCGACTGCCCACGAACAAGGTGTTTGGGACTGGACCGCTTCTGCAATCGTTACTGGTGGTTTGAACGCAACGCAATGCCTCGCGAGGGTATGCCGGATAGCTCCACCTCCGAGGCCCAGTATGCCAATGGCCGCCTTTGGGTGCAGGGCCCCGACGATATGGAGCGTGAGGGCTTCATTGACTTGACCGATGAGCAACGCAAGGTTTACCACAAACATTTCCAGACCACCCCTGCCGAGCGCAAGAAGCACGAAGAAGGATCCACACACCTGCTGAATGCTCGCGAATGGGGTTACTATGAGGAGCCGGAGTCGATTGAGCAGTTGATGGAATGGCTTGAGCCGCGAGGAACTCGCGAATTCAAGCTCATGAAGGAACTCCAACTGCAGAAGACTCATATTGTGAAGTACATGAAGAATCGCCAGGCCTACCTGGTCGACTCTCGTGAACGCGCAGAATCAGAGGAAATGCCCACCAAACGGGTCACCACTCGCAACAAGACATACGTCGACGTGAATGAACACAGTCTTCGCTGCCTCCGCTGGAAGAATACAACTGCCATGAACGATATCGGACATCTCCACGTGGACCCTGATCGACCAGCCAAACGACAGAAGCGTAATACAGATGACACCCGTGAGACCAAGGCAACACGAGGCAAGCCATTGACCCGTCAAGGTTCCCGTCGAGGTTGATCTGAGACCTCGAGTGTCTTTGTTTTCATTCACCTTTCTTTCTCTTCTTTACTATTGATTCTCTCGCATCTACTAGAGATCATGCGACCACGATCTTGTAACATTCCTGGCTTTGTTATACTGTATACATTCTGTGCATCTGCGCTGGGGAAGGAGTCGGGAGGGGAGCGGGGTTGATTCACTGTGATTATTGACTGTGTGATTTGTTGTTTTTTTCTGTCTATCTGTTTTTATTCTTATCTTATTCTTCCAGAAACCCGATAGAAATGCACGAACATAGAATTCTCAATATCACCGATCTATGCCGTTCGAGTAGGCTGACCATTCGGTTGTTCGGGACTCGTTGGATGGTCCCGCTTCCCGCCACCCGTGTAATTTATGGTAATCATATGTATTTGTATTGTCATCTTGCGGCTAAACGCGGGGGGGCGGCTGGTATCGGCATGTCAGGCCAGTACGCCGAAGTGTCCACGGCAAAAGACGTCAGCGATGCCATCGGCGAGATCTTTTGCCTCCAAAGGTTTGCCTCTCTTTCATTCCCATTCTTTACTTCCCCCTTCCGCTATTTATCTTTCAACCGATCTGGTCGTATTGCCGTTCTCGTGGGTATCGCTGTATTACTTGACCCCCCGGTCCCGACGATCCTCCGGTAAACCGAAACCAAATCAACTTTTTCCCAAATATCGCCGAGTGATCACGAGGGGAAAACCGTTATTCCCCAGACCCTCTTCCCTCGGTGCGCCTCGGCCACACACTGCGCACATTGTGCCTCCCCTTCCTCTCATGTCGACGATACTCCCAGACCATGCCCACACTCATTCCGATCTTCTCTCACAACCACGCCAATATCTTCACCCAAGCGCGGATACCAGTCCGCATCTCAACTCTCCGATGAGTGAGATCGCACACCAACGAGCCTCTCCGGCGCCGATTCAAGGTGGCGCAGGTGGCCAGTATGTCAATGCGGACGAGCAGAAGAACCAAGGCAACAAGCCCGTCCAGAAGAACAGTCTCGACTATATATTACGAAGCGGTCTAGCAGGAGGAGCCGCGGGCTGTGCGGTGAGTGCGCGGAGGTGCAGGTGGAAGTGAAAGTGGGAGAGTGGAAGCCACCACTTTTGCTCTTTCATTCGGGGAATAATCTTACTGACTATGATATGATTCATAGGCCAAAACCGTCGTCGCACCACTCGATCGCGTGAAGATCCTCTTCCAGGCCTCAAATCCGCAATTTGCAAAATACACAGGTAGCTGGTCTGGACTTCTAGCTGCGATTAACGACATCAAGCGGTATGAAGGCTCCAGGGGCCTGTACAAGGGCCACTCCGCCACTCTTCTCCGTATCTTCCCATATGCTGCCATCAAATTCCTCGCCTACGAACAAATCCGCGCCACCATCATCACGTCACCTGAACAAGAGACTGCAATCCGTCGTTTAGTATCCGGTAGTCTGGCTGGAATCACCTCTGTTTTCTTCACATACCCCCTCGAGCTGATCCGTGTACGATTGGCTTTTGAAACCAAACGCACATCCCGGTCATCCTTGACAGACATCTGTAAACAAATCTACAACGAACGCATCACACCCCCATCATCTAGCGCTACATCAACAGCAACGGCCACCGCCACAGGCACCCAACAAGCTTCCGCGAGCGTCATCGCCGCCGAGAATGTTTCGTCAACAATAAACAAGGCCGTTCCTCGATCCGGCCTCGCGAACTTTTACCGTGGCTTCGGCCCCACCATCCTCGGCATGCTCCCCTACGCGGGCGTGTCGTTCCTGACGCACGACACGGTGGGTGATTGGCTTCGCTACCCCTCTGTCTCACAGTATACCACGATTCCAGACTCAGAGACCAAGCCGAAGAAGGGATCTCGACATCCCCAGCTCACCGCTGCAGCGGAGCTTTTCTCCGGCGCCGTCGCCGGCCTTGTCGCGCAAACATTCTCATACCCGCTTGAAGTTATCCGGAGACGGATGCAAGTTGGCGGCGCTGTTGGTGATGGCCGCCGCATGGGTATCGCTGAGACTGGCCGGAAGGTCTGGCTTGAGCGGGGGTTCCGCGGGTTCTGGGTTGGTTTGACGATTGGGTATATTAAGATTGTACCGATGAGTGCGACCGCCTTCTTCGTTTATGAGCGCTTGAAGTGGCAACTGGGGATTTAGATATTCGGCCAGACCCATCGACATCGGGCAACTTTATCTTTGCCGTTCAGAGCAATACCCCCAGAGGGCTTTTGAAGCACTCGTGTGACGATTCGCGACGGGGTTTGACTGAGGACTCTCTGGCTCACAGCTTGTCTCCTCTGCAAGTCCAATACCAGCACTCATGGGGCTTTGTCCCCTTGATTCCTCCGACGCCCAATTTCCTATGTTCTCAGCGTTGAACATGACCTTTCATGTTCTCGATGCACATCATAGTAGCTTAAAGGCAAATGCTTTTCGCGATAGAGCGCCGATAGATCGCTTTTTTTCTTCTCTTGCACGCCGACTGGACCATCTCTCGGCTTTTGATTCCCACTGCTGGGCGTTTTGGTCATATTCCCGCACTTTATTCTCGTCCGTGAGGCATACTAGTATATAGAAGAGCCATTGAAGATACACAGATTTCTATTATTCATTCCAAAGTTCATTCACGCATCTAGATGCCTGCAATCTGCAATTTGGAAGGCATCGTAGCATGGAATTCCCAGGCGCATACTAAATAGCGCTGTATCCCAATTCTCTACGGCTGTATATTAGGATCCCCGCAAATAGAGGCCTGCAATTAAGATCTAAAGCATTCCTCCATGCTCTTTGTTCCTTGTAACTACTGCATAGTCCTTCGGGTGGGTCCGCGGAGCGCACGGACCACAACAAAAAAAAGTTCAGGCGATTGCGACTCGCCATTATTCTCTCTTCAAACGACCACGAAATGACTACACGCAAGCATAACGAGTTCCTCGACCTCCCAAGCGAAGATGAAGAGCAGAGCGACCGCGGCTATGACTCCGAGGAGAACCTGACGAAAAGCAAAGCCCACAATGTGAAGCGGCGCCGAACAGCAGACACCCAAGACCTGTTCGGTCTGCAATCAGATCAGTCCGACGAAGAAGACTCCGAAAATGACGCACCAGAGGAGAAGGGAAAAGCGCGCAAACAAGTGAAGTCTCGCATGGAAGCAGCTTCCGACGAGGAGGTGGAAGAGGAGGGCGCAGAGAACAGCGAAGATGGAGAAGAAGAGGACGACTACCTCGACTTAACGGCCTCCAAATCCTCGAAATCCAAGAAGCCGCTCACCACAAAGCCCGTCAAACCGACCAAGAAGTCGAAATCGAAGCCCGGTGTCATCTACCTGAGCTCCTTGCCTCCATACCTCAAGCCCTCTGCCCTACGGTCCTTCCTAGAGCAGCGTGGGTTTGAGCCTATCACGAGGGTTTTCCTACAACCGACGGTCAAGGGTAATGGCGCGTCGAAGCGCCAGTCCAATAAGAGGAAGACATATTCTGATGGATGGGTGGAATTCCAAAGCAAGGCTACGTATGTTTGGCAATTGAAGCTACCCATGCTGGGTTTTACTGACCTTCGACATAGTGCTAAACTTGCCGCCGAGACACTGAACTGTCAACTCGTTGGAGGAAAGAAGGGATCGTGGTATCATGATGATATTTGGAACATGAAGTATCGTGAGTAATACCGAGCGCGCTTTATCATATTCATACCGATGCTAATGTGTTACGTCTTAGTCCGCGGATACAAATGGTCGGACCTGATGGAGCAAATCCAGAGAGAGCGCGCAGAGAGGGAGTCGAGACAACGTGCTGAAGACTTGCGCGCCAAGAGGGAAGAGAAGGTCTTCATGGCGGGTGTGGAGCGTGGACGAGTCGAGGAGGGTATGGCCAAGAAGAACGACGCGAAGAGGAAGAGACAGACGGAAGCGGGTGACGCCACCACCGAAGTCACCGCTCCAGCGAAGGCCCCAGAGAACCCGAAGAAACCGCGGAGGACATTCGTTCAAAGCGATGTTGTTTCTGCGAAGAAGACGGAGACTATTGGAGCTGATGCGAAGAGGGTGTTGGGTAAGATCTTCTGATTTGATCTCCCTTGTGTATGGGTCACCCCATCATTCAAACTACTGTATTGAGATATCCATGTTCTACATTACTACCAAAGAATATTTTCATGATGAAGAAACATATTTGCACTGCGCAAGCTATTCACACTGCTATAATCTAAATGTTCAGAACTTTTATGATTTCTTGCAAGCCCGTCAGAAATTTCAAATAAACGCCAGCCATGATCGTCAAGGATATCACTCGTAGAAAGCTCATTCGTCGCCCATCTTAAGATCATCAAAGTCATCAAGAAGCTCGTCCATGTTGATCTTTGGTACCTCGTCGTCACTTCCGCTATCCTCCTCCATCTGATCAGCCATCTGAGCCTTCTTGCGAGCTTTATAGATATCCAAGGTTTGTTGCAGTTCCTGGTCCTCCTCGACATCGCGCAAGAACATCTCGAAATCGGCCTCCATACGGTTGGCCTCCTGTTCCTGGCGCTTGGTAGGGGCGGCGGGAGCACTGCTGGCAGCAGCAGCCTCCTCCTCGTACTCGCGAGCCATACGTCTGAGGCGCCAAGCGCGGTTCTTGGGCTTCTTCTTGCGGGCGTAGTGCTTCTTAACCAAGACCACATCAGGAAGTGTGGAGCCGTACTGGTGGCTGTTCTCGATGGCCTCGTAGTTGTCATCGTTGAAGATGGTACCGGCCAAATGGTAACCCATAGCGGAGTCTCCGACATGCAGGACACCACCAAGGTGAGTTCGTGTGAAGTAAGTTTTGTCATTAGTCCCAAGGTCTGAAGCACGGGCAACAGTGGCCTCGGCCAGGAAGAATCGACCGTTGGACTGACCAACAGGCTCGATATCCATAATGACGAATTCTGTCAGGTGGGTGACATCCGAAAGGTTCTTGAAAGGCGAGCGCCAGTAAGCGCCCGTGGGGACTTCACAGGTTTGGAGGGTTTGGGGGTCGATGAGGTTAACGGCACTGCCGACGCGGTGACAGAGGGTCAAGGGGGAGATGTTGCCCAGCTGCCGGGCGAGTTTAATCGGAAGCGCAACCAAGTCATCCTTGCAGATGGGAATGATCTCACAGGACCAAGTGTGTTTATATTGGGCGACTGTAGGAGGAAACTGATTAGATTGGTTTCTTAGTAGAGGCGGGGAAAACGCATGTCTTACCAGATGTATGGATATCCATCGAGATGAGCTCCTGGGACTTCTTGGAAGTAATGGGAGCAACACTGCAGAGGAACTCGACCATTCGTTCGGCTTCATTACGCTTAGCGTAATAGAAATCCAGACCGTCCTTCGCCTCCTTGATATTGACTGTATCCTTGTGTGCGCCGTTCTTCAAAATGAGCTGCTCGAGGTACAAGAATGTACGTTTGTGGGGGACCTTCTGGCGAAGCTGGATGGATGCGCGCCAGGCGTGGTGGGTGAAACTCTTCTGACAATCCGGGCATTGTTGTGTAGCGACGACGTACTCAACCTCGAAGCTCTGCTGAATGATTGTACCCTGGAAAGCCTCTTGCTGAATCGTAAGTTTGACCTTCACACGACGGGAGTGAGGCTCCGTCCAAATGAAACTGGCGTCAATAATTCGGACTTTTGAAAGACCACGGAGACGGCGTAGACAGATGGCGAGTAATTCCTTCGATTCGGGAGCAGCGACGAGCCAGCTGGTGGGGGGTTGCAACCAACGCTCACAGTCCTTGCAAAAATGCAGGGTTGCTTCACGTTGCACTCCTTGGGAGACATCGACCGAGAGACGAACACAATCCTGGCAGAGCGCTCCGGCAGAGGTAGTTCCATCGATAGGAGCACCACAGTTGCAGCAGAGAATACTGGATAGGTTAGTATTTGAAATTCACATTATCGCAGTAGTAGAAAAAAATCCCCTCCGCGATAAGAGAAAAAAAGGAAAAAAAACTCACGTAGCAGAGATGGCCTGCTCCTGCTGCATTGCCACCATGGGAACGGGGGCATCCAGATCCATCGACATCTTGACGAGATTCCAATCGGAGATACTCGAAAATCAAGGGAGTCTGTGAGAGAACAAAGTCACGAACAGATCGATTTGTAACTTTTGCCCCGCCATGGCCGAATCTTTTATCGCTGACTCATCGTTTGCCTTGTTTGCACGCAGTATCGCTCACCGCCTCGACTTTCTGCCGATATCTCGTGGAATTCGAGCGATAGGACCCTCGGACCTTAAAGGGTTCAGTACTATCACGTCGCCATGAGTAGAGCCTTGTTACGCGGGGTCGTGTGCCATTCTTGTCGCCATGAGGTCATTCGATCATTCATGGCTGTATCGGGAGTGCCGATGCCCCGATACACCTATACTCCTCGACACATTTTCACCTCCAGAGCTTTCTCGACAGTAGGCCCGTTGCGGTCTGATCGGCCCCCTACCTCACAACATCCCGATATCAACCTTTCACCTGTGGAAGATGTGGTTGCTGAAGTCGAAAATAACGGATCTACCTCTGAGTCGCATGTGCCCTGGTACCTGCAGGATGAACCAGCCGCCGACGAGTCCCGATCCTTATCTGGAGACCATATCCCAGAAATCCCAGAAAATTCCCCCGAAATTCTCCCTACTCTGCTCGAATATTCCTACAAAGACCTCGGCTTGGATAGCCTCAAACTGTTTGACCTTCGTGGTCTCGAAACACCCGCCGCACTTGGCGCCAATGTCATCATGATCATTGGAACAGCACGCAGCGTGAAGCATCTGAACGTATCCGCCGATCGTCTGTGCAGGTGGCTTCGGGCCACGTACAAGCTTTCGCCATTTGCCGACGGCTTACTTGGACGCAATGAGCTGAAGATCAAGCTCCGTCGCAAGGCTAAGCGAGCGCGCGCAGCTGCCAATGCCGGTAGAATGGTGGATGAAAAGGATGACGGCATCACGACAGGTTGGATCTGTGTCAACGCGGGCGTTGTTGACAAAGGTGCCATCGAATTGGAACTCAAGGATGCCGGATTCGAAGGCTTTGGTCAGCTTGATACTGGCACTAGCGTGATTGTTCAGATCTTCACTGAGGAGAAGCGAGCCGAAGTCGACCTGGATGGTCTATGGCAGGGGAACTTTGACCGTGCCGAACGCAAACGTATTCGCGAGCTTCAACAAGATAATGCGGCATCTGCGTCTAAGACGGAACCCTCGGCAAATGGTCGCCTTTCGAATAGTCCTGCCAGCTATCCCAGTGGACAGAAAAGAGGTCTTCACACTAGTCGCGAAGGTGCCTCATCTTCCACCAAATCCGTGAACGTGGACCCGGCTACCGTTTTTGCGGCATCATCGGTACCCGGAAAGACACCTGGAATGTCCACTGAATCGCTGCTCAAGATGTTGACTGGACTTCCCGAGGAGAATGCGAGGATCGAACTTGGGACTGGTCCCGACGATTATCAATCTACTCTGTTTCTACGACTGCTCAACGAGAGCCTCCCGGCCAATATGTCCCATGAAGCTCTCGCGGCACTGCGCCTAAAACTGGCTACGATCGCCATTTCTTGCCACCACCCGGCATACAGCAAGCCTGCATTGTCCGCCTCGTTTACCGCATATCTTAGCAATGCTTACAATCTGGAGGATGATCTTGCTTTTGAGATTGTATCCGCGCTCCTGGCCCCGCAAAAGCTTGAAGGCAGCCATGGAGAGCCTGTGTTATACCTACCCGAGGCCGACATTGAGCTCGCTCTGCAAATTATCGACCGTCTCAGCCTGCGGGGCGTTCCGATCCTCAACATGAAAGTATTCAATATGCTCTACCGCGTTGCTGATACTACAACCAAACTCCCATCGAAGGAAGGTCTTTCCCAGTCCAAAGTTACACCGCAATCAGTAACTGGGAATGAATGGTCCGAATCTCAACGTCAAATGCTGAATCGATTGTCAAAAATCGTTGCTGGTGCCAATGTCGCCTTTGACGAAGAAGAAGCCCGCCGGCTCATGGTAACCCAGTTTCGATGTGAAGACTATGATGGATTCTGGCGTCTGTGGCGAAAGTTTCCCCTGAAAGGTGTCATTCGCACACCCGAAGACTATGCCCAACTGTACCAGCTGCACGCCGACCTTGGAGATGAGCGTCGAGCGCGCGAGTGTATCTCTGAGTGGGTGCCTATGATGGACCGAGAGGTTACTCCAGTGCGGCTGCAGGGTCCAATTGTGACCCCCCCTCATGCACTGTATTCTGGTTGCGGATCCTGATATTCAAACTCGAGCCGAGAGAAAGACACCTAGTCAATTCCTAGATGTCTGGACTCAGTGCCAGGAGGCACTCGCCAAGGACACTTTTTGAAGGCAAAAAGGCCGATGGATATGATATCCGATGGCTTCCCTGTATTATAGCTGTAGCATACCTTTGTTTAATAGAATATTTGCATAAGAACCCGTCGGTTTCTCAACTTTCCAATAAAATTTGATGATTGACAAGGGATGCCAAGTATATCGGTGCCTTCCGAGTACATTTGAAGCTCAGACCATTTTAGTGCGGAGAATGCGGAGTAACCCACTTCGACTCTTAAATGCCTTGGCTTGCATTACATTAATGCCGGTAGTCTCGTGGTAAAAAAAATACCCATTGGCATTTCTTAGCCATCGCAAATAGATAGTGATGGCTCATTTAGACCTAATTAATTGAGTTATCAACAGTTGTACTTGTAGCATCGTAGTATAAAAAGATAGAGAGATGTATTACGTGCCTCTGATGACTAGGAGTGGCGAGGCCTCAGCGCGTCATTGCGTCTTTTCTTCCCCGCAAACTCAACCCGCGGCATTTACTTGAATGCCTTGTTTGATTTCTTTAAAAGGAGTCCTTTTTCCCCTCACCTTGATATTTGTCACATCAAAAAAAAGCAACAAGGATAACCCCTGGTGTCACTATGCACTCCACCGTTCTACTACTAGCCCTAGCAGGCCATTTATGCAGTGCGATCCCAGTACAGGACGGACCTCAACAACGTCTGCTAAATGGCCTTGAACTCCCTAAATCTTACAACAGTGTGACGGGTGGCGGGCGCATCCCGTTTACTCCCGGCCACCGAGATCCCTACGATGAAGCTGTTGATACAGTTGGTGATGAACTCGATCCTCTCCCTTGGCGCAATGGATTAGGCGCTTCAGTCTTGGGACCTTGGAACAAGGATCGGTCCCGACAGAGCCCCGATCTTGTACGACCTCCCAGTACTGACAAGGGTAATCTGGCTAATATGCGCTGGAGCTTTGCTGATTCCCATATCCGTATTGAGGTAAGGACTCTCGCTTCCTTATACTTCTTTTCTTCCCGAGCCAGCTACTAAACCAATATTACACAGGAAGGAGGATGGACCCGCCAGACTACCGTTCGTGAACTCGGAACAAGTGTCGAGCTTGCTGCTGTCAACATGAGACTTGATGAGGGTGTGATCCGGGAGCTTCACTGGCACAAAGAGGCCGAATGGGCGTACGTTCTCGATGGCGAGGTTCGAGTGACCGCGCTTGATTACGAGGGCGGGAACTTCATTGATGACTTGAAGAAAGGTGATATCTGGGTTCGTATCTACTTATCTACCTTCAGATCCCAGATTTGAAAAGCTAACATCACCCTCTCTCTCCCTCTAGTACTTCCCCAGCGGCGTGCCTCACTCTCTCCAAGGCTTAAGCCCCAATGGAACGGAATTTCTTCTTATCTTTGACGATGGACGATTCTCCGAGGAATCAACTTTTATTCTGACGGATTGGCTGGGTAAGCCCTATATGGTGATCAACGATTGTCCGCTCCTTTACTAATACTCGAAAATGCATAGCACATACCCCCAAGTCAGTGCTATCCAAAAACTTCAACCTTGACCCCAGGGTGTTCGCCCACATCCCTGAAGGCGAAAAATACATCTTCCAGGGCTCTAAGCCAGGCTCTATAGACGATGAGGCTCCAAGCGGCAAGCAGGTGAAGAAGTCCAAGTATCAATTCACCCACCGAATGCTCGACCAAGAGCCGATCAAGAGCAGCAATGGCGGAGGACAAGTCCGAATCACAGACTCCAACAATTTTCCTGTCTCTAAGACAGTTTCTGCCGCACACGCGATCATCGAGCCTGGCGCTATCCGGGAAATGCACTGGCATCCGAATGCCGATGAATGGTCGTTCTTCATAAAGGGTCGTGCCCGAGTGACCATCTTTGCTGCCGAAGGCACTGCTCGGACATTTGACTATCTCCCCGGCGACGTTGGCATTGTGCCTCGCAATATGGGGCATTTCGTTGAGAATATCGGTGATGAACCCGTTGAGATGCTGGAGGTTTTCCGCGCCGACGAGTTCCGAGACATTTCCTTGTTCCAATGGATGGGCGAGACTCCCCAGCGACACGTTGCTGATACTCTCTTTGCTGACGATCCTGAAAATGCGAAGAAATTCCTGGAACGAATTCAAAACCATGAACATAATGTTGTAACCAAGCCCGACTTTGTTCGTGAAGGCGGCCGATCGGGTCTGGAACTATAACCGATGGCTGGGGTTAGAAAGCAGATATTGCATCTCTCTTAGAATATGGATTCCGAAACATAGTTGCTTGCAGATAGGAGAGTTGGAATATGAACTTGAAGATTTTTTTACTATTGTTCCTACCGAGTATAGTCTAGCTCTAGTGATAATCATAAACATACATAATCATGGGTGCCAATGAACCTCGGCTTCCGCCGATCCCCCCCGTTCTCCTTCCGGCAATCCACTCTCCACTCCGCAACTTCACAGCACCCACTACTCTCCTCCATCACTCTCGCCCTCGCCCTCCCTCTGGTCGACGATGACTGGTGCTCTTGAAAATGGAGTACCTTCCTAGTCTTCAACAAGAGTTCGATGCGCATAAGCCATCACTTTTCGGTGAGTCTCGACACCCTTTGCCTTTGCGGGGGAGTCAACCCCGGGGAACTCCATCGCCTTCATCGGCCAATCTAAGCTGCGCTGCAGTCGCGACCACAATCGCTAAACGGTATTTCATTTGATAGAACTACTTGCCGAACAACAACTCTCCGATCTTCTCCCACCTTCTATCCGATACCTTCTCGCGGTCGCGACTCACCGCCACCCCCGGTATCTCCTCCGGATCCTCAATTCATATGACGAAGTCTACGCCCTCCTCTCTCTCGTTGTCGAACGCTACTATCTGCGTACCTTCGGCGGATCTTTCACAGAGAACTTCTACTCTCTCAAGCGCGAGCGCGTTCTCCGCACCAAGAATGGCGAAATCCCACGCGCCCAGGTCGGCGCCGACGGCCCCGTTCGCGACGCCCTCAAATTGCACTCCACCGACGTATGGAAGAACCTGTTGGTGATGGTCGGTGTTCCATACCTGAAGCGCAAGCTAGACGAAGGCTATGATATCCATGCTGCGCCCCACGCGTCTCTGGTGATGGGCGGCGGGCCGCGATACAACCCCAGCGACGACCTACCTCACAACCCGACAGTGCGCCAACGTATCTTCCACTACTATAAGTGGTTCTTGCGCAATGTCTACCCATCCGTGAATGCGGCATACTACTTTTCCGTTCTGGCGTTCAACCTCGCCTACCTCTTCGATAACACCAAATATTCCTCTCCATTCCTTTGGCTGATCGGCTCTCGCATTCGCCGCCTCGGCGCCGCCGACCATCGTGCCATCGCTGCAGTTCTAGATCCCAAGCCTGCGCCTGGTGGCAGCCGATCCCAACGACCAGGCTCAGGATTGATGGGTCTGCTCAGCCCACAGAACCTCAACACCCAGCTTCTGACCTCTCTTCGCTACTTCCTGCCGGCATCTATCTTCGCGCTGAAGTTCCTGGAATGGTGGCATGCTAGTGACTTCTCCCGTCAACTAGCCCGCAAAGCGACCGAAGTTCTCGACCTCCCAGCGCCCGTGATATCAGGCCTCACGAATACGGCCGAGCGAAAGAAGTCTGCACAGGAAGAGGAGAAGAAGAAGCAGGTCGCTGAGCAAGAGAAGAAGGCTGCTTCTGGAGATCTCAAATCGGCTCTCAAGTCACCGCGCCGACATCAACCCCCCCATTTCGGCCACCTCCTACCTCCCCATCTTCACAGTCCCTCTACCCCCAGCCGACACCTCCAGTGCTAATACATGCCCGGTCTGTCTTAACGCTTTGACAAATCCGACCGCTTGCCAGACTGGCTACGTCTTCTGCTATGTGTGTATCTTCCACTGGTTGAATGGCGAGCACCAACGACAATTAGACTTCATGGACGGAGAAGGTGCCGGCGCTGCTTGGGAAGAGGAGATCACTGGCGATGACGAGGATGAGGATGAGGAAAAGAACGACGGGCGTGCCAACGAAGAGACTGGATCACGCAAGCGTGGTGGGAAATGGGAAAGTGGGAAGGGTAGATGTCCAGTTACTGGGCGAAGAGTCCTTGGGGGCACGGAGGGTTTGCGGAGGGTGTTGATTTGATCTGATTTGATCTCCGATACGATCTGATGCATACACATTGTATTCTTACATATACCATTTATGGCAATAGAGTCCATTTCCGGCGTACGAAAGTGTTCATTATTCGATTACTGTCAATTTGATCCTAGAGCTCGAATAAGCTCACTGGTAGAAGGCAAAGATAGGAAGTATTCATTTTTTCAAGAAAAAGAAGTTCAGCCCAAGTGAGGGAATCGAGCCTGGAGCCTTCCGGTAACAGTAAAAAGTGGAGCATTTCCAGTGGTCTTCAGTTCTGTGAAAGTTGGACTCAAGTTGGATCTGTAGAATAACCACCCTACATAATTACGATTTTGATATTGAATGAAAACACCCATCCTCAACATTTATAATTTAGAATAAGTAGGAAGCAACACTCTTGAGTTTTGTCTGAATTGAACAGCAAAAAAAAGAAAAAAAAAAGACCTGCAACACTTCACAACGTATGCATCCGTGTGTAGTTGAAGCATCCCACCCACCCCCGAGTCGTCTCATCGGTACATGGCCCTCGGCCGTCATGTATCGCAGTCTGGGCTGCCCCCAGAAAGGCCCGGCTGGCAGTGGTGCCTTGGGACGCTGTTTACCCGACTACACCACTGGCGAGAACTTGAAAGGGTAAAGGATTCACCCAAATTCAAACGAGCTCTGGTCAATAGTAAGAAGCTGTTTATGTTGTTTTTCGAGTATTTCAACCGAACATGGTCTCGTGGGAGTGTATGTGATGCTTTTCAATTTATCAACGATGATGCCTCTATTTACAGTCTATCGATTTCTATGTATTTCCCCCTTTCTAATTGCCTGATTAATGTATCGTGGTCGCCCTTTCAAGAGCAAGCCCCTCGGCCATCACTGCTCCCGCATTATTCTCATCAGCCTTCTTCTCTTTCAGTGTATGCGCCTTGATTTTCTGCATATACTCTTCTGACTCGGCTGCGTACTTGCACTTTGACCTGATGACAGCCCCATACTTGTAGAAAAGGAAAGGAATCGGAATGCAAGCAACGGAGAGAAACGCCGGGATCGACGGAGCCCAGTGAATCCCCAGGTTACCATACATATAGATTGAGATCACGGGGAAGATCGCGCCGAAGACCGAGCGGAGAACAGCATTCGATGCGAGAACGGAGGCAGAGTAGATCGTGTACGAATCGATCAAGTAGTTCATGATCCCGAGGTAAATCAAGATGACGCCAATTCCAAACGGTGCCGTGCCAATGATAGATACGATCCAGTGGATGGATGGATAGTTCGTCCATGCGAACCAAAACTGGCTAATAGAGATCAAGACTGCGCCCGGCATACACTGCACCAGACGTGTCTCTGGTGGCGCGTGTCCGCCGTGCGCATCCATGGTTTTGATGTAGTGCATGTTTGCAGGGATCGTACATCCAATACCAATGAGCATGCCGACCAAGATTCCCAGGAACGAAAGACCGCCCACACCTGGATTCCAGCCACGACCTTGCTGGAAGACAATAGGGAAAGCGTCAAAAAACATATACAGCGTACCGTAGACGATGGCAATGTATACCGCGCAAAGAAAGACGATCGGCTCCTTCAAAAGAAGAACCCAAGGCCGGAGAAGTGACTTGTTCAACAGATTCCCCAACGAAACCCGGCCTTTATCGATCTCAATTTTGCTTCGATACACTTTACCCGTGATTTGCGAGAGGGTCTCCGCGCGTCGGCGCAGAAGGACCGGCGGGTATGTTTCAGGAATGATCAGGGTCGACAGGATCCAAACGAGACCCGCCGTCGCGGCAAGCAATCCCTCAACCCATCTCCAACCAGCCTTCATTCCCAAAAAGCCACCAATAATGGGACCGAGCGACGGACCCAGGAAGGGCGCAGCAGCGTACAAGCTTAGCGCTAACCCACGCTGCCTCGCCGAATACAAATCGGCAATTGTCCCGCCAGCATTGCTGAAAGGCGACGAGCCAAAACTGCCCGCAAAGAAACGAAGAATACACAATGTCCAGATGTTCTGCGCGCCCGCACACCCGGCTAAGAACGCAGCGAGACAGAACATGCTAATGAAAAACGAGACCTGTCGACCCCAGACCTCACCAACCGGAGCCCAGAGGAGCGGGCCGATTGCGAAGCCGAGCACATAGAGCGACAATCCCAGCGTAGCAACCTGAGTACTGATTCCGAACGCCTCGATGACTTCATCGATAGTTCCGCTATACGCAGAAGAGGCAAGAGATACGATCAGCGTCGTCGCCGCCGCAGTCAACGTGATAGACAATTTCCTGGCTGTGCTGAATAACTGTGGATTGCGCGTGTCGCCAGGGATCCAGGTCACGGCATAGGGATCCTCTTCTGTACCGGAGCCCGCGAATTCGGAATCGAGAACCTCTTGCGTGACGGCACCATGATCGACCAAGACGCGCCAGTAGGGGATAGATCGCGGGTAGATCCTGGGCGCTTTGCTGGGGGCGCCTCCTTGTGGCATTCTCGTTGCGAAAGTCGAGAGAGTTGCTCTCAATCGCAAGTGCAGCCGGGATGGGATCGGGGTGAGAAGGGTGTTTGACAGGATCGACGATCTCGATCTGTCCCCGAGGGGCTTGGCCTTAGCTTCGGTATGTAGCACTAGCGATAGTCAACAAATCTTTTCATCGGACCCTCGGCACAGGCTTGATTGGGGTGGGTCTCTCGGCTGCATTCTGCGTTGGTGCCGGATTCCCGATGGGGTTTCATCGGCAATGATGATTGGGTATGGATTGCAGAAAGCCTGTAACTTGTAGTTGCTATCGTGACATTGGGCAATCATGCATACATTTATTGGTGGCGTATAGAAGATACATGATCCCATCCAAGTTTAGATGCTCATTAGAAGTGGCGTTCAGCTGAGTGGGTTAAGCTTTCGGTTCGCCGTGATTGTGCCTGCACATCAGACCCACTTGTGCACTGGCATAACTAGAGAATTGGGAGAAATGATACTGATATTTGTATTTTCTCTTCTCTTCTTTTGTTCGAATTGTCAAGCGAATCAGGTTTTGAAGATGCATCGAATTAATATTGATTTATTTTGTTTCCCTCACGTCCAACACGTCGCTCCCGCGCTCACTACCAGAGTGACAACGGGAGTCGTTCGTGATACTGGCATGTAACCTGCCTGCCTGGGTATCATTTCGATAATCCTGCGACTCGAGATCATCATTCAGATTTGTCTGTGACTCGGACTTCCCCCTATCTTGCATAGGTATATTCAAGTTATCTTCATCTAACTGGGAGTAGTTTGTTTCCGTCGTAAGCCAAGGCTTAGAAATATTCCCCCGAGAGATAGCATGCGACCCATAGCGAGGCGCGGAATTCGGAGTCTGATTCGATGAGTTGCTAGGCTTTGCACTGCCTCCAAGAGCGCTAGTCAATCGACGGACCAGGCCGGTTTCCATGATCATCTTCGACAAACAGGGAACACTAAAGATGAAGAAACCGCAACTCATCTCAGCACAGGCCCAAAAGAGGAGAGGTCCAATCAGATACATGCTGTCTGCTTGCTTTGCAAAAGCGACTGTATGAACTAAACGGAAAATTGCCGAGATAGATGCCCTAAGAAACAAAGATTAGAAAATCAAGGCCATGCGGTAGTTAATGGCCATCGAGAACTTACAGAATACCAACACCGAAGATGATCGAAACACCGATTTTCTTCGGCCAGCTCATTTGCAATCTCCAAATAATTCGTTGCGGCAATATAAACATTACCACGTCGGAGACAACTTGCACGGAAGCAGATGTAAGCATCACATCTGGCAGAGAGTAGCATTTACTGGGAAGATAAAATTTCCAGATTGCGTCATGGGGACGACACTGCATATTCAGAAGAATGATGCAAAGCATTCCCCAGAGACATTGTAGAACAATCACGGCCCAGCAGCCAATCCAAAATAGATTGTGAGTTCTGTCAATTGGGACAAAAACTCGACACCAATCCATCAAGATAGCGGTTTTGATCAACGGCAGTACCGCGGAATAGCAGCAACCATAGACGAGAATAAGCTACCGGGGCCAATTAGCTTCGATGTGAAAGGTTTCAAGCACCAATTGGATTCAAAGCTCACATAGAGTGGTCGGATGAGGTCTTTGTTATGGAGGTTCCAGGTGTGGACAAAATAACCAGGCGTGAATATCAATGAATAGCCAGCGTAGGCAGTTCCCCAGTAGGCACCCTGGAAGTAATTAGTATATCATACTAAGATATTTCACACCACATCAAGTACTAGCTGAACGAACGTAGGCGCATATCATCAAGACTGTCGATGGGACAAAAGTTAGTCGTGCTTGGGCAAGAAACATTGAATATAGCATGAAGCTAATCCAAACTCACCTTCCTCCTTGCGAATCTTTTGATCAATCCACGCTCGAGTGAACAAGCGCAGACATACACATGCGGTCGAAATGACCATACAAAGTGTTGTCACAAACCAGGCCAAACCATTGCGATTTGGCGGGTTTTCGAAATCCGGTGTCACCCCTTCCGGGGCGGCAAGCGCTGGCGCGGCCAACAACTCGGCGAGAACCTCGGGGGACATACTCAACAGATGACCAGGACAGCTCACGTAGAGCAGCCGGGGTTATTAGACGACACAATGAAGAGCTGGATGGCCTCCTCGAATCGAGCGAGGGGGGAGTAAGGATAAAATATTAAGTTTCGTCATCGAAATGATGAGCAGGCTGACATGTCTGAGGAAACCTCCTGTTTCCAACTGCTGGCAAATTCGGAAACCCGACCACCCAAGCTACTGGGACGGTACTATTTCATAGTTTGTGAAGGATCTTATGGCATCGCCTCCAATCTAACCCGTTAGAATGTGCGCCATTAAATTTCCAATCTGAAGGATCGCAGCCAAGACTCGTGAGGTGTGGACCAGTCGACCGCCACTCGTCCAGTGATGTCGCAAGGGGCGTTCCGACAAACTCACGGTAAGTGGACATCCGCCATCCTTTTCTGACGACAGCGGGAAGTTAATCAGTCTAGTCCAGATTTTGATCAAGATGGAGATCGAGGTCCTTGTATCAGACGCTAACCGCCTCACCTGAGTACAGGGGCGGGCCGGACTATCAATAACCAGCAACTTTGTTCTCCATCGACTCCGTGTCTATGGCTCCAATCATGGTCTCGACTGAACTGATCGGCAGCAGGCTTCAGAGATAATGGTACGTGAGATCCAGCGGTCGTTCTCCGGGGCCCCACCTTAAGACAGGTCTATTTTTTGGACATCCCCACCAACAGCAGGTTAATTTGTCCAACTGAGACAATGAGCCGTCAAACTTTCGAGGCTCAGAAATGGCCCGGACCACCTTGAATGCCATTATATTCACACGGAAGAGAAATCCGACTCCCCTGCGAACCAGAGAAGCCGCGTGTGGTATGTCATTCGCGGTTGTCCTGCAGAAAAGAGAAAAGACCATAACGGTGATCGTTACTGAACAGTGTCAATTATCCACTTTTCCCGCTTGCTGCCAGTGGACCGTCGCACCAAGCATGCCCCCTGAGCTTGGCTTGCTCGTTCATTTGCAGACTAGCTTCTGTGCGACGGAAAGAAAGTTCGTAATCTGAGGGGTGAAGCGGGGGAGTCTGCGAGTGCAATGGAACCTGGGCTCTTAATGTATCCCATGTCGCAAGGATTCTGCATCAGCTTTTAGAGATCTACAGCCCGCCATCATGACTGTTAGTGAGTAGTGCACGAAGCCTGAATCTGTTGACGTGGTTTCAACCTTTGACACTTTATGTCCAAATGGAGACTCAGAGCACGCCCCGCCACTGCAGGCGGACCTGCGGACGATGATGAATGAACGACCGGTCCCTTCACTTCCTCCTGGGTTGGTAGATCCGGCTTCTATGGCCGGTGAACAAGCGACTATAAAGGCGAACGCCATATTGGATCGATTCAATGCTGCTCTGGCGAATCGCGATGCAGAGTCTCTGGCAAACTGCTTCTACGCGAGCCAGGCGTATTGGAAGGACATCTTGGCTTTGACATGTCACTTGCGTACCTTTAGTGGCCCCGGTGTCATAGCCGCGGCACTACTACAGACCAATAAATCACGACAGATCGAGAATGGCGTTGCGATCGACGGTGCAGCAATGTTCCTTCCCGCAACCCCAGTCCTTGTAAGTAAGAAAAGCACGCGCATCGTTTGCCTTCATAGAGTTTCGAATCTGATGGGTCTGATCTATACCGATAGCAATTTATCGATTGTCCAATTACCTTTCGAACACAATCGCCCGCCGGAGCATGTCGCGGAAAGATCATGTTGTTGCCAGTGGAAGTCAATTCGGAATTTGGTAAGCCAGAGATCGATTGGAAGATCTGGATTTTGAGTACCAAACTTGAGAACTTGGATATCCAGGCGGAGGATGAATCATTGCTCCGAGCACCTGGAAAGGATATCGGTTCATCAGAGAGCCTGGAAACTGAAGTATTCATCATCGGTGGGGGCAATGCGTATGTTGACCTTCAAGAAGTTTGCGTGAAGCTTGATCTTAACCCTTGCTTAGGGCTGTTACGCTTTCTGCGCGCTTGAAGGCTTTAGGAGTGGAAAGCGTCATGGCCGAACGCACGCCGGAAGTTGGCGATAACTGGGCTTTGCGCTATGACTGCTTGAAATTCCACATCCCGACGACCGTTTGTGAAATGCCGTTTTTGTGTAATCTCTTGTACTCTTGATGTGTTCAGAAGCCCACGATTAACATTTCATTTAGGCTATGATAAGGAGTTACGAACCCCCCCACTTGCTGTCAAAGAATGATCTTGCGTCGCAAGTTCGACGCTATGTTGAGACGTTCAATTTGAATATCATTACCTCAGCAATGATACAGTCCACTCGATATGACATGTCGACCGAGCGCTGGGAAGTCGAAATCAATACTCCTGGTGGAAAGCGAAGGATCACTTCAAAGCAGCTTGTTTTGGCAACAGGCTTCGGATCGCAAAAGCCCAACATGCCATATATTCCAGGAAAAGAGTTTTATAAGGGCACGAGCATTCACTCCGCCCAATTCAAGAGTGGAATGGACCTGAAGGAGAAAAGCGCCAAGGTGAGCTCAGGTGAAGGAGACATAAAGAGGCGATTCCCTGCATGAAATGAAAACTAACGTTGCAATATTTTCAGTCTGTTGTTGTGATCGGATCCGCGAACACGGCCTTTGATGTCTTAGAAGATTGCTATGCAGCGGGCCTTCAGTCAACGATGAACGTCCGATCGCCGACTTATATGGTTCCCCTGGAATATGTCTGCGACAAGATGAGCCTCGGGGCTTATGATGCTGGCGTGGAAGCATCGGACGACCGTTTCTTGTTGCTACCCACGTTTGTGGACGGACAACTTGCCCGCAATCTCTTTAAATTTTTCGCATCCCAAGAACCCGACCGATATGAAGCATTGAAGGCTGCTGGCTTCCCGGCTCTTGACAGCAGTGATCCGAGCCAAGCGCTCATGTATAACCTTCTTGAGCGTGCTGGCGGACACTATGTAGATGTCGGTGGCACCAAGCTGATTGAGGACGGGAAGGTCGCGGTAAAGTCTAACGTTGAGCCTGTCGCGTACACAGCAACTGGACTCCAGTTCTCTGACGGCAGTGTTATTGAGACTGATGCGATCGTGTGGTGTACTGGATTCGCGGATGGTAATTTGCTTCAGACCGGTGCGGAGATCCTGGGTGTTGGAGCTTCAAAGATCGAGAGCAAGAACATAATCGGATCAAAAGAGATTGTCGCACGTTTAGAAGCGACGTGGGGAGTCGATGCTGAGGGTGAGATCCGGGGATGTGGAGGCGTAACCCACGCCTGGACAATTTTTGGGTGATGGGCGGCTACACTCAGTTGCAACGTTGGCACTCGCGGACTTTGGCCCTCCAAATCAAGGCGACCCTTGAGAATATCCTGCCACCTGCATATCTGGAAACACCCCAGGCCTAGGAAATGAATAGGGGCGACTCATCGGGCAGATTTGAATTTAGCTCGTAGAAGATTGGAACTTGGAATGAATTGGAATCAACACTGCAGGCTCTATAGTAGGTTTTTACCAGCTATTGTTGCAATGTATTTCTCATTTATTTCGTACATTCAGATTCGCATGAGAATAGTTTCGAGATTCTTTCTATAGTATTCCATCGATAATGGAGGTTTTCTCTCGATTGAATCCTCCTCGAAAGGAAATACTGCCGAAGGCACTGCGTCTTCGGACCAAGCTTGTTCGTCTCCCTTCGACTATAGACCCAACCTTATCTTTATCATTCAACGAGGGCCTCGCCATGATCTTGGGTTCTTGTGATTTCTGATATATCCACCAACAGATCATAACCGCCAGGGTCAAAGGTACTGTGATCGTCAACCAGATCAGCCATGCTTTGCCTTTGACTGAATCTCCAAATATCTCGGCATCGACTACGCTCGCAACAAAGGTCCCCGGTAGGAATGCCATGGTCAAAACAGCAATTGAAGTCATCGATGTTGAGTCTTGTTTCATGCTGCGCGAAATCTGAATGTTGTTGGCCGCGTCTTGCTGCGTTACAAGACTATAGACCAAGGAGCTGATACTGTCCTTCCGTTGCTTGTAATTAAGAAACCACGTTTTCTGCTTTTCCATTGAAGTAATGACATATGATATGGAGTCTTGGACGCGTTGCTGTATGAAGGGTTTGGAGTTGGGGAGCCACGAGCTGAGGCGTGAATGTGCTTCTCGGATCGCTGATGCTGTGAAAATCGCAACATCGGCATTCGCAATATGAGAGTCTGCATTCTGGGAGACAATTTGGAGCTGTTTAGTTAAATCTCCAAGCTTTGCCCGGTCACTGGCCTCGAGACCGGCAAGGTGATCATTAACCTTGTTGATTTGAGTCCACATAAAGCGTCGGAATCGTGCAACGTGATATTTGGAAGCCTCCAAGGATAGCGTGGAGAGGATCACATGAATGTCAAAGGGATCGTCCATGAAAAGAGATGTCCTGCTAGACGCCGAGGCAGTATCAATTGCAACGTTAAGAATCGATTTGAGCGTATTGACGGATGTGTCAGATTCGTTGTGAGATATGATGTACGTTGTTAAGTTTCGAGTGAGATCATGGCGTGAATAAATCGATAAAGGAGATCCTTGAACATGAAGATTCCATCGTGGGTGTTGACAAAATAAGTCTATTCTGTCAACTGAAGTTCGCCTAGTATCTGTGTCTAGTGATAGTCACATACCACATGCTGTCAACCTTCCATCGTCGTCGGCCTCCCAATGCGATTTGGGGGCCCAGTAGTCCGGTCGGCCAAGAAGATTTAAGGCAAAAAGTGGGTTAATTCGCATGTTTCTGATAAGTATTTGTGTATTCTCTTGTGTCATCAGAGCCCGTACCCCAAAGGAGGTACCTTCACTGGGCACCAATGGTACAAAACTAAGCAGGTTAGCACAAGAGTCGATATTTTGAGTTAGGATGCCCTCACAACACAACAAGTCTTTGTTCTGATGAGATGTTATCTGGCAAATTTGCTTCTAGACTCGGGTCAAAGTCCTATTACTTAGAGTAGTATATGAGATTTTGCTCTTTAGAGTAGACTAAACTTGCGAGATCCCAAAATTACCTGTAAAAAGTCACCCATTCCTTGCGCAGTCAATGTTCGCCATTCTGCATAAAATGAGTACCTCTCCGAGTCCAAAGGATATGATATTCTTCTCACCTGCTTTTTGCGAGTCCACGTATAAGCAGTCAACATTGGTTTCAAGAGAGAAATTTTCCGTTTTTCGTAAATGCTGATGACATTGTACAGCATCAAAAACCTGCTGAAGGGATCCGAGATTATCAAGCGGATAATTATTTACGCCAATGTCGAAATCAAAGTCTAATTCGTTGACTTTCAGATCCTCTTTCTGAGCATGACGGTCCACATCGTTTTGCGCCCTCGAATTAGGACGTTGCTCAACCTTGGTATCAACAAGCGAAGCCTCCAGTTTTGAGAACTTGCCCAGATCCCCAGTCTCAGCCCGACTGAGTGGGTCCCTAAGTTCTGCCATTTGAGCTTGTTTGAATGGGTCTCGGTATAATAACAAATAAACTCAAACATTGAACATTTCAAAGCTCAAGGAGAAAGGAGAAGAGATAGTCCAGAGAGAAGCGGCGTACGGGAGGGGTTCTGTGCTTATTGCCAAGACAGATAGCTTTACGATGAGACGAAAGTGCGATCAGGATGTCGTCTGACAACGCAAAGGCATTTCCCGCATAATTTATTGGCTCCCTCCGGCAATTCTCTCGAGTGACAGGAGGAATACGCCGGTTTTTGGCAAGTAATTCGGCACACAAGACAATTACGGCTTAGATTTGCAGCAGGGTAAGCACTAGCGACAGCTGTGGAGTTTCCAAGGCGACAGAAGAAGCCAACCACGACGAACTAAGCAAAATTCGCTAGAGTACATGTGTACGGAGTACGGAATATTTCCTGATCATATGCAATTTTCAGGCTTGGACAAGATTTTTAGCTGAGAGTCGGGGTTGACTAGTGGGCCCTTTAAACAAGACTCCGCTCCGATTTGAACTACTTTTACCCACCTTGGGGAATCAATGGATATTGTACTCGCTGAAATCCATCTCAGATAAGCCTTTTGCTTTCACCTTCGCCATTGACCACGAAAAAGACCGTAAAAGATGTCTGTGGTAGTCATTTCTTCGACTTTGGAACCCTCAACGTTTCAAGCAAAACGCACTTGATTTCGCACGGGTTCTTAGAAAATGCCTAGGTATAGCAGCCAGCGTTTGCTGCCTAGGTGGTACTACTAGTACTAGTAGGTATGATTGCATATTTTAGGTTGGGCCCGCGTTATGGCGATCGCGAAGTTTCACGAGCAACTTGAACCTCCAGGGCTCGAAAGAAAGTGAAAGTGAAAGTGGAAGTGGAAGTGGAAGTGGAAGTGGGGGCCGAGGGGTCATCCTTTCCGCCCACCGCTTGTCTCCAACACTCAGCTTCAGCCTCATCGCAAACAAGACTCGGATCTTGCTCCCTGGACTTCAAAATGCCATTCGATATAAGCTATGAAGAAATTTGCTCCAAATTCGATCGGCTGATCTCGAATGGCATCATTCAGTACCAGCCTAGTCACCCGGTTCTCGTTACTGACAACGGCATGACTGTGTGTTCTTATCGCTACCCCTGCTCGCTACTTTCATTACTAATATGAAGATAGTTTTGTTTCACTGTGGTTGAGGCACTAAAGGAAAAACCACAGGCTGGGGAGGCCTTCAAGAGCGCCCAGTCGAATCTTGGTGATGGCACCGATGCACAGCCCGAAACGTTCGGCCCAGGAAGTGATTTGGCATTCGATCATCCAGATATCTGCATCACTAGGGTCAATGAGACTCATTTCCTCGTGATCAATAAATTCCCGGTGTACCGACCGATGCTACTTCTCCTGACGATTGATTCATATCGTCGACAGTTTGAGTTGCTTAATGCCGAGGATATTGAAGCCGCGTGGAACCTTGTGTGCGGACTTGACGTAGAGCATTTTGCGTTTTTCAACTGTACAGTCACAGCGGGGTCTAGCAGGGCACATAAGCACCTACAAGTCATTCCTGCTCCAGGTGCCAATGACGGATATGCAGACGGATTCAGATTCTTTCCAGACTATGACCCGGGGCCACAGGAAGGTGGGCCGTCCTGCGTCTACTTTTTGCAGAGATTTGAAGACCCCCCGGAAGGTCAAGTGAAGACTAGCCAACAGCTTATGGAGACATATCTACGGCTTTTGCAACAAACACGTGAAGCATTGAATATCAAGGACGGCCAGTGTCCCCATAATTGGATTCTCACAAAACGATGGATGATGATTATCCCTCGACGGAACAGAGACTACAAAGGACTTAGTGGAAACGCACCTGGAATGATTGGATCGGTTTACGTCTCAAATCAGAGTGAATTTGATGCATGGAAGGAGGCTGGACCTCAAAGAGTTTTGGCAGGGTTAGGCCTTCCCCGAGCAGACTCGGAGTCTTGAATGCCTGAGGGTCTCTCGATATACGAAAACAGACAAAAGGTCGAGAATAGATCGTTATTCCGGACAAAATTATTTTTTAGATCACATCTCGATTACCGATTACCTAGTAGGTATCAAATATCTTCCGGCCTTCAACTTCAAGCTGAAGGGCTCGGATACTAGTAGTACTAGTATATCCATGGACCTCGGGATGCCTTTGCAAAAAGGCTTGGAGGGCAAATCAACAGCTCTAGGCTTAAGATATAAGAGAGATGTGAAAGCAGAGTAATTGAAAAGTATCATAACGAGAGAGCTCTTACCATTTAACGAAGCTTTCCCAGGGCCGTGACCTCGATCGTGATCATGAGCACCAAAACAGAATAAGAACATCAATAGAGCAGAAGAACTGGAGCAAGTAAAGTCAAATTGGTATCATACATAAATTTAACGTGAAGAAAATGGTATACAAGCCTGAGCCTGAGAGGATAATGGTGGACAGCTATCAAAATGCCCAGCCATGGCGGTGTTTACCTTCTAGTAGTAACTAGTAGTAGTATAAAAATCCAGTTTCAAGTTTCAAGGTCTACCCCGCCACTTTAACGCCTGGTGATCAAGAAGGAAACTTGAAAGGAAAGACATTTCTAAAGCCCAACGTCATCAAAAAAGATCAAAAAGGAGAAAGAAAAGGGAATAGAAAGAGCATGGGGAAAGGGTATGAAGAAGAACATGAAGAAGAACATGAAGAAGAACATGAAGAAGAACATGAAGAACATGAATAAAAGCAAAAGGAAAGAGTATAAGAAGAGTAGGAAGAAGAATCACCAAGAACAAAGGAAATGCAGAGCAAAAGCCAGGAGCAGGTCGAAACAGACAGCTAGCAAAGATGAACGCCAACACTCCCCGGCCTCGTGGCCAACCATTTATGAAGAAATCCCGAAGATAATGAAATAGAAAAAAGTAATTGGCCAACTCTGAAAGCGCCGCTAGAATGAATCGATTGGAATGAGTCGTAAATGCTCCAGTAATGGCGGGCTAGTTAGCAACTGCGTTGCTTGTCGTTCGGTGATGCTTTTGCATGTGGTCCCTGTGTTTATGGGCTCTCGTGAATGACCTACCGCACTCATGGCACTTGTATTTCCCTGGACTGACATGTTGCTCTTTAAGATGTCGCAAGAGGCTTTGCTGCGACTTGAAACCGCCGCCGCGAGGGCATTGGGCCCATTCACACCTCAACACGGGACCACCGGATTGACTTCCACTATAGCAATAGAGTCAAATCCAATTATCCAAAGAAATCTTTGGAAGGTAAGTTTCGGAATCCTACCTTGATTCTTGTACCTGGTTATGATGACGAGGGCGGTCATGTCCAATCGGATGGGCTGGCGGAGCGGGCGGGCGAGTAGACGGACCGGGGGATGGTGCCAAAGAAACCGGCCCTCTAGGGCTAGTCATCAAAGAATGGCCTTGTGTAGACATTGCAGAGTCCATGGGGGTGTCCACCCCGTTGAACATATCATAAGTCATGTTTTGATCATCCCCTGAAAGGATAGCGCCAGTATCATAATGAAGATTTGTGGCGGGTTGTGGACTGGCTAATGGACCGGGAGCCATTGTCGACATGTTTTGAGGCACGGGGTAGAAAGGAATATAGTTGATCGGCAGGTTATTGTGATCAAAAGAAACGAGGAACCCTGGCGCATTGGATTCATGACTTGGAAATCCTCGGTAGACCGGTTGACGGAAATCTTGTTCGTGCTGATTCTGCATGGTGGGTAGGTTGGAAATGGAGTGGAAGTACTAGTGACAAAATCAGTCTCAGAAGCTCACTCATAAGGTCCAATGCAGGGGTACACACTGATAAAGAACTTGGTGCTTTTGTGGAAAGAGTTAATCTTCCATTGTCCGAGGCTGTGTTCTTCATATACAGCGTTGGTCTTCGCCAAGCCGCGACGGGGGAGGGTTCGATAGAACCCTACTCAGCCACTGCTAGTATTTCACCCTGCGAGGCTTGTCCTCACTGGGTGGCAGGGCCACGGGTTGCGAATGACGCGCCTGGCCGGGCGTCGAAGGTACTACTAGTATATGGACAGACTGCCTCGAGATCTCGTTTGTGTGGGCTGCATTGCCTGCTAGGCATCTCCAGGCATCTCCCCCATCTCCCGAGTGGCCTTGATCTTTCCATGTCGTTTTCTATGTGACAGGTTCCTTGCTCAGTTAGGGTGACCGATACCGACCCCGAGAAATCTCAAAATATGCCCCTCTTTCCCCGGCACATGTGCAGTGAATGGACAGACATAGCTCTCGGGGGTTTCATCGTGGGTTAGAGATTTGAAATTCTCCTGCCCAGATGGGTGTTTGACCCTGAAATGCCCACCGGCCCACGGGTTATAATGGGTTGTATTGAAGAGAAAGTGCCTCAAGCCATCAATATGGATGAGAGTGCATCCCCATGGTGGGGTTGGCAATTGGGGATCGGGGATCGGGGAATGGGAGGCGGGGGGTGGGAGGTGGGAGAAGGGCTTCCTTCGGGCAGCAACGTGTCTGCGAATCACGGCCTAAATTAATACTGGGTTGATCCACCGACATCACTGACGATGCATCATAATCGCACTTGAACTGGAAGGAATTCTCTGCCACCACTACCTCCTCCATGATCAATGGCATGCCCTGGCTTCATTCGCCGGTTGAATGGGTCGGGGAGACGACCGATCTCCACCTCATCTCAAGACTCACGCTCCACGAAAAAGAAAAAGAAATATTTAGTTGTTCCAATGAGATGATTGAAGCGCTTGCCAAGCCAATAGGCTCTAGATTTGTTCCCGACTGTGGGAGCTTTAATTTCCGTTCGGTTACACCCCCGTTGCCCTAGCCCTTTGAGAGAAAGCCTGAGATGAACCCAAAGTGAGCCCAGATCTACGACGCCACAGTCACCAGCAACCTTGGAGGCCTTACTGCGGCCGGTGAGAGATGACGCCCTCAATCTCAGTGACTGCGCCACAAATATCTGCCTGTGAACCACCTCTTGGTGAGATGGGATTCTCCCTTTTCTGATTTGGCCATTACATTTCCGCTGGCTACTCACTAGTATCCACCGAGGCTCGCCAGGACAAGGACATTCGGCGGTCCAAGCATCACACCGATTAGTTTCGAAGTTGGACCTGCGCCTCCAATTCTAGTTCTAATACTGATTCTGATCATAATGAACCTAATAGCACTCTTGTGAAGTTTAAGACTTGCTTGTATTGTTCCAAGCTTTACTCTCCCCGCTTGGGCCGAACCGCCCCGCAAAGAACCACGGAACATTACGGAGCATCCCCACTTTCCGTTCTTTGATGTGCCGTTGGCGTGAGTTAGCGTGTGTTTAAATACTAAGACTCTTCATGCGTAGTATGTATAGGCTATTTCAAATCATTTAGTATCTATATACGGCAAATGTATTTTCACGAAGAGTATGTCGACATTTTTAGCTCCTATATTGGAAGTCCCACAGAACTTCAAAGATATGGACTGAACTCTCCTGATGGATGTACTATTCTTGAAATGGCAAAGGCAAAAGGCAAAAACCAAGAGTGAAGCAAGAATCGAAAAGAAAAACGGTAGGATCGAATGAGAAACAGAAGCAATCACTAAACTTTAGAACGGGTAATAGCGGCCATCTTTCGCGTTACTAGCTAGTCTCGAATGGGTAACCTTCATGTGGAGTTTGAATTTATCGCCTCGTCCAAGACCAAATGTCTTTCCACATTCAGGACAGTTATACTCCTCGGGGGAGATATGTGTGGACTGTATATGTCGCCATAGAGCTGGAAGCTTGGTGAACCTTCCGCGATATGGACAGTCTTCCCATTTGCACTGGAATAGGCGAGGCTGATCAAGTTGAGGATCACTGGAGGAGTCAGTCAGTTGGAGCCGTGTTACTCTGAGGACAGCGCCGACTCTCACATATAATCTGATCCAGGTTGAGAAAAACCATCATTTTGGGAGGCAGCATGGCGTATATTCGAAACAACTCCTGACGAAGGCGTGCGCGAGATCATTCCCGTTGAGTATCCAAGACCAACACTAGACCGAAGGTAGGGTGGATATTCTTGGGAATTGCTCATTTGTGGGATGGTAGTAGGTAGTGCGGGCTTGCAATGTGCCGATTGACGCATGGTTTGATTGTTGTGATTGGCTCTCCGTGCTATGGTAGTGCTGGTATTGTGGCACGCGCACGTCAGGGGTGCCTCGTCCATCTCATCAGCCGGCAATGAATGAGCCTGGGAGTTCCCATCGAAGTGATCGGTAAGATACCGACTCTTCGAAGCAGCTTGGGATGTTTGGACCTCAAGTTGGGCTTGATGGTGATTGGAGTCTTCAAAGGGTACTAACAGATGATCTAGATGATGTAGATCTAGTAGATCTAGATTGCTGCTAGTCCCAAAGTCCTGACCTTCAGGCACAGGCAGTCCCTCCGACTCCGCCCCAACCGATAGGAAAGATGACGTCATTTCAATACACTTGTACAGAAGATCAACCTTGGAGCTTGAACCAGAGCAGTGCACGGAATTACCATTAATTGAAAAAGGGGAAGCTTCAAGTTGAGAAGGGTTTGGTGGTTTTTGTGAAAAAGATCACTAATAAAAGTTCTGGAAGTATTACTCCGATGTTTCTTCAACTAATGACCAGGTGGGAAATGGAGTAAAAGGACTGGGCCTAAGGGGTTTATATCCGAGTCGTTTGTTTCCACGCCGGGCAAACTACTCGTCCTTGATTGGTTCCAGGACACCGACTTCACTAGCGCGCAATCTAAGCTCATGCTTCAAGCAAAGTGGCCGCCAATAAGATCGGTCCAGCGCAAGGATCCTGAATCGCGTGTCGTGTTGTTAGCGGTTGCCTGTAACCCAGAACTTCACCCAGGGTACTGCACCTTGGCTCATATCATGCGCCAACCTTCATTCGAATAACGGTGTCGTCTACACATATACAGCGGTGTATGTGCTGTGGACTTGGAATAGAATAGCTATCATGTATAACCGAACGGTTTCAACGTGAAAATAATGTGATTCATTGACCGAAAATGCCCTCGGAGATGTTTGATTCACATCAATGACTTTTATTATACTGTACCTTAACTATCATCTTGATCCTACTGGGTTATGATCTAGCTTGTCAAATGTGCATCCAAACATCAAATTTTCACAAGAAATCGGAGCTCGGAGACTATTGCGATTCCAATGTTAGAAGTGTTGGACCGGTGGGGCCATTGCCTGGCTGAGAGGAGGCGATTACCTTAATCATTTCGGGCAAAGTAGTTCTTGAGCCTCCCCTGACTGTGGCTGGGGTGCTTTCCAAGTCGCCACCGCATTGAACGGAGAGGGCTGTGCACAGATTATCAGTCTTACGCTGCAACGTTGATCTTTTGAAGTGAAGGGCCATGCGATCAGCTAATGCGTGGGCTTCGATTATTGGCCGTGACGGGCGTGCGCACCCAAACACCCGCAAGGATCCGTTATGCAGAAACAACCCGCCAAGAATAAATCTTACACCCCAATTTTCTGGCTGTATTTCTTTTATTCCTAGGGTCTAGACACCGATTCGACTTTGGAGAGAACGGAAAGAGCAAGACCAACGACGTCATAACAGGAAAGCCAAAGCCACTTTGGCCCCAGAAATGGATTTCTAGAAGTTCCTCGCCATTTATTGGGGCCTAGTGGATGATTCTATGGTTAGGAGTCCCCTCCAGCCTAGAAGTCTCAAAGTGGATTCAGACTTATCACAGATTGCTACTGAAAGTAAAGATTGATTATGCCAAGCAAGCTTCAATTTTACCAAGTACTAGTACGTTACTAATAGCTTCAACCTAGTCTGTCTTCTCACTGGAAGAAGTTGAATGGATATAGGAAGCCACGAAAAACATAATTTATTTTTGACTGGTAAAGAATATTTGCTATGAATAGGTCCAGTAATCCGTAGCCCTCTCTCTGTGAGAATGAGTTGGCTTTTACCAAGCCAAGCCATAGGGGTGACAAGTCGTATGCTAGATATTATAAGGCTCAGCATTCTTTCCAAAAATCAGATGCGGTCGCTCAGCCGCGACTTTCAGAAGGGTCTGAGCGAAAACCGAATTAGCCCAGGAGAACCACGGGCGGGTATAGGTCTTGATGTTGGTGACGTTGACCGACTCGTGCACGAGGCCAAGAAGACTCGAGTCACGGACGAGATTGATGGACTCCATAATCTCGGTATCGTTGTCGGAGGTCTGAGCTTGCATGAGCAGTGACATGGGCCAGGCGTTCTCGAGACCAACTGCGACAGATGAATTAGTTAAGATCCTGCGGAGTAGGCATTGTGTCGTGAACTTACTGTGAGGACCACCAATGCCGTGGAAAGCAGGACCCTCCAGGTAGTAAGGGTTACCGGCCTTGTCGGTGATCATCTTGCGAGTATTTTGGTAGACCTTATCGTTCATATCGACGAAGCCGAGATAAGGCAGAGACAGGAGGGAAGGAATGTTCGCGTCATCCATGAGAATACGCGAGCCATAGCCATCAACCTCAAAGGCGTATACATCACCGTACTTGCCGTGGCTTACAATTCCATGCTCCTTAACGGCCCCAGCAAGCTTCTTGCCTCGCTGCTTCAACTCATCAGCCAAGTCATCATGACCACCGGCCTTCTTGACAACCTGAGCGATCTTTTGCAGTTGAACAGACATCATGGCATTGGGTGGGATGAAGTATCCCAGGATGGTAGCGTCGTCACTGGGGCGGAAAGCACTTCGGATAAGGCCAGTTCCCTCGTTGAGGGGGTTGCCAACACCTTGCAGGTTGAGAGTCTCGGTTCCAATGTTGGTCTCGCGCTGGAAGGTATATTGGTTGGAAACAAATTGGTTCTTGGAATTGAAAGTGGGTTGGGACTGCTCATCAATGACACGAAGGACAGTCTTGAGGGCCATGAACCAGCGATCGGTAAGGAACTCGGTGGAACCAGTATTCTCATGGAACTCGGTGGCCAGTAGCAAGAAGTGGGCTAGGGAGTCAAGCTCATATTTACACTCGAATACAAAATTCTTGGAATATGTGGGATGCACAGTATCCTGCTGGGTGCTGTTCTCGGGCTTCACGCCGCTGATGGAGGGCGGCTGGAAAGCATTGCAGTAAGGTGATTGAATGACAAATTCAGCCTGCGTATTGATAGCACCGAGAATCAGAGTATAGAGACTCTTATCATCGCTGGCCAGCTTCTGGTAGTTGGTTAGCTGGTTGGTGGAGTCACGTAACCATTCGGCATTGATATCGCCAGTAACAATGAACGTCTGTACACCGCTCCAGTCGGCACCATCGCGCCTGACGCGTCGCTTAGAAGCCGCAGAGCTGGTGCCATTGACATGCCATTTAATTGTGGTGTCGAGGGTATTCGGAAAAGCGTTACGGAAGAGTTGCGCGAGGTCCTTGTCGACCAGGCGCGAGGTCATATCTTCAATAACCTTCTCGACGGAGGGCGAGCTGAATGTACGACAGGCCTCAGCAGGTCGTTGGAAAGGCAATTTCAGGGGACCTTCGCTATAAGGGCCACTGCGAGAAGGTTAATATCCATGGATGGCTATTTGCGATCTAGCTATAAGTGGGGTACATACTGCGGCGTCGAGGCGTACGAAGTGTAGTCAGGGCATGCTCGTTTAAGGATCGCAGGGTTGTTGCGTCCAGGAATTGCACTGGCCTGAGAGACCAGAAGCGCACCAACAAGCAGCGTAGAAAGCGTCATGACAGGCGAGGCGAGGTGAATGAAGAAACACCGACCAGGCAAAATTGGGGGTTGGGGGTAAATGGTAAATAAGAGGGGAGGCATAGCTTGATGTCGATCACAACCATGCTGGGTCACGCATTCCTCCACTTCATTTCATTTCGATTGCCGGGCCCAGGAAGGCCGCAGGACTGTACGCTCGATTCCGCATTGTTCTTCGAATATTATTGATCTCGGGGAAATTGTGGGCGCGAGGTGACATCGTCCAGGGGCACAGGAGGGACGGTTGCACCACGTCCCCACAAATGCGGAGAAGCGATCGGCGGGTGGTTAGATGAAATCTACCAAGTACACCGTCAAATATTACAACTACATGTATATACTCCGTGTTAACTTGATCACCGGGTCAATGCTAAGCGAACTTCCATTCGTGGCTAACTTCCTATACTCCGTGCCTATGCGATCGATTACTTTTTGCCGAAGAACGACATAATGTTTCCCTGTCCAGCCTTCGGGCCTTTGCCTTTGGGCACGTTGACAGCCGGCTTCTTCTTAAGCGGGGCCGGCTCATCTTCGGAGAATGACTCCCATGAAGGTTCCTCTCGGGTGACTGTACAAAGGTAAGTATGGTGGATTGAAGAGAGTTCAGATGATGATATTTGTACTTACCAAGGTACCCCTCTTCGTCCTTCACTGTCCGCTTTTTCATGACCTGTCGCTTGCCACGGCGGCGCCCACCCTGTACGGTGACTTCTTCCTTTAGCTCGGCAGGCTTTGGGGGTGGGGGTTGCTCGACGGGTGTCGGTTCTCGTTCAGGTTCCTCGTCGGCATCCGGCATTTCTTCGTCTATAATATCATGAGTAATTTGTGACTGGCCCACAGAAGCTGGGAAACATACCATCGGCATCCTCATCTTCCATCATCTGCTTGAGCTTATCCTCGCGATCTTTCTTGCTCTCGCGGTTAGCAGATGCCGACTTATCACCGGACTCGGGAAAAAGCTCTTCCTGCTCTTCCTCAGAGGCATCATCCAATACAACTGTGATATGTGAGCTAGGATACGATCTGTCGTCATGGTAAAACTGACCATCCTGGCTTGGCTCCGTCTAGATGAAAGTCAAAGTTAATAGAAGAAACAGAGAATTTGGGACTCGAGAGGATGCTAACCGATTGTGTGGGAGTCGATGTCTTCTGTTTAGGCTTAGCCTTGGCGAACGAACTAAAAAGATTACTCTTCTCGCGTTTAGGTGCGGTCTTTGCAGCAGGTTTCGATGACGATTGAGATTCGCTTTCGGAAGTTGGCTGAGGTGTTGCCTCTTTCATCTGTAATGGTCGCTTTGTTGGGAGTGTCGGCTCGGGCTTATCCTTAGGGGCCACCGGTTCGGACTTGGGCTTCGCGGCTGGGGGGAGGGGGGCGGGCTCCAGTTCGTCGCTACACCGGTAATAGTTAATATGGCATGTATAGAACAAATTTAAAACTGTTTGAAGCGAAGACAGACCTTGACATTACGATTCTGAATCATGCCCCATTGTGCACCACATTCCAAAGGGTCATCCTGTGCATGTGCTGTGGCAATTTCCCGACACACGTCTGTCAATGTATTGAGATCTTGAAGGACAGTAGGTTGAAGGCTGTACACGTGGATTTTCGAGATGGAGTGGAAGGTTGATTTTGCGTCTGCGTGTAGTCCCAAGTATCAGCACAAGAGTTCCTCAGGCCATCAGGAGTGATTATAATGCCCAACGTACCCTCCAAATCTTCCTCCCGGGCAATGATAATAGACATCACACGCGGCGATTCGGGGGGGAGCATCTTGATTCGGCATCGAGCTGGGCAGATAGGGGCTGCTCTGCATGACCTCGTCCTCATCCTTCGCATGGCCGTTCGTCACGGGGGTCTCTGACACCGCTGGCTTCTGGAACCCGGAGATGACGTATGTTGCGTGGACACTTTGGGGTTTCTTTGCATTTTCATTGCGGTGGAACTCATATAGCATTCTGGACCCGGAAAATTAGCTCATGTTTTCTTTCATCGAAGGGACAAAAGCGCAGTCTGTACTGTTTGGCCTTGGTGGCGTGGACTTTCAGCGCGCGGCTCAGAGCGCGGTAAGTGACCTGGAAACAATGAGCAGTGAACTATAAGAACCTTCCAATCTGCAATCATACCGTGCGCCTTTCATTGAGGACATTCTCCGCGAGATACATCTTGTAGTCCATGGTGCTTTGAAGCTCGGAAGCTCTCAAGTTGCTTGACGCGTGCACAACCACTTAACGCGTATCAGTCAGCGGGTCTTGGCGCGCTCACTCCGCCTTGCGCGACTGTCCCTCCGCAACATTTGATACTTGGTACATGATACTTGATATCTACATTGCAGACCCAGCACTATTGGTCTGTCCGGAGGCAAGCCCTGACATTGCTTAGATGGACTCTTTCGATGTGCCTGACTCTACGGACTGGCTACAGACCCCGCTTTCCCTTCTTACACCTCTCGAGTCCTCACTGCGATGTCAAGTCTGCAAGGACTTCTTTGAGAACCCGGTCATCACTTCTTGCTCGCACACATTTTGCTCACTTTGCATTCGCCGATGTCTTAGCGCTGAAGGGAAATGTCCAGTCTGTCGGAGCTCCGACCAAGAATTAAAGCTGCGTCGCAACTGGGCGGTTCAAGAGTTTGTCGAGACCTTTCAAAATGCACGACAGAGTGTTCTTGACCTCGCAAGGAAGGAAGCAGCGCGTCTGAAGGACGGGGATTCCGTGATACGTGAACCGTCACCTAAAAAGAGAAAGGTCGATCGCGTGGACGTGAGGGAGGAAGCCACAGTGGTGCAAGCCAGTCCACGCCGCGCCCGGACAAGGTCACAACGGACCAAGACCGATGCGCCGAATTCTGAGCCGGTGGAACAGGAGACCATTGAGGTGATAGAAGACAGTCAAGATGAAGGGGAAGAAGAATACGTTCCTGGTTTGTTCCTTTCCTTATCCTCTGGCTTTGAATCATGCTCACGTTGCCGCAGATGACGGTATGGTCGCGTGTCCGATCTGCCAGCGCAGGATGAAAGCCCATGCGGTATTCTCTCACCTCGATATCTGTCAAGGGGTAAAGGCTGCACCTCCACCGCCGTCCAGACCGTCCGCATATAGGTATGTATTCGGCATCGGCCTAAGCTTAGGTATTGAGGCTAATCAAGTATTGATTGTCGAGCATAGTTCCCTACAGCCTCAACCGAATCGCCTTCAAAGTTCCCCCGGCAAAGCCCTCGAGAGATTACCCGCTATGAATTACTCCCTCCTGAAGGATAATTTACTACGCAAGAAATTGAGAGACCTGGGGATTCCTGATTCGGGCCCAAAGCCGTTGCTACAACGGCGACACACGGAATGGATGAATCTATGGAACTCCAATTGTGACTCCAGGATTCCAAAAACCAAAAGAGCCTTATTACAAGAGTTAGAAATATGGGAGCGAACTCAAGGTGGACACGCGGCTGCTCCATCGCCGTTTACGACGAACAACGCTGTTATGCGCAAGGACTTTGATGCAGCCGGGTGGTCCGCAAGCCACGATACCGACTTCAAGCGTCTAATCGCAAACGCTCGCATAAAGAGCGATACTCAAGTGCGGTCAACGATACCCGGTGCGTCTGGGAAATCCACAGCTGAATCAATAGGCTCTACTACACCCATTGCACCTGTGGAAGCTCCACTTGACAATAGCATTCCCGTGGAAAGCAATCGAAACATTGAGCCTCGTGGTTCATTCGATCCGTCAGGCTGAGTGGGAGGTATAATCCAAGACAGACTACCGGCATGGGAATCTGGTGCTTGGATAACTGCCTTACTTCGCCTCCATTGGGCGTTCCTCGACCGACAGGTTTGAAAGCCTGTTCGTTAGCTGAGCTTCTGTATCTTTGTCCGCTTGCCTTTGACGAGACACCTCGCCCGATGCCTCCTTCAGGTTGTCCAGCTCGGCCAACTTTTTCCGCGTCTTCTCCGCTTCGATCTCCTCGTTGGCCTCGCGGCTGCTCTGCTCCATCGCCTCCAGCTCGTCGTCGATTTCGTCCTCGTCGATCACTGGTGCAGCCTCATTCATAATACCGCCAACCTCATCCACCTTCATCATCTCCTCGCGCAATTCCTCAACGACATCTTCCACCCTCTCGGCGCCACCGACCTGCGCATGCAGACCACGAAGAACACCAGTGCTTGCCTCCATCACCTGCACGATTTCCACTTGTCCGGCAGCTTGCTCGATTTTTGAATATACTTCCTCGAGCTGCGCAAGTGTGTTCAGGCGTTGCTGCAAGTTGTGTTCAACCATCTTCTTGGACTTGATAGCGGAAAGAGCCGAGATGCGATTCTTATTATTGAGCGCCGTCTTCGCAGATGCCGTCAAGTTAGCAATCTTTTCTTCGAGGCCCTCGACTTGTTTCGTTATCGTCGAGACAAGCGTCTTGATTGAAGCGATGGTCGAATCTTGCTGAGTGATGTCTGTTGAGTCACCAGCAGACTTGAATTTAATAGTCTGCGATTATCAGCAAATGATTTTAAGACCCGCCGTATATAGCTTCCACCTACCTTCCCATCATATGATATCACGCCAGAGTCGCGAGACAAATAAACTAGAAGAATATCAAAATCTGCATCTGAGAGTTCTGTCGCATCATGCAAAACGTCTGAGAATCGTTCGACGAAGCTCTCTTTAGAATAGATCAGATCGAGCTTAGATGGCTTGTTCCCAGTAGCTCGTTTGACAACCAAGTCTGCAGCGTCCTGATAATACACAGAGTCATTAGAAGGGTAACGAGTAGCAGTCTAATAGAGGAAAGTCTCACCTTGAGATTTTCAACCAGCACCAACTCCTGCACCTGCAACTTAGGTGAAGACTCATCAGAGCCAATCACAACACCCTTCAATTGACGAACTCCCCAACTCATAACATTCCAAGGACTCAAAGCACTAGGATCAATAATACGCCATTGGCTCTTTTTGAGACACCCAGGATCAGTCTTGTAAATCGGCAGCGGCACCATATTTCGTTTCTGCATCGCCTCATTCTGTAAAATACGTAAAATTAGCACAGTTCCCCTGGTCCAAAGGCAATGGTATACCCAAGCACATACAAAGACAGCACCGAGTGCTACGGGTCTGCCGAGGTCTGACAGCTCCAGGTCCCGCAAAAGCGACTCGTCCGTGCGGAGAATGAGATGGTCGGTCTTCTTGCGCCGAGAAGAGCTGTTTCTTTGGGAACTTGTAGATCCAGAACGTACGCGCACGCCGCGGGAGGAAGTGTAGCCGCGCTTTGCGGCGTGGTTCAGGGCTTGTTCCCATGCTGCGACGTTGATGGCGTAGCCATCGGGGTTTGTCTTCTTTTGGAGGGCGAAGTCTGAGTAGAGTGATGGGAGGCGGTTCCTGAGGAGAGATATCGTTGTTGTTAGCGTTTCATTCAGGTTTGCTTTGCGCTTGCGTTGCTAGGTGGGTTTTGGGGTGTTGAGTACCTTCTAAATGCATCCTCGTTCTTGAGGATGTAGTCGAGGAGTTCGCTCATGCTGGCGGTATTTGAGCTTGTGGACAGTTCAGCAATGAAGGAGAAGAGTACTGCGGAATAGGTCGAGGTGCTCCGAAGCTCGGTTTTTCTGTTGGTGTTTTGGTGGGGGAAGAAAGAGAGTCGGAGATCAACAACCGCTGGTGGACCTCAAAGCAGTCGGCCACTCCGCAGCTTTATCGATAACGCCATGTGATCCCCGGTCCAACCATTCCATACCTGTTATTCGGTCAATCAAAACCTTTGGTGATGGGCTATAAAATGGTATATTGGCATATTGACCTCAATTCATGACACCAATGCAGGCCTGACTTCGGCTATATCGCATATTTGGTGAATACTAAGTGGCGACTTAGGAAGCCTTGAAGATGCCAATAGTATAGAACTACGCAAAGCCACTTGAAGAACATACTAGTACTTTGTACAGATCAAATTGACACAAAGAAGCTGATCTATTCTTATATGCTATGGTTGGATATTAATTTCATGCCTAGGCTCGTTCAAAATCATCATTGGGCGCTTCCTCCAGAGTTCCGGGCCCCGGGCTCAGCTTAAGATTGCCCGCATCCAGCTGCGCTGGAAGCCCGATCAACGAGCGACGATGACTGCGTTTATCAAGTTTCTCGCTAATCTCCTCCGTACCAATGGGATCCTCAATCGGTGATTCGTCTCGGGCATCGAAGCCCCTGGCCTCGAGGTATTCCACCTTCACGGCATGTCGCAGGTTATCAACGAAAGTCTGCATCTCCGGCATAGGGAAGGCTCCATCGACCTCTAGTACATCCGCATAGAGACGTTCCGCCTCTTCAAGACAAGCTGATGCTAGCGATGGCTTTCCTACCTTCAACCATTGGTCGGCAGCGAGAATACTCCACATGCCGGCTTTGCGTCGACGAGCACCCCACTTCGCACCTGTTACAGGGGTCTTGGAGGCATAGCATGCAGCTACCCGTTCCATAAAAAGGATCTGACCGATCGACTCAACCAAGCCAAAGTCCATGACCCGCATGGCCCACCTGGCGGCAGTTTCGGTGGCAGACCCGCCCCGGGATTTGAGGAGTTCAACGGCCAACGTCAGAGAACGAAGGGCGTGCGGTGCATCAGAGCATCGTGTAAGATAGGAGTAACACGCCGTCTCAAACATTTGATCGATGCTTTCTAATTTGATTTTGGCCGACATCGCCAGTGGGTTTAGGAGCATGCTTACAGCACACATTTCGTGAGCGCCAGCGTGGTATTTCCAAGCCTTGTCGTTGCCAAAGTCTGAGCGAATCATCTCGTACGTTGACGCAGCAAGTTTCCAATCGCGAAGCATGAATGCAAAGTCGGCCATCTTTCGCAGAGTAGCCTCGGGGGATTCTGGCGCGTAGAAGTTATGTGTTGTATCATAGTTCCCAGTATTCCCGCCTGATGACCCAATACCAGAACGTGAGCTAGAGCCGAAGGGCCATCGACGGGACACAGCTGCAAGTCGGCCGCTGATACCGCGCCTTCGGGATGCAACTTGGTCGTTCCAAACGGCGACCCTGTTTTCCATGAATGGGATGACTGATTGCACCATGAGTTCCCGAATGAAGGTCCTGATGGCAGTGGCGTCAGAGTCAAAAAGATAGGGCGTGCCATCTGTACCCAAGTCCACAAGTGTTTCTAGCAGAAGGTTAGTATGGCGTCACAGAAAAAGGCCAAGAAGGGCATTTACCTGCTTCTCCAACCCCCGACAAATGTTCTCGCGGAGATAACCACTCGCACGGGGGTACTTGTGTACTGTCATCATCTGTAACCACACACTGACTGCTCCGTAGCCTCAAAAGATGACAGTGTAATCCAAAATGCCTCTTCATCTGATCATATAATTTGGTAGACTCCGCGATATCATCTCTTTCTTCATCATGAATCAAAACATAATATCGAAGATAGTCCTGTTGAATCCAGTCCGGCAGCCGCTTATCACCAGTACTGCTTTCCGCATAGAGTTGTCGAAGTGTCTCCAGAGGGGCTGTATTTCGGGAGCTGATAGCGATGACGCTGGCGACAGGATGGCCGAATGTTTCGTGAGGGGTAGTGGATGTAGACGACAGAAGCTGGCGGAGGAATAATTTGGATAGCGGTGTCGTAGCTGGAACGCCGAGGACGTCTTTCCCAGAGATGGGCCCTCCCAGCGTAGTTTCCTCTGAATTCAACTGTTTCTCCAGAACCTCCTCCATCTGCGCCAAGGGCGAGTCACGACCAGTATTGGCCAAGCCCAGCCCTTTGATGTTTACGAATCGTACCCCATAGTCGTCCCAGGCACGACTTGATCCGATACTATCCCGGATGATCACTTTCCCTGGTATTGTCTCACCATAGGGCCGAACCAAGTCCCGGAAGCCCCCCTTGAACCCCTTATTCCTCACCAGCGCATCGGTATCCTCGGAGGCATGGATCGCGACAGTAGGAGAGAAAGCACGGATTATCAATGACCTGATATCCTCTGAGCCATCAGAGCGTCCATCGAAGGGCGAGCCGATTGATGATCGTGCTAATTGCGGGGTGGAGGATCGACCGGAGCGGGATTGTGGTGACGCGGATCGGATAGGTAACTCGGTGGTTGCTGTAGGCAGGGGCGAGGTCGGCGATGACCCCGTACGAGCGTCTGCCAGCTCGGCGTCCAAAGAGGCAGTGGCCTCACCTTCATCCGGGAATCGTGACTTGGACGCGTTTCGCGCAATGCCGGGCGAGAAGGACGGCGGAGGTTTCACCGGGGTACCATCTCCGGGCGATGTCATGGACACCGAGTGTTCTTCAAGAACCTAAATGCTAACAGTTCAAGAATTGGCAGGCCCCCATGGACTGGGTTTCGAGGTGAAGCGGCGGTGGTAGGTCTGGGTGAGTGACAACAAGGTCAAAGGATAAGGTCGGGCTCCGATCAGGTCAGGCCAGTTAGATCAGCCAGGCGATTTCGATCGATCAAGGTATGGCCGGGGAGGAAGGCAAAGTTGAACAAAGCACTTGGACTACTGCGTGGCTGCGGGTGGCTCGAGGGTAAAAGAAGAGAAGGTTTGACTCAAGTTTGATATGGCCGGTACAAAGCAGAGCAAAGCAAAGCAAAGCAAAGCAATCACGGCACGGAAGTCCCTCAATCAATCCAATCGATGAGGTTGGAGAGTGGAGTCCCGCAACACTGCCCTTTTTTAAAAAAAACCCTGGCTTTAAGGATGTAGTTCGAATCTGGTCGTATACTTAACACTATTCCATTTTTGAGAAAGAGTTCACTGAGTTATAGATTGGTCAAATTTACTATTTATGTATTGGTAATTGCGGGCGCATTCAGCTTTGTGGTGACGCAACCACGTGAGGCCGCAGCGTATCGAATGAGTCAAATCTTTTTGAGCTGTTAAGACTTAAACAGCGCTGCACTCTGCTCGACTCTATACACTCCCCATGGAGCTGAAAATTCAATGACCAGACTGCGATTACCGGGGTCTTTCTTTCAGATCTCTCGCTTGTCTTCCATTCGCGCTCCACCTCTCCACTCCCGCACCGCAGCTCTACCAACACGCCCGCGCAACTGCTCAAAGAACTTCCTACAGACTTGTGCTACCAGCTACCACCTTCTCATGCGTGTCCGCGAATTCGAATCGCATTCCCCCGAGCCAGCGAGTAAGAAGCGACGCATTTCAACCTCACCCCTCACGCGGGGTGCCTTGCGCGAAATGCCACCAACCCACACCCACCCCACCATCGAGCTCACCCCGATCGAGAGCACCCTCCGAACCCTCCTCCTAGACGTTGCGCAGTACATTCAGCAAAATGGATTACTCGAAGAAGGCAGCAATGAGCTGAGATACCCCGAAACCGTCTTGCGATTCACAGGCGGTTGGGTTCGAGACAAACTGCTTGGGATCGGCAGCAATGATATCGACGTGGGGATTAGCAGCATGACTGGTAGCCAGTTCGGAAACGCCCTGAAGGAATATCTGGATATCCCAGAGAACCTTGAAAAATACAAGAAGGGATTGCCCAATGGTGAAATAAATGATGCCATTGTTAGTATCCACAAGATCGATGCCAACCCCGAAAAGTCAAAGCACCTGGAGACTGTGACAACCAAGATCTTCGGGCTGGATATTGATCTGGTCAACTTGCGCAAAGAGACATATACAGATGACAGTCGCAATCCCCAAATGGAGTTCGGTACAGCGGTGGAAGATGCCTTGCGACGAGATGCCACGATCAATGCGATGTTTTATAACCTGAATGAATCCTGCTTAGAAGACTTGACAGAGCAAGGATTGGAAGATATGAAGAAGAAGATCATACGCACACCATTGGAACCATATCAAACATTCAAGGATGATCCACTCCGTGTACTGCGCTTGATCCGATTCGCTAGTCGATTGGAGTATTCAATCGACGAGGAGGCAGAGATAGCTATGCGAAACGAGGATATTAGCGAGGCATTAAAGCTAAAGATCAGCAAGGAACGCGTTGGAACTGAATTGGAAAAGATGCTGCGCGGTAAGTCTACCTCTGGAACTGTGTATGTCTTTCCCTGTTTTCTAATGGCAGCCGAAATATCGCACAGGGCCCCATCCTCTTCACGCGCTTCAATTCATTGATCGAATCGGAATTTACTCAACCATTTTTGCCAACCACCACGATCAGGTTGTTGCCGATACATCGAGTTGGTCTCTTGCCTACAATGCTCTGCAGCAGGTCTTACACCCAGAGCCTGGAGCTCTCGAAGCTGATATCGATCGCCTGCGTGGGATCCTTCTGCATCGGAAAGACAGCGCTTATTATGCCTGGATGATTGCAACCTTTGCCCCATGGACATCAGTCCCTATGCGGACTCTCCCGGCCCTAAGGGGAAACCTCTTCCCACTCGACCTGTTGAGGTTGCCCGAGATGGCCTCCGCTGCGACAATAAAACCCTCTATATTCTTCGCGACGCGACATTAAACTTTGCCGCTATCATCAAGTGGAAGAACTCCTTGTTAGCACACGAGATCAGTGGCACACCTGCTGAGATTCGGCAGCAGACCGGGCTGCGAATCCGGGGCTGGGGCGAAAATTGGAGGTTGTGCGTGGTATTAGCTATCCTTCAAGAAGTCATGCAGGGAGTAGATCTCAGCCAAGGTAAGAAGATATCAAACTGTGCTCTCCACCATGCTAACCATTCAATAGTGATTCGGGAATACAACCAATTCCTTGCGTATATTGTAGATAGTGACCTAGAGGGGGCATTTGAACTCAAGCCCCTCGTAAATGGAGCTGAGATCATGCAAACCCTGGGCAGCCCACGAAAAGGGCCGTGGATGAGCAAAGCAACGGCGTTGGTGATGGAATGGCAGTTGTTGCATCCCGCGGGCGATAAAGCGGCAGCGCTGGACGCGATTGTCGACCGCCGCGCAGAGTTGGGCTTGTGACTGGACCGCCTTAGAACTTAATCCCATTTTCTATCCTCCACTTCTTTCCTCTACTTCCCACTTTGAATTCTAAACACCCACCTTCCTATATGTCCATGTAAAATGGATCAACTCCGAAAAGAGGCCCGTCGGGTTCTACATCAAACTCCCTGGAATCGCCCAACCACCTTGGAATCCGCGTCCGCCCGCTTGACTCTGCCACAATTGTGGACAAACGTCTCATCCCATGAGAACTCCACTCATTTAGATGTGAGATCGCTATTCCTTGATTGAAAAAAAAAAATCAAAAATTGCAAAGGGATGTCCAAAATTCGAGAGAATGTCACTAATGCGATATAGGCCTGTGAGAGTCTGTATGCCGCGCTCAGCTTTGTCGAAACTGGCTATGATCCTCTGCTGCCAGTGCAGGATAATGCAGCGGAAGCCACGGCTATCAATGCTTTATGTCAATGGGCAAGCCAACTGGCCCTGCCGTCATTGGAATTTGCAACGAACTTCGATGAGAATCCAGAAATCACCGAGGGTATGTCACCTTCAAAGCCTGCGGCCTGATGAGAAAATCACCGCTAAACGACGAACAGAAGACAAAAATTCACAAGAGGAAAGCCGCCTCAAATCGGAACTGGCGGCCCAATTCATCACCTTGATGGGGGCAAAAGCCATTCCGACTCTAGATGACCGCTCTGTCGTCACTTCCCCGGCTGTCATTGTCGCCATGGCGAGCTTCACCTCCGAAAAGGATCCCTGGACTACCAAGGCCAGCAACAACTGTGCCGAAATACTTCTTAACATGTCATGCCAGAATGATCTCTGGTCGGTCATCGAACGAGTGCTCAGAGAGAAAATTAGGCCCCTCTTTACTAAGACCAAGAATCCGGCCATCACAAGTGAAGGCCGTAAAAATCTCCATCCAGTGCCTCGGACTCGCTTCGACGGGGGTGCTTTGGATGACTCGACAAAGCCGTGGAAAACCACGGATGTTTATGCCCCTGCTGTACTCTCTTGGATTATTTGTCAGTACAAGGTATGATTTCAGTGACCTCAAGATCGTACTGCATAGGTTGACCACTCCAAGCCCGCCCACAAAGCCAACCTCGAGGCACACTTCCCGCTCTTAGTGCCAGCCATTCTAGCCCTGATAGATGATAATAACATCAACTACAAAATAAAGGGATGCGACCTCCTCAGCCAGCTCCTCAAGCCCATCCAAGAGAGTGGTTCCGATATCCTGCTTCGAACCAACCTGGTCTCGGTCTTCCAAGAAGCCATCACAGCCTGCCTCCTCTCACTACCGAGCATCACACCAGAAACAAGTTCTCTCAAACTGCTAGGAGCAGCTTATCCTGCTCTCCTCGATCTTTTAAAAGCGACCTACCAATTCACCGCGAAGCAAGCGACCTCAAAGACAGACAAGAACACTCAATCCTATATAACAAATCTCACCAAAATTCTTCGATCAAACCTCATCTCATCCTTCCACCACATCAGCTCATCTACTCCCGCATCCACAAATGCACCTACCTCCTTCCCGCACCCCAGGCTATCAACTTTTCTTCTCGGGTGGATATCAACATTCATCTCCGAACTGGGAATCCACTCAACAAAATACCTCCAAGACGTCATCCCCATCCTATACACCACTCTCTCCAATCCATTCGGAACAGCCCACCCTCCACTCCTCTCCGCCGCAATCGCAACGACCAAGACAACCATCCTGTCCGCTCACCCCCGTATATGGAGATGGCGCGGTGAAATCCTGGGCGGTCTCGCGGCTTGCTGGCTGCACGTGGTCGAAGAACGGAAAGGGAATGGGAAAACGCCCACCCCAGTGCTCGATGGATTAGCCCGTGGTCTACAGAGCACGGCCTTTGCTTTGAAATATACGCTGCAGAATCCTGTGCCAATCACGGGTGGGTCTCTGGATCCGGATCAGGTGGCTGTTAAGGAGGAGGTGCGCAGTGGGTTCCAGGCTCTGGTCGATGCGGATCCTGAGTTGGAGGGGCTTTTGTCTTTAGATGTTGCCGATATCCAGTCTTAGATTTGTCTGAAATTGGAATAAGAATTACGGTTTTATTTCTTGGTATTCTCTAGATGCCCTCTGAGCCTGGCTTGTTGGGTTACGGGATGTAAGAAGGGTTTGCTTCAAGTTCAGGTAAAAGCCAACCGTCAAGACCAGTAACATTCATAGCCAAACCACAAGGTTATCATAATTCATTCCGGGGTATCAATCTGAAAAGGAAAATGGTACATGCTATATCACAAAATAGAGAGATCATCATCATATATCAACCCGTTGCTTAAAAAGACTCTTTCCCCGCAACCACTGCCGATACCGCTTATACCGCTTCTTCTGATAATCCTCGCTAACCACAGTGAGACCTTCCTCAGAAACATTCAGGAACTCCGCGTAGTCGGCCATATTTTCCTCGGCATTTGCTTCAAGTGCAGCCTCCTCGACGTTAAACATATTCGCAAATTCGAAGAGATCCGAGTTTGGACCGTGTTCGCCCCGAGATGTGGCTGTCAACCCATCTTCTGATGTCACGACCAGCGGGACTTTCAACGGATGGTTGATGTATCGCTCGTATTCTTCTGCTTCTGTGCCTGTGACAGATGGATTTAGTGAGTCAGTGACTAACTGGCCAAGTGTCCATTGAGCTATTTGGTCTTTGCTGGGGGCTGTTTGGGTGTTTGGGGCGTTTATGGGTGGGATGCGGGAACCGGGCGATATTCCAAAGGTGGGCTCTTTGATTATGCCTGCCAATGGAGGTTGTTTTGACGAGGATGGAGGCTGTTGTCGCCATAGGTCGGTAGTCTCCGTGATTGGCGGGGACAGGAATTCAGGGGAAGCTGCGCGGCTATCGGATGGTTCCTGTATCTTCACACTTCTGGGTGGTGGCCGGTCGCGCTGGTGTTGGTCTGTTGGGATGCGAGGCACGAATGGGCTAGGGTCTGCGGGTGCTTGTCCAGGGCGCATCTGGAGTGGATAGCGGAAGGTTGAGTTCATTTTGTACGAGAAGACCTTGGATAGAGTGGATAATGCGAGTGGGCGGTAGTACTCCAGCCAGTAATCATCGAAATGCGAAAGCGGCTCTTTCGGACGGGATGGGAGGGGTGGCATTTCTCGTTCTTTCAGGTTCTCCGGCGTGTACCATGAGATATAATTCGGTCTTTTCTTCTCCAAATACGATCTTGGGTCGGAATGATGCAGGTAGTAGTCTGTAGACAAATCCCATAGCATCGGAGCGCCCTGCGCATAGATGTAATTTCCAAGGAAAAGATTGTAGGCCTCCTGTCGCTGGGCGTCAAGGAAGGAGTTGTTATAGTATCGCTTGAAGCTTTCGACCATGTCACGCGAGTGACTGCTCCACTGGTTTATTTTTCGATACGTCGCCATGGTGTTGACAAGATGAGAGCCTCCATATTGAATGGCAATAGTGTCACCATGGTCGTGCCACATGTTGGTAAAGAGATTGACAGCATCTGTGTCATACTCAACTGTCTTAACATCAATAACACCAAGGGCGTGAAGCTGATGCCCAAGTGCTCGCTTGCCTATGACAAATTGCGCGGCATTTGTTCGGTCTAGACAATCGATGCAATTCGTCCGTGCGACGCCATTCTGAATTTGCAATCCCGACTCAATGTCGTTGCCGTTCTTAAAAAATCCGGTCTTTGGAATGATGCCTCCCGCTATGCCTTCGAGTGTTTGTATAACGTCCTGATCGCGGCTCTTCGATGCACGACTCATGTCCCATGCCTTGTAGATGAGCTTTTTGTCTTCTGGGAGAAACTGGTTGAGGTATTCCACGGCGTTGGTGAATTCTTTGAGGAGTTTCGATTCTCTTGGCGTCCTCTCTCTCGATTTGACGAGATTGAGAATGTAAATCGGAGCACCGTATCTCTCAAAAAGATTATCAAAATGCAAGGCTGCGGCTGAATAGAATGGATCCACCAGATTCAACTCAATGTCCGGTTTGGGTGATACGCCCGTGTTCTCTTGGGTCCAATAGAGAGGTATACTCCCACGATGTTGGACATACGATGTGTAATTCGGATTCGCGTGCAAGGTAGGGCCAGCAGAGTGAAAAGACGTAGTTGTTTGCTCAGAGACAATCTGTTCAGTCTCCACATCATTCGCAACGAATCCTAGGTCATTTGCTCCGCGCTTAAGAAAACGAGCACCAGCGAAGAATCGAGACCTACGGGCGATGATGGTAATGTAAACCAACCGCCCATATACGCTTATCTTCGACTGGTCAACATATCCATGAATGATCGGGATGCACCAATCATAAGGATTTTTGAAAGTTCCTTTCGCCGGGGAGAGCAGGTGATTATTCCAGACGAACATGGTATTGTAGTCCTGCCCCTCAGGCCGAGCCGATTCATCTTGATGTGCCTTTCGTTCCCGTGATATATTATGTTGCAATGTCCGAGTGATGTCATAAGAGTAGCTAAAATAGAATGATCGGGTGAGGTCTAAGTTGTTGAGGATCGCTCTGTATCTTTCCTCTTCCGACTGCTTTTCGGGCTTCAGGCGTGATGCCTCGGCTGTTGTTAATGAGATGAGCTCGGTTTCATCGATTTGGTAGATATTGTGCCCGCCCAGAATTGCAACTTGGCTTCGCTTCGTCACCAATAGCATGTAGTACGCTCCGGTGAATCGAATGAAGCCGAGCAATGCCCACGCACTGGATTTCTGCTTCAGACCACCTGAGCTTTTATTTCCATCATCAATGGCATCCAGTAGATGGACCATCTCTCTCTTTGTATAGACCATGTCATCCTCGGTGACGCTCAGCTCGTCCGATTCGGATGTACGATCGATTTTCAGAATCCGGAAACGCGTTTCCGCCAGATTGATGCCGACAATATAGAAACGTGTTGCTGTCTCATAGAGAGTGAACTTGTGCATTCGATTCAAGCCTTCGTCTTCGAGGTCCAACCCCGACCGATGTTTCTGGGCTGATATAGGGGAGGATTCCCGCTCGAAGGATGTAGCCACGCGGGGCTCCTCGTCTTCTTCTTCTGCGGGTATTTCCGAGGATACCGAATGTGCTCCGGTGAGCTCACTGCTTGAGTCGATTTGAGCTGCCCGAGCTGCAGTCACCGATCGATTTGACGTGGGGGTGCCAGAGTCCACCGACTCGCCGTCGGCCTGTTTCCTGGGCTTCGCTTCATTGTTGGAAGGGAGATGGTGATCGTCAACATGAGGATCAGATACCGGACCTATCAAGGTCACATCGTCGAAGCTCTCCATCGCCAAAGCGATGTTTTCAGAGCTGTCGATCAAGACGATCGGAGCAGGAGCAGACAAACGAGTCGGACGAAGCTTTCCCCACACCAACGGGGCCCGTGACTGTGACGTGGTTGGTAGCCTCAGGCAACAATTTAGACTACTACTAACTAACTGGTAAGGTTATTAATACTACATTACTATTACTAGTATCCTAGCGTCTCCTATTATCTGCGCTTGCTTTTGGAGAACATGTAATATTCCATTTCTAGACATTCTACATGTATATTCTCGTTTTCTCTTCACCATTTCAATATCACGCCACTCCGTCAGAACATCCTCCACTCTCCTCTTCGGCATCTCGACCAAAAGTTTCTGAAATTCCACACTTTCCTACCCCCTTGGAGAAATTACCGGTCTGTAGATGAATCTCTTAGCCACATATATGAGCCCCACCGGAAATTTGGAAACCTATTTAATGGTCAGTCTTGAATTTTAACATGAGCTTTGGAGGTAAGTGGCACCTACCGCTTCCATCGTAGAGGAAACCATCACTTCTGATATAGACGTCTAGATAGATGTCAATTGAAAATTTTCATAACCAATAAAGCCGACAGGTTGATTTGAATAACATACCTCCATAGCTGGATGGCCAGGTATAGGCAACCGAGTTCTTGCCACACACGGAGGAATCAACCCAAAAGAATCCCCATCCACCTCCGATGGTGACGGAACCTCCGTTGTTCAGTGCGAGCTCAGAACCTTGATCGTCCTGAATGTAGCCATCTTTACCAAACTGGTTGTGGACATGGGTCGCCGTGGCGGACAGAGCCGTGGCGAGAATAACAAAAGTCTTAGAAATCATCATTTTGGCTTGTAGTCAAAAACTGAGATTTGGACAGATGGAAGATAGTATCTTTGCAGGGAAACGAGAATTAATATTGTCTGGAACAACCTTGTTGCTGGTAATATTGAACAATGTTGGGAATCCAGGTGCCCTTTATAGTTCTTGACCTAGATTAAGTTCCAAGGTCATTTGCTCCCTCAGTCCCTGCCCAAGTGATCACGGAAAGGTTCGGTCAAAACTCCGACTCGGAGTCGTTCATGATATCTCAATTCATATATCTGACCTCATAATATTGATGAGTCCATTTTCCTAATTTGACATATTTGAGGGTGAGACTTTGGTGGGAACTGCATTCTTAGGAAGCTCTTGAACTCCGATTGGCGTTGACTAACCAATCTGGCTGCAATCACTCCCAATTAATATGCACGGGACAAGTAGAGGTAATTTAGACCCGACATTTCCCTGTTCATGCTGACGTCAGGATGGGAGGACCATGCCGTGAGGGAGAACATGTAGGAAGCAAGATATTTAGGTACTGCAGATCAAATGACATGAGAACAAAGTGAAGATGTCAATGTTTGAAGACATAGTATATGTATGGGATAACCTTGGAAAGAGAGAGGCTACTATTCTAGGTTCAAGCTTTAACTGCTATTTGGTATTCTCTCGAGCCAGCTCACACACCTTCTCTAGGCGCCTAGATATTACGTGAATCTTGAGGATAACCCCGCGAGGCCTAGTCGAGCTGTGCCCATGCCTTAGCTAACTGATGCAAATGAAACTCACGGGTGCGTTATTCAGGATGAATATTTCCATTCGCAGTTCTGCATAAAGTAGCGTGGGGCATGGGTTGGCTGGACCACGGGCTGGCAATGACGAGAACTACTGGATTACAGTTTCTCTATAGATTTAGATTCGCGCTAAGCGTTCTGCAGGGAAATCCATGTAAGCATGACTTGTCGAACCTATACTTTAGATGCACAACCGACTTAGCAAAGTTGGAACAAAAGGATGATGCGAGGGCTTCAAGCCATTTCAAGAGCGCCACGGTGAGGGCTAGTCAGGGTTTTCGTATTCAATATCGATTACAGCTAAGTGGGGAGTACTAAGTTTTCCCTGGGGTAATAAAGAGGGGTGGGGCAACTCCTGCATTTGGAAGAAGTCATCAAAAGTTTTGATAACTGGTTTTGCTTTATAGAAGATTAAAAAAAGTATTTTTCTAGATTAATTTGACTGCATTATAAGTAGCCATTTGCAGCTTGCGGCAAGGCTGGTCCTTCCTGCATTCACTTGAGCTGTGCTATGGTTGGACTAAAGGAGGCCTCTTTCTGTAGTGATTTATGAACAAAGGGGTCTCTCAATCTGGTTTGATCTAACCAGAGAGTGGTTTTCTCATTTTCTTTACATGTGCAAATGCGATGGAAAGTGGCCATATTTTATTGGAGCGTTACCATATCCCCTAATCTATTACAAGCAACTTGAAGCATCTTGAAGCATCTTGGCATGCAGGGTCTTAGATATCATCCAGTGGGAGGAAAGACCGAAATTACTAAAAGAGGTTGAAAAGGGTAACGATTCAATTTTGGGGTAGCCGGTTCAACGTCTGTTACTGCAGTATTTTGCCTCTGATTGTAGGTCTTCACGTTACATCGTCAGCTTATGTGGGGCCTAAGCCATGATTCTTGCTTGGCTGTGCTCCTAGCCCCGAAATTCATCGCTTCTAGCTGCGCTCATTGGGTACGGTCACCAGTCAGATGTTTGCGCTCAATGTCCTTGCTTTCGACTAAGATTCAGATGCAACTTTTACCGACAGACATAGCCAGGTGGTCTATTGCACTATTTACGGAATGACTTTGCATGGTTACCATAATTTACAAAAACTCCGGCCTGCAAGACCACTTTCCTATATGGGTTGAAACTTCGTAGTACTTGTTTAATGACTATGGATTTTCTGCAAGCTAGTCCAAAGCCATGGCGAATTCTCATCTTGCTCATTTTCACCCGGACGTAACACCTGATTGCCAAAACATTGGATGTCCACGGACTATTTTCGAAAACGCCATTGCTCTTCAACCTGTTCAAGGCGAAACCGGGTATGACGTTGGCTTTGCGCCAAAAGATTGGCGCAGATACCATGAATAATATCCATTCGAAAGCTACTACCGAAATAATTCTTAAGATAATTAATAAGATGTTTGCATGACTGCAGTCTCTGCCTACATGGTGGCTACATAGCCGCTATCATTCGCGCAAGTCGGATCTATTTTAAGACATACCACGACGACGTTGGCCAACCAGATCTAAATGATCAGCTCGAACAAGTTGGTGAGCACCCGTTTCTCCAGGGCTCGGATCCTTCCAAGGTTTTGTCCGTCGTCAATGAGGATTTTATGCATCTACTCCGTTGCAGCATTACGGTATTCGCGTGAGTCGAAGGCTGCCAGCGCCGACAGGACCTTACGAGAGATCTTGTAGATGTAAGATTCATTGAACCTCCGCCTATGGCGAGCATATCATTACTGTTTTCAAGGATAATTATGACGCGTGACATCCATGAATGTGGCGAGAGATAGTTATACGTCCAGAAGAAGTAATTCTCTCTACCACCTGGGCATACCATTATTATGAAGGTTGTTGTATAAAAAGGAAGTGGTAGATATTGTGAATGCTGAGATATCATTTTTTAAGTCGTAATCTTTGAAGCGATAATAATACTGAGCGGCATTAACTGTTGACAATGGAGCTCACATTGGCTGCAGAAAAAGGAGGACGCAGTCGATATCATTAGGTAAGGCTGTGAAGACATTGATGAAGTCTTTGATAGTTTATACTGTAAAAAAAGGATATCATAGAAGACAGAGTGTGTTAAAGTCAAAGTCACTGGTAGCAGTAGGAGCAGTGGCCACCCACGTATCTAAATTTGTAGGTAGGTCATATTAATCGCGAATAGTGGTTACTAATACTAAAAGCCATAACGGCAAGAGTGAGGATTCGCCAAAATGACCTGGTTACCCGGCGCCGCAGCGATAGGCATAAAAAAGAGGGTTGATTCGACGAAGAAGCGATTAGGAGGGTATTCGACGATTACTAGTAGGAAGGAGAGGGAACAAGAGGTCGAACTCAACGAAATAGCGATACTAGTAGTAGTAAAGGACACGCGGGCGGGCGTTATTAGTAGCCTGAGAGCTCCGGGGCTACTAGTAGTATCTAGGTATTAACTAACTATATAACTAGTATTCAAGTTGTGTTAGTAGTAGCCTAGTACCTGCTAGGTACTAGTACTGGTAGTCACTACTAGTCGTAAGATGAAACCTTGGAGGTGGGTGGAGTAGGATGTCACGGGAGATATATTTAGTAGGAAAACACATGGGCGTCAAGTACCCCCACCGGAATCAGAACAAACACTCTGATATATGTGTCCCTGGCCTCGGCAGCGTAAAAGTTTGATCAGTGAAAATTAGCAACCTTAAAACAGGATTAGTAGAGAAAAAGAGAAATTGGAGAAGGAGAAGAGGAAGTAAAAAGTTTGATCACTAAGGAAATAAAGTAGAGCCTGAAAGACATCTAACGAGAACTAAACTACTGTTGGGATTGAAGAAAGTCCTTCTGGGGATAGTTTCATCTTATTCTCTATTATAACACTCTATTTAGACTTTTGAGAAATCTCCTATCAACCAAAGTTATTAAAAGGACTTTCATGAACTGGCAAACACGCACAAAACCGTTCAGGCCTAGGCTATCAGCGTTGATGCTATTAAGATGAATCGGCAATGCCTGTAGCTTGTTCCTCTAGGCACTTCTAACAATCGGTCCAAGGACTTAGAATTAAGCCATCGACATTCATCTATTCAAGCCAAGATCACACCTCCATGAGTCAAAAAAACAACAATATGCAGTCTAGCCATTTTCACCATAGTTGATTTGAACACCGAGCTTGGAATTGATCTGGGACTTTCCCTAAATTCCGACTCTGTGTAGAGAGCGCGAGTGCGCCCGCTGGAATAGCCCACTGCTCTATAAGCTAAGCACACCTAGTTCGAGTGTCGGGCACTGCAACCCCAAAGGTGGTGAAAGCCTTATATGGAGTCCTCAAGGGAGGTAGAACTCGCGCAACCAGTGGGGCAAGTTGGGCTCGGGCGATAATTTCCGTTCAGAGAATCTTGGTCTCATGGCAGATCTTGTGTGTGTCCGATCCCATGAACACTTCTTGGAGTGCCTCGAGGAGTTTATACTTACGTGCCCAGGTACCCCATATGCATTTCAACTACCAAAAGAGTAAGCTCGGTAAACTCCTCTCTTTTGGGTATCTAACCATAAGTATGGACTTTATTTTCGTCCTGATCCTGCTGGTAAGATAGAAATGATTTAGAACCGCGCCAAAAAGTACAATCTGGAGAACGGCCACTTTGACATGCACATCCAGATGGTGGACGATAATGGAAATTTAGTAGCCACAATACAAAAAATACACCTTGGTATTCGAGGAAAAGCGGGGAAATTCACGCAAGACAAAGCTCGCTCTATGATTTGGATAGAAACGAAACGCTAGAAATGGCATGAAAGTAGCGATATTCGGCGTCCAACTGACAGCCATTTAGTGTTTTCGTGTAGGGAAAAGTAGGAATCGAAACACTAATTTCTTTGTATGAAATGAGGCATTTATGGATCATCCCGAAATACTCCGAAGATTTCCCATCCCCAGGTCAAGATCTGGAGATCTTAGGTCCAAGGGAAGAGAGAATGCGGCCTGGAGACTATTCGGACAGGTCCCGAGTGTGACGGGAGCTAATTCAAATCCCCACCATCAATTGGCCCGGATTGCCGTGAAAGTTTATGCCAATCACCGATAGATCCCGACTAGGGATGACCTCCGTAGAAAGCGGTGGTATCCCTTTACCACAGGTCTCGCATTTGTTCGCCAAGGCACAGTTGGGGGAGGAATCCTTGGCGGGTGTCGGGGGCGCCGGGAGCAATCTGGGGGCCAATCCTCGGTGTGTCTCCGCGGGGGTGCTTGTGCCTGCGGACCGCAGATGGTCGTTAAAGTGGCTGAAGTCAAATCATTGAAAACCAACGCTCGTTTGACAGCGACAGAAGTAAGAGAACCTTAATTATCAGCCCATCTTTTCCAAGGTTTGTTTTATTTTGACTTGTCATTACTACTGTCCACTCAACGCCTTCCAAACCGTGAAAGAAATTGAACTGGAAGGTTTACAGCAAGATTATCCTCATATCTCTACGGTAGAAGTGAATTAGGCGTCCAACTTTCCGATTTGTTTCTCAAATGCGTTTTTCATTTTAGGTAATGATTCCCAATTATGTAAATTAATAGCTCGGCAGAAATGTCTGCCAGGAATTGGAGGGATTAAGAAAAGTGTGGGGTGCATAGATATTGCGGAGATGAAACGATCCAACCCCTTCTCGTGGGGATAAAACTCAAATCCCAGCCTCAATTTCAACACATGAGACACAATTAATTAGGCAAAAGATCATCTTAAGCCTTGGAAGGTTTATACGGAACATTCATCCTATCCCTGTCTACTTCAAGTTCGTGGTATGTGGCTGGCAACAGTGAATAGTTATAGCGACCCTAACACGGGCTACTACGCTTGGATACATGGTCCTCGCCCCGCACCTACTCCCTACTAGTACTCCTCTCGTAATCCTGCGGATGGCAAATGATGTCTCAGAGAGCGAAATGCCAAGAATCCTGAAAACTTTCAAATCTGGCTTCCGCATACATGTTGGATTCCTGGGGGCGTGGTCCAGAATCTCTTAGCAAGTGCATATTTATCCTAGTATCCAGTGTCAGAGAACAGGCTAGAGGACTGATGCTCTTGGAACTTTTTTTATCAGCATGTATGTGAAAATGTTGATGTAGTTATGTATAGGGTCATCACAGTTGAACCAAAGCACGAATTGCCTTGTCTGAGTGCTGTAGGGGCAATTAGTTGGATTCAACAAAGCAACCATTCATACTCGACTGACTTGACTGTTTTTCAGTTTTTAGCTCAACTAACTCTGTCCGAGAATCGGCCAATTAATAAATAAAAGTCATAGTCTGATTGGATCCTCCAACTAAAGGGATACCTGTGCCGAGCCTCCCCCGCTCGTGTTCTACCAGAGAGGCCGGGGTCTGTTGCTCTGTGCCCCCGCCGTACGAGATTAATGCTCGATAAATACTCTACCTTCCCTCATTCATAATTTCTGAAATATTATCTTCATTGCCTTTTCTCTAAGCCAGGTAGCCACTTCGTTCATAAGTAACGGGCATTCTCGTTCAAAATGGCGGGCGGTGCTGCTATCAACGTTTTCAAATTCAACACAGGTGGTCTACCTAAAGAGACCCTCAACTTCAGACTATGGTTTGCAGTCTTCACGTTTGGCATCATGGGTGCTGCCCGTGGTGTTGACGAAGGCCTCATTACGGGTGTCTTTAATTCGCATGCGTTCAAGAAACAACTTGGTATTGATGATCTCGAGGATGGTGAGCTGGCCAGTGTTAAGGGAACTATTTCCTCGATGGTTCAGCTTGGGAGTGTCGCCGGTGCCTTACTGTAAGTCATGTCTATAGATACATTGTCCTCTTATGAACGCTCTGGTCGACAGTTTTATCTAACAATATTTCAATTCTAGCGCTTTCCTCGTCTGCGATCGTATCGGGCGTGTTTGGGCTACTCGTCAGCTCTGTGTCCTCTGGATTCTCGGTATCGCGATTTTTATTGGAAATAAAGGTAGCATGGCTGCTGTATATGGCGGTCGTTTTGTTGCTGGTCTTGGAATTGGACAAACTTGTGTTGTCGGACCAATCTATCTTTCAGAGATATCACCGGCTCCTATCCGTGGCCTCTGCACCTGCATGTTTACTGGCGCTGTGTATCTGTCAGTGCCCCATTGAGATCTAAATATGACATTTGAAAATACTAATGTCCAGCATAGTGGTATCATGCTTGCCTACTTTGCCAATTGGGGCACTGAGCTTCATATGGCAGATACTTTCAATCGTTGGGTAAGTCTTGGTCTCTGCATTTACGTTGGATTAACTAACTTGTTTTATAGGCTGTTCCTACTTCGATTCACCTCATGTTTGCCGGAATCACACTCATACTCACACTCTTCGTGTTAGAGTCACCTCGCTTCTACGTAAAGCAGGGACAGCGCGAGAAGGCACTCGAGGTTCTTTGCAAACTTCGTGGCTTGCCTGTCGACCATCCATACGTTCTCGAGGAGATGACAGAAATGGATGTTGCTTTCCAAGAAGAGATGGAGGCCACTCTCGGCATGGGCTGGAAAGGCCTGTTCAAGGAGATTCTTGGGATCAGACGGAACTCGTACCGTCTCTTTCTCACCAATCTCGCCCAAAATATGGCTTGTTGGTCTGGTGGTTCGGCAATCACGGTTTACGCCCCTGATCTGTTCACCCTTGTTGGCATTACTGGCCAAGAACAGTCTCTCTTCTCGACTGTAGTCTTTGGAGTCGTCAAATTTATTGCTTCTCTAATTTGCGCCCTCTTCCTCGTCGATATGGCCGGTCGCAAACGTTCTCTCATCATTGGTATTGTTTTACAAACCATTGCCATGTTCTACATTGCCATTTTCCTCAACATCGTGCCTATTGCCAACAACCCTGACTTCTCTCCCAACGGAACCCAAAGCCAAGCCTCAACTGCAGCAATTGCATTTATCTACATTTCCGGTGCTGGCTGGGCTCTCGGTTGGAACAGTGGTCAGTACCTGCTGTCTTCTGAGTTGTTCCCACTCCGCATCCGTGGTATTTGCTCATCTATCACAATGGCCATGCACTTCATTTGCCAATACGCCGTCAACCGCGCCCTACCTGAGATGCTGCTTGTTGATAAAGGTCTTGGTCCTGCGGGGACCTTCTACTTCTTTGGTGTCATTTCTTTGCTGGGTGGCTTCTGGGTTTGGTTCTTCGTGCCTGAGGCCGCAGGTCGTAGCCTCGAGACTATTGACAAGATGTTTGATCTTCCTTGGTACAGGATTGGTCGTCATGGAAGAAAATTTGCCGAGGATTACGATCGCGAGCAGGAGCAAATCTTCCGGAACGAAAAGATGGATCAAGGCGCAGCTGCCACCCACCACGAAGCTGCGTAAACTGACCATAATTGATCTCTTGGAGTGGAATTTCTACGATTTTCGTTTATTGTTTAGCTTGGGATGAGAATATGAGATACGGAACGATGTCAACATGTTATTTCTTTTTTTCTTATCCTCACTAGTCAATCTTGCAGTTATTAATGTTGTCTTGCCAAGCCATGGAGGCATAACGTGGAATGAAGGAGTTTGTAGTGAAGTTTGCGGGGAGATAAAGGCGAGCATCATCAGTAGCGTAGTTTGTTACCGGGTTATAGGAATTCAAGGCTGTCACAATTCTTCCGGCAAGGAAGTCCGAAAATATCATGTCAACCTTATCCGGTTCGCCATCTGATGGGAACCCAGCAGTAGCTTGGACATGCGCCGGCTGGGCGTACTCTGGGATTGGCGAATGAGGAGTATCATCGCCATCACTTCCAAGGTCATCGCAAGTCACATAACCTGGCGTCGAAGTGTCGGTTTCAAGAACACGACCGAAAAGAGTCTTTGTCTTTAGAAGCCCGGTTGCGTTGTGAGGCGATGGGTTGTCACATTCATCATAGCCCATTAACTGACTTGAAATAGTATCCATATTCATCGATCTCTTAGACTTGGCTGTCTGATTATTGTTGATGTAGTCGAGGACTTTCGAAGCTATAGAGTAAGGTACATCAGGGATGTAATTGAAGGTACTCGTGTATGGGCAGACAATGTACGAATCATCGACAGTGAAAGGACCCTTGACCAAGTCGTACCTGATGGCACCTTGATTCACAATGATCAATCTTGAATTTGCGGCGCGATCAGGACTGACCACAGTTGCGGCGGCGGCGGTCTGGACTAAGGTGTAGACATTGCCTTCATCACCGAAAGGCTTGCAAGATATGCAGTATGTTTGAGGCGCGCATCCATATACATGGGTGAGGTTCATGCCCTTGCGACCATCGTCAATATCCTGCGTCACTTGAATCCCACCAGCAGTGCTGAACTGGTCTTGAGATCCTGTCGCATGGTAGGAAAACGTAAGTCGGTTCCAATCCAGATATCGGCGTGTCAATTCTAAATCAAAGGTCTGATTTTTGGGGCATGCCGTGTCGATAGAATCACTGGGCTTTTCTTCGTCGCCGATAGTAGATTCTGCATCAGGCTTGGTTGCTCGACTCTGTATGGACTTCGACTTGATACCATCCAGGGAAATCCAGCCCACAGTATCACAATATTTACCGGATTCTATGGCTGAAGACATCTTGTCGTAAATGTGAAAGTCCCGACGGTGTGTATGACCTCCGAACCCCTGAACGGGAATTTCTGGGCGCATTTCCCGAAGAGTTTGCATGATTAGGGGAAAGCTGCTTTCAGACTTAGGGATTCCCGGCTTGACTGGGTTGTGTCCAATCAATACAAATAAATCAATCTCCGGATTGTTCACCGCGTTTTTGAACCAGTCTTCCTGGATCATTTCGGCAGCTGGTTGAATTCTCGTCATGCTCTTATTGTTATTCGTCCCATCCAATATCACGCCAAAGGACATGATTCGCATTCCTTGCTTAGTCGTAAAATGTCGGAATCTGTTTCCCATAGAAACCCATTGCTTCTGAGCTGGTTCGCTATCTTGGCAATTGTCGCAGATATCGAGATTGCTTGTTAGATACCGTTCACCATAGACCTTTGCAAACATGGAGAATGTCTTGTATGCGACATCAAATGCAATAAGCTCATGGTTTCCCGGGTGAGGATATCATAGTCAATGTTTTCGAAGATAGGATTCGTGATCTCTCCATTCGGCTTTGTCGAATCACTGAGACCATTGCCGTCATGCAAATCTCCTATTCATACCTCGCGCATTAGATTGTATCATTATTCATATGATCATGAGAACTGACCAGTATCAATAATCAATAGGTCGACATTTTTCTGAGTTGCCTTATCCCGCATGTGCTTCGTGAAAGACACAAAATCACCCCAATCCGCTCCATAATTGCGCTCTTTGATATGCCCCTCCAGCCAGCCGTGGCTGTCTGATGTGTGAAGAAAATTGATTTCTCCCCAATTCAGAGGGCCCCTTGGGCTTGTCGTAGCATCTAAAGCCCCTGGCTGCATGCGACGCATTACTCTTGGATATACCGAAGGTTCATTCTCTCCCTCGCAGGAAATGCATGCTGAAACTGCAGATATGGCCGCTGTCAGGCCGAGTAGAACAGATAAAACCCTCATATTTTCTGTGCCATGTAGGTACCGAAACGAGTAATTGGGTATATAGTAGTGTATTTCCTGCTAGATTGCCCAGGCTCATCGAGGAGAATGATCCAAGTCCCGACAAGGCTTTATATCGGCTTGGACACGGTAAAACCACCTGGGCACCTGGGCACCCAGCCCGATTTTTCAAGACAAAGAAAAAAGGCAAGTATGTGTCTTGAGCATTCTTGGGTCTCTCGAGGTGAGGCCCGAGAATGCCAGTGGAACATTGACCTGTGGAATGCGATTCGCTTATATGGATCTACTGCCATCAATGTTCGTATGCTACTTACCTCATTCCAACTTGGACAGACTCTTGAGTAGATAGTATCAACTCCTGCCCCATCATATTGAGCGTAAATTGATGAGTCAAACCTTGGGATATTGGCAGAGAAGTACCTTGGCATGGCAACTTGAAGGATTCAAGCCATAGGTGCTCAGCGACCGAGATCTCATGGGAGCCTTGGAGAGATCAAATTAAATACATTCAGAATAGCTTGAAGCCTTCCCAACGATAAAAGATCGAATAATATATTAAAGCACACGATATCGGCTAAACCTTTGACTGACGTTTCTCAAGCGCCTTTCGTCTACTTCTCAATGCCTTCGTCTCCTCCTGGAGGGCCAATTTCTGCATGATTTCTTCTGACCCTCCACCTACGACATGAACACGAGCATCGCGACTTATCTGCTCGACTCGTGCTCCTTTTCCAGCCTTGTTATACCCCGCCCCTCCAAAGATCTGCTGCGCTTCTCGAACACTCTTCTCGAGAGCGCGGGTAGACATGACCTTTAGCAAGGCTGTCATTCCCCCAATCTTGACATCGTCGACCGGTCGATCTTTGGTGAGCTCGAGGATATTTACAAGCTGCTCCATGAATGCATATGCCGGTTCAATCATGAGACCAAATTTGAATATCTTTGATTGAATGGCTTCCTTCTGGATGAGGGAGAGCCGAAAGTCTCACGTTGGATTGCATAGTTGAAGGCATCTTCAGCGCAGACACGAGCCAATCGCAACGACGCGCAGGCCAAGGCTAGGCGTTCCGGGTTGAAGTCTTCAATTTGATATTAGCCATCGGGTTGAAACTTCTCCTGGGGAAACTTACTTGACATGATTAGTGCGAAGCCCTTGTTCTCTTCTCCAATGAGATTTTCGACAGACACCCGAACCTCATCCAGCTCGATGAAAGTCGACCCTTTCAATGTTAGATTATTGTGCTCACTTGCCGGATATTATTGTATGAGTCTTACCACTTGCGTTGACACCTGAATTGAACATTCGTCGACGAGTCACCCCCGGAGCAGCCAGGGGAATGACAAGTAAGCTGATCCCCGATCTCCCAGAACCTCCTGTTCGTACAGCAGCCGTGCAGTAATCAGCCCAGAGACCATTTGTGATCCACTTCTTCGCGCCATTCACAATGTAGTGATCACCGTCCCGAATCGCGGTTGTTCGGATATTAGCGACATCAGACCCAGCTACGAACAAATTTAGCACAGACACTTAGAAGGCCCAGAGAAGTAGAGAGCGTACCATCAGGCTCGGTGATTCCTGAGACAGAATCGGATATCACCTTTCGCAACACCAGGTAGCCATCTCTTTTGCTGTTCGGTGGTACCAAACTTGGCGATCGGTGGACACCCGATTCCATTTCCGCCACCAAGACCCCATATGACGCCGACGTAGCCCACGCGGGTCAATTCATCCCCTACGATGAGTGAACACCAGGTATCCCATTTATCGCGTGGAACATTCCCCGGCAACGACAGACCAGCTGCGTTTTCCTCAGTTGTGAGAGGGTGTACGATGCTGAATCCCAGTTCGCAATGACGTCGGCGTACTGACTCGGGTACCTGCCCAGCTGCTTCCCATTCCGCAGCATAGGGTGCGATGGAGGTATCGACATAATCCCGGACCCAGGCACGTAAGTTGTGATGCAGGTCTGTGTAGTAGGGGCTTTGCACATCGAGTTGTGGGAGTAGAGGCTCGCTGTAGGGAGCGGTCGGAGCACGGAGGTTGCGCGCCATAATAATGGATCTTTTGGCTGAGAGATAAGGACAAGGATGGTTGGAAAGTTCACGAAGAGAGAAACGTGATTTTCTACATCTCCGGGGGTGGAATAAACTATGAAGTGTGAATGCGGGGAGACGCCTGTGAAGAAGCGTCGTTTCCCCAGACCGAGGCCCCTCGGGTAGGCCAATCATTACCGCAAATAATTGTGAGAGGAGTGTGCATTGATTTATGCTGGGTATATCTAAAGTTTACTTTGAAAAAAAAAAAATCTCTCGTCATCCATCACTTTGCACTTTGACGAGTCTCTAGCCTTTTGACAGCTTTGTAGATTTGTCGCAGTTGATCCTTCACATCCTGGCAGCTCCACCGATGAAGCGATTGTGGACATAACATCCCCTTGATGCAGGTCATTAAGGAGTCGGCAACGACAACTCCAATATCCAACTTTGTCTCACCATGGTCAACCTTGGAAGCAAAGTCATCCGGGAAAGAGATTGACCCTCGGGTCAATTGGTTCAACACCAGTTGGCGCTCCATCTTGGTATTTAGTTGGTAGACAAGCTCGAAGAGAATAACGCCAAGGGAAAAGACATCCAATTTCTCGTCGATTTTGTATTCGTCAAAATATCCTGGCGTGTCACTATCATCCGTATTGGCAGGTGGTCGATAAAATTCTGTTCCCACAACTCGCTGAATGTTTGGGCCACGATGGAAGGGAGTCACGGTGCCCTCCGAAGCGGGTGAATTGAGATGGGAGATATCTGCTACGAGACCAAAATCACCGATTCGGGGGTGGCAGAACTGGGATGGGGAATTTGGCTCCGAGTGGCAAGGAATGCATGTGTCTGTTTTGCTGTTTTGAGGCAAAGACAAGAAGATATTGGCGGGCTTTAAATCCCGATGCACAATATTCTTGGAGTGGAGATACTCGACACCCGAAACAATATCAAGGAACAACTTCAGCGATGGCATCAAATGAAAACAATGACGTCGCGATGGTATGCACTCAGTGTCATTGTACTTGGCTGCAGCCTGAGGGTTTAAATATGAGCTGAGAGAGATAGGGTGAAGTGACATTTGGATATGAAGAATCACAGCGGGGGTCTGGTTCCCTGGCCGACACTGACGCTGGACCTGAAGCTTAGAATGATCTTGACTCAGTCCATCGGTGAATATATCATCGGTCTCTCCAAATGTTGATGTTTGTCCATACGAATGATTGTCGAAATTGCGAGGGATGGACTCGATATCTTCATCATCTTCCCATCCAGTTACGGAACTCTTTTTCGAGTGTCGAGATGATGATGTCGCATGACTATCCCAGCGTCTAATCCTATTGGAAGATCCTTGATCCTCGGGGTAGGAATTCGGGTGTGAATCGGCCATGGAGCTTTCAGAGTTTTCGAAAACGATTCCCATGCTAGGCTCATTAGTGGACCCCTGGCTGGATAGGGGCTCTTGGGAGGGTTCGTAGCGCGGCTTCGCAGATTGTTCGAAAGGCCTGTGACTCGAAACATGTGCTTGTTCGACCCATGCTCCGTAGTACCGAACAATATTCGAATGCTCCAAGCGAGCAAGAGTTCGAATTTCTTTCATGATGGTTTCCAGTTGATTTTCTCCACCATATTGCAATTGGTCGAGGCGTCTTTGGGAAATTGGTACCTTTTTCAGAGCATAATCTTGCGAGTCGATGTGATTCTTCACGTGGTAGACTTCACCGAAGGAGCCCCGTCCCAAAATTTTGAGTTCGCTGAATTCGACGGAATAACGAGACATGTTGTTTAGCGATGGAACCGAGGGTTGCGGAAAGAGTGAGATCCCCACTGGTGAACTTCCGAAAAGCGGGCGTGAAGGATTCGGTGCGCCTGCAGTGCCATCGAGAACGTCAAAGTTGCCGATCGAGGGAAGGTGTCTCCCAAAATTGCCATCGGCCCCATCTCTTGGCCATAATGGAGATGCGGTTTCAGGAATGACAATCCCTTGGACGTTTCTTGAAACTAGAGCCAGTTCCCGATCCTCTCCACCTTCAATCGGGGACCGGACACCGGGTTCGACAAGATTGAGGCCTTCTAGAGCGGAGAGGCCGAGCATATCGAGACGGTCACGATATTCTTGCCTGGTGGCCCCCAACTCTTCTTCGTGGGCTCCATCTGTAACCAGACCGTGTTTGGATAGGATTTGGGACTGGTATTTGTAGAGCTTCTTTCCAAGGTATTGAGCTTCCGGGGATTGCTTGGTGTATGTTTTACTCGAGCCTGGCTGCGCATTGAGGATGTCTGCTGCGCGGCTTTGGCAATAGAACTCCAAAAGAGCAGATGTCATCATATTGGCGTGGTGGTCTGCATTGATGTCGATGGTGTCCAATGATGGAATAGATGCCTCTTCAAGAGAGAGAGAGTTTTCCGAGTAGCTGCTGGCAGCTGGGTTTATTTTTTTTGACGGCTCGCCGGCCGCTCTGTCATGACTTGTCCGGCGAGATCCGACTCCGTGATTAGGTAGTCTCTCATGTGAAGAAGCCTCATGTTCACCAAATCCATCTTCATCACTTTCAGATTCCGGCTCCGATGAAGATAGATCTGCGGCTGACCTGAACATTGACATGTTGAGTTATGACCAAGAGAAAAGATCAACAGGTGACTGGAATTTCACGAGAATTCCATCCAGAAAGTTGCGTAAAAATTGAAGCACAATGCCCAAGAACTTTGGTTTAAATTTGACCGTGAAGTTTGTAAACCTTGGAAGTTAAGATTCGTCAATTTTTGGCTGAAAAATTGTGGGTATAGAAGTCGGTGGGATGGTGGGGTAGTATATATAGTCAGGTTCAAGTTTGTTTGGTCACGGTGTTGACTTGAGATTTGGATAGCAGTCCAATGGATGAGAGTTGCTCCGATTGAGAGAACAAATGAGACCGGCCTTGGACGAATAGGCCACACTAAGGGTTGGCTCAAAAGACGCAAGGTGTCAACATGCCCTGGAAGTGCGATGATTCACTCAGGCTTCCATCGGATTCCACTTGTCTCTGATAGGGTAGAAATAGGCAAGTAGACGGGTCGAAGAAAAGCAAGTAGCCAGGCAGTCTCAATATGTTCAAATGGGCCAAGTATACTCTAATCAAATTGACCCAAATGCAAAGCATTAACAAACAATGGCCTTCAAGTGTCATGGGAAGGGCGTGTCAGCCGGGAGAGGCGAATGTAAATGCGGCCCGAGTCCACCTTTTCTGCCGGCAAAACATCCGCGCCGCCAAGAGCCGCATTGGAGTCCAGTCCAAAGCTGATGAAGATAATTTAGATAGCAAGGAGTGCTAAAAGACACCCCAAAATTAGTTCACATCATAGTTTAGTTGTATTGTGCAATGTTTGATGAGGATAGTAATGTCGTGGATAGGCCTCGCCAGACCCGCCCCAAAACCCGAACCCGCCCACGAAAACCCGCCCCACGGGTCGGGGCGGGTCTTAGTCAGCAGACCCGTGGGCGGGTTTGTTTTTTGAAAACCCAACCCGCGACCCATACGGGTACCCAAATTACCCATGACTCCAAAAGGGGAAGGATTTGTCAGCTAGCACAAAATTATGCTAAATTATTCGTTTAGATCAACGTATTGCCCCGGTATGAGTAGAATAGATTCAACCTACGCTTCTCTAAAAGTCCCAACCATAACATAATCACAACCTCGCTTTACATAAAGGTCTATATCTTAGGATAAGTGGTTATATTAAGAGATTACATCAAACTATAGGACTAGAGGAGACTAACTAATACAGCTCATAGCCTTCAAGTCGGCTTGAAGGCACTGTCATCCTCCCTGATGATCTTTTTTGATATCTCTCTCCCAGATGCGTAACTAGAGGTGGCAACAAATCTTCATCATCGCTCTCTGGATCTGGACGAATAGCCGTCATCGTCACATCTTACGGTCGACTGTGAGAAGGAAGCTCCTGTAAGGCGGTGCTTTCAAATCCCAGAACACTCTGAACAGTGGGGCTCATATCAGTATCTTCGACTAGATCACTCTCGTCTATATCGCTAATAGCTGCATTCTCATCTTCGGTTTCCTTGTTTGCCTCATTTTCTTCGAGATTTTCCTGGTCCTCCCCTTCCGCCATCCTATAATCCAACAGACTCGATTGCTGGCTCTCCAGGGTGAATTTCTCAGAGCACATGTACATCATCAAGTCTTGTATCATAGTCTCATTCAGAGATCCCCGGCGATAATGGCAAATATCCCGGGCACTATTAAACAGCCTTTCAACTCCTGCGCCAGTGGCTGGAACTAAGAGCAAATCGCGAGCTAGCCGCGAAAGCACGGGGAATTTACTCTCATTCTCTCTCCAGTATACACACGGTGGTATTGAGGTAGTCGCTGGGAACGTTAACGGTCTTTCAGATCGATTAAGCCAGATATACTTACACTCATGGAGATAACGATCAACCTCGTCATACCCGACTCCTTCGCTTGTTTCTACCGCATATATTGGTTCAAGAAGCCGTTCTAACTCCGAGGCTTGTAACGAAGGGCGTTGTACAGCACGGAATAGCATCTCTAGGTTTCTTTGTTGATACTATACAAAAGATAATCGCAGATATTCACAATATCTTTTTGAAGTCTCGCCAATGCACTGCGAATACTCTGTATCATCAAAAGCACAAAGCTTATACTGAGAAGCAAGCAAAGCCGCTATACCGTAGAGAAATCCATGGTCACGATAGGTCTTCTCGTAATAATCTTTTAGCTTTTGCTTTGCCATGAGCATGGCACCGTACATATCTTTTTTCCAGGGTGTGGTTTTCTTTCTCAGCTTCCGGTTTGAGCGTTCGATGTGTTCCAGAAGCTTCCTGTACACGAGAAAGACACTATAGATAGTCACATCTTTGGTCTTCATCAGAGCCATGGTAAATTTGAAGAACGGCCTTGTTATATTGACCAGGTAGTCGATTTGCCGCCACTCGGTATCGGTGACTTTAAATTGGCTATATTCATGGTCTCGGCAGTATTTATCAATGGTGTTCCTAAGCCAGCGCGCTCTTCGGAGCATCAAAAAAGTAGAGTTCCAGCGGGTCTGTACGTCGTGGAGGGGGAAAAGCCGAGTTCCACCCGATTAAAGACATAGAAATGCATCTCGTCGTTGTGGGCTTACATTCACAAAGACGGCAAAAGACCAGATCTATCATAAGGAGAAGAAAATCTTTAACAAAAATTCCTGTAGTCATTTTCCGGGTCAAACATACCTTTGCGAGAGTATACGCCACATCGCCATACTCTAGGGAATCTCTTAGACAGACAGCTTAGGTGTCAGACCAAAACCTTCTCACTTCTTTATTCTTTGGAGCGGCTCTGATATGGCCTAGTAGTTGCTTCAGGCAAAGCTGAATCACATAGGCCATACATGGAACGCGTACAATGGATTCCCTCGTACTAATGGCACCGCTCGAAAGAAGTGACTCCTGCAAGGCCCGGATGAGAGTCTCGTTGTTTGTTGCATTGTCTGTAGTCACACTGAAGATCCGATCCAGAAGTCATCTGTCCTTAAGCACCTAAAGAAGCACTTCGTTCAGATTAACCCCACTGTGAGCTCCGTATAGAGGCTCAAACCCAAGAAGCATTTCACAATAGTTCCAATCTTTGTCAATGAAGTATACTGTAATTACCATAAATACTTACTAAAAAGGGCTAGTCCAGCAATCCAGTACAAGAGAAACTTTCACATCTTCGGGCAAGTCTCGTAATTAAGTCTCTTATTAGGCTGCAACAGAGTCACGTAAGCAACGTCGCAGAGTCTTTACCAAAGGAATTTCTAATTCTCCTGGGCCAGAGTAAACCAAATTGAGCAGGGCTTAGAACTCGGGATTTTCAATAGTCTAGAAAGGCAATCGTAAAATAGCTATCGTCTTCAGTAACCTTTCTTCAAGCTGCAATGTAGTGAATTTCTTGCAATTAGACGAAGCCCCTAGGAAAGCTTTCTGAATGGAGTTTGTTACAAGTGTCTGACGGTAGGTTCTTTTCTGGCCCTGTCGACAAGACTTGGATTTCTGGTGTTTTCCCATTACGCTTGTCCCGTGCTTCTTATGTTGCGGGTGGTCTAGCAAAGTCAAACAAGTCCTGCAAATCACCTTAGGTCGACCAGTCAAGATGTCAGCAACTTAGTCGAAGCGTCTCCAAACTTCAGCATAATGCGACTCTATCGACCACTTAATTCTTGACCGGCCCTCACTATTCAGCACTTGTCCGTATTCCGTTTTGGCCCACCAGATCAGAAATTCCATCGAGTTCTCTGATTCGTACAAGATCCAGTTCTTTTTGCGGTTCGGTCCTACACGCTTTAGAATCGGCGGGGGTGGTTGGCTGGATGCATCAATGCTTCGCCGGAGCTCCCTATCAGGCTACGTGGTCTCTTAGCATGTTCGCTCGAGTTGGGGGGGAGGGTAAAAGGAATTCTATAGTGCAGAATCTCAATTTTCATACCGAGGATTGGAAATCAGAGTCCAGAAAGGAATCGGATGACGGTTCAATAGAGGCTAAGGGACTCAAAGATCGATCAGTTAATAGCGATGACATTTTTCTGTCTTCAATATCATCGAGGTTCAGCCTTCAAATCTAACACAGTATTGTCTAGTGAGAGATAATATAGCCTTGTAGATTGCATCTTTTTTTTTCCGGCGCGTTTTCTGGGTCGCGTCAACCCACGGGTACCCAAAACCCGCGCGACTGTAAACGACCCCAGGAACGCGTTTATTGGTGTCTAAGCAGCTTTTATATCTAGATCGAGTAATGGTCTTAACATAAAAGACATTTGCCTGACTAGGCTAAGTTTACGTTTGGGGTATCCCGTTGTAGCATTTGATGATATAGGGTGGGAGACATTCGGACCGAAACATGGTGCAGTTACTGTCCGTTATCAATATATATATTTCGGAGCCGATATTATATCTTATCTGATTGTATTTCCAATATTAAATCGGTACCAAAATAGATTACCAAAAATACACACACTGACTAATCACATATTGTGCATCAATTATGTATTTTGATGGGTAATTTGGGTACCCGCGAACATTTTCCAAAAACCCACGGGCGGGTTTGTGAAATGCAAAACCCGCGATGGGTTACCCGTGGGCGGGTTGGAAAAATGAAAACCCGCCCCGAACCCGCGTTTGGCGAGGCCTAGTCGTGGATGATATAAAGACACGTGACATAGTGTCATCCTAGACCGTGACCCGCTTTATCTTATCAGCATGTGACCACTCACGCGTTAAGAGCGTCACGTCGAAGTCGCGACGGAGGACACGAACATCTGCAGGACATCCGCGACTTCTGCTGTTCGGACTGTTGCCCGCCCAACACCTTCTCTCCTTTCCGACGCTACGACCCCTCTATTCAACTTGTTAAAAGTGTATGAATGCACCTGTGACGAGTGATAACCATGCCGGAAGCCATTATGCCCCAGAAGCGGGTGCTGGGCGACGCAGCCAACGGTAACGGTGCCCGCAATGGTTTCGTTTCCCCCGCCGCGCTCAAGAAGCGCAAGATTGAGAATGAAACGTCCTCTCAGCTCAAGGCTCCTCCTATGGGTACTCAAAGAAAGGGCTTTGGGTCCACCCAGCCCAAAAAGAGCCAGTTCGAGGAGGAGGTGCTCGAAAAGCTGACACAGGACATGGGACAATTAAAACAGAACAACGCCGAGAAGGACCAACAATGGGAACGGCCTCCTCTCGGGGAATTCGACCCGGCCACAGCAAATATCTGCTTCCAACAGATTGATGCGGAGGAAGGCCGAATGGTTGGCGACAAGATTGCAGTGCGCCTCTTCGGTGTCACGGAGGTATAGCCGGCTCAAATGATGAAACCCCCCCACTCACCAACTGATCTAACATGCTATACAGGCCGGCCAATCGGTTCTTCTAAACGTCACCGGATTTCAGCACTATCTCTACATCGCCGCCCCTGTCGGTTTCACCCAGGCCGACTGCAACCCATACCGTGCTTTCCTCGAGACCAAAATGGCGCAATCGGTTCCAGTGATCGAGTCAGTTCAAGTAACGATGCGCGAGAACATCTACGGCTTCCAGGGAAACCAAAAAAGCTGGTACCTCAAGATCACTGTGGCTGATCCAAGGTTTATCGCCAGACTTCGCAGTGCGCTCGAAACCCCAGGCGGCTCAATGAACTACAAGGGACTCTGGGGTAACTTGACCGACTCTGGTATCCTCACTTTTGATAACATCCAATACCTACTGCGATTTATGATCGATACGGGGTTGCACGGTATGTCTTGGGTCGAGGCACCGGCTAGCAAGTATCGTCTTATCCCAGAGTGGGAAAAGGTGTCAACTTGTCAGCTTGAAGCCGTTATGGATTACCATGACATGATTGCTCATGCGCCGAATGGTGAATGGGCCAAGATGGCCCCCCTCCGCGTTTTGTCCTTCGATATCGAGTGCGCCGGCCGCCAAGGTATCTTCCCAGAGCCAAACGTGGATCCTGTCATCCAAATAGCCAATGTTGTGACTCGCTACGGAGAGACCAAACCATTTGTCCGAAATGTGTTCTGTCTCGACACCACAAGCTTGATTGTGAATACGCAAATTCTGGAATTCAAGAACGAAGACAAAATGTTGATGGCGTGGAAAGAGTTTTTGCAAAAGGTGGACCCGGACGTTATCATCGGTTACAATATTGCCAACTTTGATTTCCCTTATCTCTTGGATCGAGCAAAACATTTGAAGTGCGGTCACTTCCCATACTGGACTCGCTTGAAGGGAACAAAGACAGAGGCCAAAGAGGCCAGCTTCTCTAGCAAGCAAATGGGTAACCGTGAGACGAAGGCGACAAACACAAACGGCAGAATTCAGCTCGATATGCTCCAACTGGTCCAACGCGATCACCAACTGCGAAGTTACACACTCAACTCTGTTTCCTATGAGTTTTTAGGCGAACAAAAGGAGGATGTCCATCACACAATGATTACGGAGCTTTTCAACGGCACACCGGACTCACGGCGACGATTGGCAGTATACTGTCTAAAAGATGCCTATCTACCACAGCGGTTGATGGACAAGCTAATGTGTCTGGTGAACTATACCGAGATGGCAAGGGTGACGGGTGTGCCGTTCAACTTCCTGCTATCCCGTGGTCAGCAAGTAAAGTTCATCAGCCAGCTATTCCGAAAAGCTCTCGAACAGCAACTCGTTGTGCCTAACTCCAAATCACATGATGAGCAAGATTATGAAGGTGCCACAGTCATTGAGCCCAAGCGAGGGTATTACAACGTTCCCATTGCAACTCTCGATTTCGCTTCTCTGTATCCGTCAATCATTCAAGCACACAATTTGTGTTATACGACATTACTCAACAACACCAGCGTCGAGAAGCTTGGCCTGAAGAAAGACGAGGACTATATTGTCACACCTAACGGTGACTTGTTCTGCACCACCAAGGTTCGCAAGGGTTTATTGTCCCAGATTCTTGAGGAACTTCTTGGAGCTCGTAAAAAGGCCAAGAGAGAGCTTGCGGTTGAAACCGACCCTTTCAAAAAGGCTGTGCTGAACGGTCGACAACTTGCCTTGAAGATCAGCGCAAACAGTGTTTATGGTCTGACTGGTGCCACCGTTGGCAAACTTCCGTGTCTTCCAATCGCTAGTAGTACCACCAGCTACGGTCGACAAATGATTGAGAAAACCAAAGCGGAGGTCGAAGCTCGATACACCATTGCCAATGGGTATTCTCATGATGCACAAGTCATCTATGGTGATACCGACTCGGTCATGGTCAAATTTGGAGTCGGCGAATTAGCCGAAGCCATGAGGCTAGGCCAAGAAGCTGCAGACTTTGTTTCGTCCAAGTTTATCAAACCCATAAAACTGGAGTTTGAGAAGGTGTACTTCCCATACCTTCTGATCAACAAAAAGCGATATGCCGGTCTTTACTGGACGAACACTGAAAAGCACGACAAGATGGATACCAAAGGCATTGAGACCGTGCGTCGTGATAACTGCGTGCTCGTCCAGAACGTCATCGAGACGGTATTGAACAAAATCCTGATCGACCGAGACCCCGATGCTGCTCAGGAGTAAGTACAATGTGTTGACGTTCTGAAACCCGAGACAACAGCTAACATGAGTGAACTAGATATGTCAAATCCACCATCTCGGACCTTCTCCAGAACAAAGTTGATATGTCAAAGCTGGTCATTACCAAGCAGCTTTCTCAGAAGGAATACGCTGCCAAGCAAGCACACGTCGAACTTGCCAAGCGCATGACAAAGCGTGATGCGGGTTCTGCTCCTGCGCTTGGTGATCGTGTAGCCTACGTCATGATCAAGGGCGCCACGAATTCCAAGGGCTACGAGCGAGCCGAAGATCCCATTTACGTGCTGGAAAATAACGTTCCCATCGATACGAAATACTACCTAGACAACCAGCTTGCCAATCCCCTCGGTCGTATCTTCGAGCCCATTCTAGGGGAGAAGAAGGCCAATCAGCTTCTCACCGGCGAGCACACGCGGTCGATTTCCGTCGCCGCCCCCAGTCTTGGTGGTTTAATGAAGTTTACCAAGCGAACGCAGACATGCATGGGATGCAAGAAGCCGCTGTCCAGCAAGGATGAAATGGACGGTGCCGTGTGCGTGAACTGCCGTCCTCGAGTCGGTGAGCTGTACACAAAGACCCTCACCAAGACGTCGGATCTAGAGGTTCGATTTGGTCGTCTCTGGACACAGTGTCAACGGTGCCAGGGCAGTCTTCACTGTGAGGTTATCTGTTCGTCTCGGGATTGTCCCATCTTCTACATGCGTATGAAGGCCAAGAAGGATGTCGAGGATTCACAGAAGGAGCTTTCACGCTTTGATTTCGACGCTGCAGCTTGGTGATAAACTCATGTGCTTGTAAGTTTTCTTTTGTTTGGCTCGGAGTAGGCATTCTTTTCGAACATGTCTACCCAGGTATGGGCGGAAATTTGGCATGGTCAAGGCGGCGTTGGGGAGTTAAACTTGTACACAGTAATCCCACAGAATCATTTGCATCTTTTAACTTAGTGGTTTACATTGAACTATGAGCATCACATTAATCGGAATTTTAAGCTCTAGCAGGTAGATGTACGTAGTCAAGTGATTAATCAATGGCCACACATGTCAATGAACATGGAAATTTGTTTGTCTCCGAGTTGAGTCCGAGTGGATCGTTCCTGCGGCACCGGAGATTCTTGGCGCGGAGAAGCTTCTCCTCCGTCGATCCTCAGATCTCTTCCCCTTCCTCTTTTTCTTTGCAGGATATCATTCGCCCGAACCCACATGCCAACATGAATTCAGCAGATACTCAGGCCAACCCTGGTGGAACCCCACAAAACTGGCAGGCTAATGGCTCAACAGTCCCGTGGGCAGAGGTATGTCGTCATCCCCAGATTGCTGCATCGCGAAGGGATTCCAGTCCCGCGGATGGAAAAAAAAATAAAGAGAAATGCGCCAGCAGCCCCTCACCTTACAAGGCAGCGGGAGATACTTGATACCACATAGACCGAACCAATGTGACTGATAATTCAATTCTTGGGCAGATCTTCTCCCGCCATGAAGCTGTGCTCGTGTCACATCGCGAAATGCTGGACTCGGTCAAAGGTCACATCGCGCCGGACGGCGAGGCTTTCCGAGCAGTCTCGGCGATGCTGAACAAGACGGTTCAAGCGATGAATCAGTCAAATGTGATGCGAAAGCATATGGTAAGCCCCAAATCTGGCTCATACCCTCCAAAGGACTCGAGAGACTAACTCGGCATTTTAGCTGAACAGTATGTCTTGGATTTCCGCCCGCATTCCGCTTCAATACCCGCTCCGATAATATAATAACAACCATAATCCAGAGAAACCCAACGAATACACAGCCTCAGATGACGCATCGCCCATACCAGAAACTCGCAAGAAGAAGAAGCGCCCGAGACTCGAAAAGGAGGAGGTGGAAAATGATGTCCCTGTGAACCCCAATTTCGACACAGGTGGTGAAAGCCCAGTCTCAAAACGAAAGCTAAACCCCACCCCACCCCTAAATCCCCCCCGACGAGTCTCAACATACCTCCTCCGCCTATGAGACCGAAGACATATCCGCCGAAGTACAGAGACGACTCCTCATCAAGGAAGAAAGACGCCGGAAAAAAGAAAATGCGCAACCTGAGAAGAGAAAGCGAGAAAGTATGATCTCAAACGAAAGTTTGTCACCTGGCGGTGGTCAAAAGCCTCAAAAGAAGCGAGTTCGAGTCGGAAGCGAATTGAGAAGGGATGGAGGTTTTGCGTCTGGGAGAGCTAAACGACAAAAACAATGAATTGGACTTTTGCAGCATTTGGGTTTTAATGGTTGAATGTACTCAAGCTGCTTCAAGTTTCTTGCATACTATCATTACCACGGTGGCAAACATTGGAGCTTGTATTTTTTTTAATGACCACCTTCGACATGCCTTGACCGACAATCGACTTGATTTGACTGATTATAGCTGGTGTATACCGTGACACACTCATAAATTGAGACTCGGCCAACCTTGGAGTTTTGAAAATCAGTAGCCTTGGTATCATACTTTAAATTTACTTGAACTTTGGGATACCCTTCTTCAGGGTTCCAACTATTGAACCTTGGAACAGCTGAAGGTAAATCCTTTTTTCAACCTCCAGAGTTTGTGAGCTGATCTAAATTTTGACACCTACTACTACTATTCAAAATTAACTCGAAATTTTCAGGTAGAATTCTATTACTAGTACTACATGCTGGACTGATGTCCTGAATGCCAGTGGAGAGAGTCAAATGTGATTCTATTAACTCGAATAATTTCTGCGTTCTAGAACTCCGAATTCGATGTCAACAAACAGAACAAAATGAAAATGCGGCCATAAGTTCACAACTCCAAAGCCATGGTCTATGATCAAAGAAAGGCCATCATCGAGGTCATCTATTCAACCACTACTCTATGATAAGAGGAGATGGCGGCAACGGCGGGGATGGACAAGGCGCTGGGCGTGGAGTGACGGGTGGAGATGCACAAACTCGGGCGACCATCTGTCTCACGGACCGGCCAAGAGGTGGCGAAGGTGGAGGTGTAGGGTAACGATGCCAATGCCGTGAAACGGCGCGCCGGGTACCCGAACAAGCCATCGTGTCAAAACGATAGCCAGGGGGTGGTGTGGGGGGTGGTGTGGGAGGCATCTCAGGGTAAGGCATCCTGTCTTGAAATAACTATATAGGCACCTAGGTATGTAAGGCTCGAGAACGTCGCGGTGATCAAATCAGTGGAGGTGCCCAAGTGTGCGGAACCTATGTACTACTAGTACTAGTAGTCAAGAGTTGAAAATTGCTGACGGTCTGGAGTGATTTTTGACTTGAAGAGGAGCGTAGGCCAGATACTGTCTTCTCTCTCAGATACTCTGAGATGATAATCCAACCTCAAAATGCTTTAGAAAGATGGGAATATTTATACCATTTTACCTAGGTACTTAGGCATATGCTGATCTAATAAAGCACGATATCTACAGCACGTAGATATCTAAACACAATGGAGAAACAGTCCTTTGACAGGATTTAAACAATACGATGAAACAAGAAAGCACTTGTGAATTTATATGAATGAACGTCCCTCTCCAAGTTTAGAGCTTGTGATGAAAGAAAAAATCCTATTTTAGGCAGGGCTCTCAGTTGGGTTCAAGTCTCATGGTCTGAAGTCTCCGCGATGGTCTGAAGTCAGGTATTGCGACCCGTGGACGAACTACTACTCGGGACAAAATTTCGGGTTGGAGTCTCTGAGGGGCCTCCAGCATCGGACACCGACCAGCGATCTAAATTCATCATGGCGTCAGAATTAGGACCTCGGAGGGCGAATGCCATCAAATGTCGGCTTGATAGAAAGCACGATAGCAGAATCGCTATACTACTAGTAGCAGTACTAGAGGACCTAGGTAGTATACGCTAGCCTGAGGGTCATTTCCTATATCACGATTCTATCCAAACGTCACTACCCATGGACTACTAGTAGTACTAGTAGTATAATGTCTCCCCAGGGTGGTTGGTTTCAACTTGAACTTGAACTTGAAGGTTCAAGCTGGCAGAGCGTTGGGATCGAGAACAGTGAGCTCCCCTTGCCTACTGGGTACTCATTGTGATGTTCTAAAATTATTTGCCAAAATTGATTCGCCGGGGATTTCATGAAACACACAATGCCACAACAACGGATTCTTTCTTTGTTAATTATTTTAATCCTTCAAGGCTGTTTTTAGTATTTTCATTATCTAGTCTCTGAAATTTGACTGGCCAGTCCAAGATTTCCACAATCAATCAAAGCATTTTCAGTAAAGGGAGTAGGGCACATAAATGTTAGCATGCGCGCTATTGTACGCTGCCAGCTCACGCGATCCTAAACTTGAACTCGCATCTTAGGATATCTCAGACCTTTTCTGGCTATCTATACCAGAGTCAATCAATCAGAACAAATATACATCTATGAATAGTCTTCTTGCACTACAAATACCACTCATACTACGCTCATTTTTGACATCCCCTTACCATATCCCTCCTTATCACCCAGAGTGGGCTTTTACATTATCTACTACGCTGTTGCCAGCTTGAGACTCCGAGCCCTCTTTTGGACAAAGTAGGACTAGTACTTCTACGATTTAACTTTTTACGATATAGTTCTCTCTGGTGCGAGTTGGTTACCAGTCCATTTTGGGGTTCCAAGGTTGCAAATTTGGAAGGGCTTCACTTTTCGCCCAAAGGGGACGTCTGTCGTCACCATTCTTTTGATATTCTATCCCAGTTGAGCTTCGAAGCCCTCGGATTTCCAAGGTTCCAAAAATTCTGGGTAGAAAAAATTTCCATCTCAATTTTCCCAGAATTTCTTTCTTCCTCCTCCATCCCCGGTCTCTCTTTATTTCCCAGATAGCCGATCACTCGGCTGCCTGCCTTTTTCAAGTTCATCAAGAAGAAACCACTCAGCACTCACTTCAGCAGCTTCAAAGCGAGCGAGCCAGGATTACTAGGCCGTCTTGAGGGTTGGACTTGTAGGGAGTCACCAATTCCTTGAGGATCTTGTTTCTGCGTTGCTTTTAAAAAGATCAAAACCCCCAAAAAAGGCCTGATCAAATAGTTTTGTCCTATCGAGATTACCAAAAAAGCAATTGGTGAGATTCCCTGAAGTGGAAATCTAGGTCTCCAAAGGCGGCAATAGAATCCCTCTTGCCTGTCTCTGCTGAGGCACGAGTCTGGGCTGTGGATCTCATTACATCCACCTCTCCCACTAGCAAACATGGATCACCGTGTAAGCTTCCTCCGGCCTAGCGGCCAATGGGGAAACGGTCCTGCGTTCAGTCAAAATGCCGGGTTTCTTCCAAACAATACCACATACGGCTCAGGACCGAAGAACAATCGGAATAAGAAAAAGAACAATTACAAAAAGAAGAATGCGCGCAATGGCAACTTCTCTGGCTCCAAGCAAGGCGACAATCTGCACTATGACCCCAGTGTGCCAAAGGGTCCTCGGCGGTATCAAAATCAAAACCACCGCCAAAGTCAGAATTCCTATCCCCAATCTACTCCGCATCAGCCTCGTTGGAATCAACAAACTTCCAATCAAGGCCAGGGGTACAAGGGAAACAACTACTGCAACCAAAAGCATGGTGGACATGTGCAACATCCGTCAAAATATCAGGAGCAGCCACTCTCCTTTCAAGTTCACGGCCACCCCAAGCACCCCCAGGCGCCATATCAGCATCAGCGCCCTAGTCCGTTCACTGCTCTGAATGACTCTTTCGATGCGATCATTTCCGAGGCCGCTCCTCCTTTCTCCCAAGGGCCTTTCAACCACTTTGGAAAAGCCCAGGATGGCGACATCGAAATGCCAGATGCACCTCCTCTTGACCAGTACATCTACGATTATCAATCGGTCAGCGGTTTTCCGTCATCAGCTATCCAGACACGGGGATATGCTAAATTTGATTTAAAGGTTTTAGAGCGAATTCTCAACCAAGCATTGCAATCTCAAGAAATCAATGTCAACACACTGATTTGCCAAGTCTCCAATGAAATTTGCGAGCTCAAGCGACACAACAAAGAGCTCAGTGATACCGTGATCAACATATTTCTGAGATCATGGGGCGTTCCGCCTCAGGGTTGAATCAGGTTTTCCACAAACCACGGCTATCACCTTTCAAGTGCGACGGAATGATGGTTTAATCCATTTCAATTTATCTCATTCCGTTCCTCTCCACTTCGCTGTCAACAGCCTCCGTCAGTTTCTTCAAATTGACATCGACAAGGCACATAAAGTCGATATTGGCCATGCGAACACTCCCCACAGGGGTTTCTATGAAACTCACCCGGGTCTCCCGACTTGCAGCAATGAACATACCGCTCTCCTGAGGGTATTGGATTGGTCCTTTTTGATCCGGCCATAGAAGCACTCCTCATGGGGCACAGAAAGTGTTCTCGGCCATCCACCGCGCTATCCACCAGCACCTGCAGCCACACAACACAACACAACTGCTACCAACTACGAACGCCCTATTCCATGGACCTCCTCTCTTCCAGGTTCCCCGACTTGCAGCAATGAAGATACCGCTCCTTCGAGGGTATTGGATTGGTCCACTTCAACCTGGCCATGTGAATACGGCTCACAATTCTGCATCCTTGGTCTTGACAAGTCACACCTTTTCCTCCTTGGGTTTGTATCGGTTGAGTTCGCGTCCGACTGGACTCCTAATCGTCAACGCTTGAGCTCCCGGTCCTGTTCAGAGAAGGAATGTGACATACTCAATTCTACCAATCTGTTCTATGTTGTCATCTGTACTGGTCGCTTCTCGCCACCGCATATGGATACCGCTAGACAATATACAATATGAACTTGACAGGCCAATATCTTGCCTGGTTCAAGTTGTCTAGGATCCTTGGACGTCAGTTCCGTCCTAGACATCTTCCAACTCAACCCTGAGTGCCAGTGGGCTGTCCCATACACCCACCATGCACTCACTACCTCCTTGGGTTGGGGTCACATCCCCGGCTACTCAACAACCTTGAAGGTCAGAAGGAAAGGAAAAAAGGGATCTCATGTATTTAGTTAGTCCTTGTTCCGATCAAGGTTTTTATCCTGTCATACCAAGTGACAAGGAAGTTTCCCTTGATCTCGTGGCATCTGTCAAAACTTGAAGTCCACGGCCCGAATGGGGGAACGGCAAATCATCACCACCTTGGATATTGATCACTCCCTATCCCTACCCACAGAGAGTTGATTATCGAGATTGTATTATTAGCGAGAATGTACACTGTGGGAAACGGGCAAAAAAGAACAAAAAGAACAAAAAAGATATTCTTACCTGGACTTCAGTTTTTCCGAGTGACTTACTAAAGGGAGTCATGGCCCCGAGGTAATACCCAAAGTCCTTTGCTTTCCTGTGAGATTTCTATTTGTATTTTTTGATCCTTCTTGTCTTATCATTATTAAGGAGGATTCCAACTCTGGAGTCAAAGTGAAGTCAAAGTGAAGGATGCCCTGGGGAGTCATGGCTCTGGGGTGTTTCAACACGACGATAGCTTGATAACTCCTCATGTATGAGCTTGAATGAAAGATTTTTTTTATCATACAATGTTCTTCTGGTAGTACAAGTTCGTAGGTTTGATATAGACATGGCCATGTAGAAACCCGTAGGCCGTTGAGTGGAGTACACAGTAAAGGAGGTGACAAGAAATGGTTAACTCAAACGCCGGTTCCTGATGCTGATTGGTGATAAGATGGTGGTACAATGCGGATGCCACGCCAAGAGATGCATGAAGGCAGAGACGATGGTGGCTCTTGGCTGTGGTGATTTTGGTGTTAAATATGTCGAAGTCGAGGTTGATGTCCATGGGATGCAACCGAGGCGCATCGTGGTGAAAACGGAGTCATCGAAGCACCTCGAGAGTCTCCTTGACGCAGGGAATCAACTTCACTCCTCATCTTCTTCCTCTTCTTCCTTCTTTCCCCAGTTCCACACATCCCAGATGTGCTCTTGAATCAAATCACCGTACCCCTTGCCCTCCTCCAACGCCTTCTGCTCCTCCTGCAACCTCTTCTCCATCCAACCAGGAGCCTCCCCACCCATCCAAACCCGCTGCACAACACCCTGTTCTTGCGCTTCTCTAGCCTTCAACTTCTCCAATTCCTCCCCAACCGCCTCCTTCATCTGCGCCTCCCGCGCAGCCCTTAGTCGGGCTTGAATCTCTTGCGCGCGCTCGCTGGGCAGTTCTCGCAGGACAGCCGGGCGTGTCGTGATCCGCGCCTCGATACGGTCGACGATACTCCGACCTGTGCGCTCGCGTGTGATATGGTTTGCAGAGACGCAGAAGGCACTCGCCAGCAGGACAGTCAGGTGGTCGAATTTGCGGGGCGGGAGCGCAATGAGCACGGGCGCGGCAACGAGGAATCCGGTCGCGGCGTAGGTCTTGAAGCGCTCGTAGTCTGCTTCGCGCTGGGCATGAGTGGTCATTTGTGGGTTGGGGTCTGCCATTTTGAATGGTTTGGGCGAATCTGGCGATGTTGTTGATGTTGACTTCCTCTGGTCGGGCTCTTCGTTTCTGCCCGGGCGCAAAATTTCCGGTCGGTCGTAGAACTCAACTGTGCAGATCATGTGATGGGCCTCGGCCAGTCTTGGCGTTGCGGCTTGTTTATCTGCCAACTTGAATTTTACCCTTGTTACTCGGGGTCATTTCAGGTCGTCGATAAGTTTTCACATGGTGAGATGTTTACTCGAGGTGAATGCATTGAGGTCAGACTTCAAGGGAAGAGAGAGTCCACGTTGATTTATCGCTTTTCTCTCCGGATCGGCGGGGTATGTGACATGCAGTCCTAGTATAGTCGCAGGATATCAATCTGGGGAAATGAGGAAGATAAATCCCCACAAATTGGTATTCTTGGCTGGTGCAGAGTATAGAGTCTGTTTTCAAACAGAGAGGTGATGAATCATTCATCTAAAAATACAGAAATGACATTGTGAATATCCTCAATACTCACCTAATATTTTTTTGGCCATTATCTTCCGTTGCTACTAGTAAGGGCGATTCCAGTGCGAAGGGCTTGCTGGCCCCACGACGCATACCTAGGTATAGGCCCGGGGTGTAACCGGTATATCACCGAGCGGGGAAGTGCTACTAGGTGAGACCTTCGAGGTTGACTAGGCTCGACACGAGTGCCGCAAGAAGTTTCTGAGATCAATCAATCATATCATTTACCGTTTACCCGCAGTCATCGGAGAGCGCAGCGAAATATACTAGCTGTGTGGGGGTCTCCCACCGGCTGCTAGCCCAAACCTCTAGCTCACTGGGTAACTATTTAAGTACAGTGCGACCCTCATGCGCAATTTGTATCTCACATTCAGGAACGGACGTCTCTTCTGTCATTCATTTGCTTTCGCCCCATATAAACTTGCGCAATATGGCTCACAGGTGATACCATTTCCCCCACCCCACTGAGAAAACGAGCGTCAGTACTGATTTCGAAACTCGAATACAGGGAACAATTCGCTGTTTACCCAGACCTGAAAGATAAGGTCGGCTTGATCATAGGAGCAGGCCAGTCCGGCGACCCAACCTCGAAATACTGGGGTAATGGGGCTGCCATAGCGAAAGTTCTCAGCGCATCAGGCGTAAGAGTAATCGCCTGCGATTTGAACCTAGAAGCAGCACAGCGCACGGCATCACACATCAAGGAAAGTGGGAACTACTGCGACGCTGTGCAAGCCGATGCGAGATCTCAACCCGATATCCAACGAGTCATCAACGATACAGCTGCCAAGTATGGGCGCATTGACATCCTCGTGAATAACGTCGGCGGGACAAAAACAGGAGACCCAGCCACCATGTCAGAGGAGGCCTGGGATGCACAGATTCAGCTGAACCTGAAATCAGTGTTCCTAAGCTGCAATGCTATTCTCCCCATTATGGAGAAACAGGGCAGCGGCGCAGTGATCAATAATGCTTCTATTGCAGGCATGAGATATCTCGGCAAACCTCAAGTGGCGTATGCGTCGGCAAAGGCAGCTGTTATCCATTTTTCCAAAGTAACTGGTGTCATGTACGCTTCGAAAGGGATTCGTGTGAACTCGATCGCTCCGGGGATGGTTTATACGCCGTTGTTGGAGATGCTAGGTAACAGCAAGTCAGCGGAAGATCGGGAGATTCATAAGAAGATCACGGATCATAATATTCCCCAGGGAACTATGGGGGATGCTTTTGATGTTGCTAATTGCGTGGCCTTTCTTGCGAGTCATTCTGCTCGTTATATCATTGGCCAAAATCTGGTTATTGATGGAGGTCTGACTGAATCAACTGGGACTGGGTGGTCTTCTATATCGAACTTCTCGCGTTTGTAACCGTCTCACTTAACGTGACTAGAAATCTCAATTCTTTAAACAGGAATTTTTGAATTTAAGAATGATTGAGAATAATAATTTAACGTATTTCATTGCAGCGTCAAATGGAAAAAATAGATGTGTTTCGGGAGTAAGGTGCTAGCGTGAGATGTTCCTTCAGAGATAGCTGTCCCTTTTTAAGCAACGAACGCCATTAAACCGAAGAATACTGCCCCCATGATACTGTTTCTTGTATCAGACTGGCCGACCGCGGCATTGGATGTTGTGGAAGTAGCGTTGGAGGCAGTTGAGCTTCCCGAAGAGGACGCAGTTCCAGTCGTAGTTGCGGATGTGGTGGAGTTCCCAAGACCAGAAGTGGCCATGGCAGTATAATCAGTGGTAGTGAACGAGCAAGACCGAACAAGATCATTTGCATCTAGTTATGCGTGGTGGTCAGCTGGCATTTTCGGCAATGCGTCAAGTCCAAAAGTCTACATACCATTGTCTCTTCCATCCTTGCTGTACTTTGAGATACATGCATCGCATTCAGGTAGGCTCTTTGCTGCTCGAGGGTCCTTGCAGATGCATTTCAGCTCGGAGGTATCATCGTCGTGGGTTTTCTTGTCACAGGATGAGGTCAAGCTAACCACTGGGGCGCAGACGTCCTGACACTGAGATGGAAGATCGTTGGCATCTACATCACCAGCCACAACATACGATGTTAGAGCAAATATGTAGAGCAGAGATGAAGTGCGCATGGTGGGATAGTAGTATATAAGACCAACTTGAAGGTCTTGGAGGCGATTCGGAGATACTAGTAATGCGGTTTGTTTATAGAAATGAAATTTCGATGTCAAAGAAGACGAAATTTTCTACATATCAAGTGTTGGGTGGGCCAGGTATTTTAATACTACTAGTATATACTCAAAACTTGAATCATCTACCTTTCGGAATACTCCGCCTTTGACACATCCCTACATTTGTCGGCATTCTATCAATTCCCGACCCGCACAGATACTAGTATTATAGATGATCGTCCTAGGCAACTGCATTCACACTCCACAACTTAAGCACTGGCAGTATTTATAAATAGCAGAGTTTCGGATTCTTGTATAGGGTCTTATTGAAATATTGAAAATTAGTGATTGCCACCGATTGATGCTTGCATATATCAAGAAATGTGCTCGCCTGAGGGTCCGTTGTATAATCCAAATGACGTCATTCGAATCAAAACCCGGGGTATCGTTTACCTCTACTTCAAGTCCCCAGGAACAACTACGAGCCGGTGCTAGTAGACACCGGGCGTATAATCAATCGCCTGGGCCTTCTCAATGATTCCACTTAGGCTCCTCACGAATTCTTGATGGATCGGATCCTCCTTGCAATAATAGTCTCGGTCTGCCGTATTCTCAAACTCAACAACAAAGGCATGAGTGATGCCGCCCTGAATAGAATCGATTTGTTTGAGTACTTGATATGTCGTACTACCCGCCACTTCATTCACATAAAGGGCACGTTGCTCGGAGGACTCACCTGAATACCCTCGGGTGAATTGTCAATACCCCCCGATGATGCCTTGATGTATGGCCTCTGGGATGATGGATGCACGCAATTATCTTTTAGATCTAGCATGCGCGTACAGACCTTTAAAAATTTCAATTGAGTTAGGCAACACAATACAGTGACCAGACTTGGCAAACATACGTCTTTGATTACTTGGGCATCGAGGCCGGATTTGAATTGGAAGAGGACAATGTGAGTGATCGACATGGTGCCAGTGTGCCACCCAGAGTTTTCTGTACAGTCACGAAACAAAGCTACTTGGGGAAGATATCCTCGTGGCAACTTGAAAGTGTTCGTGCTTGAAGGTAGTTGAAGGGAACCTTTGAAGATGGTTCAGTGCGGGCGGCTGCCGCGGGGTCTGTTCAGGGTTACGTAACGAAGTATGTAGACTTCGCTCCAGCTCAAACTATGCACCTTACGACGCGTTAATGCAGAAACCTTGGAAATCATATGCAACGGATATCGGCTTCTAAGAGAGCAAAGTGCAAGTCGTAAGACTTCTGGGTGGTAATATTTAACGACCCTTCTCCTGACATAGACCAATATGAATTACTCAATCATCGAGCGGTGCTTGTGTGATAATGCCTATATCAAACGATAATTTAGACAATACCTAGGTACGATGCGCCCAGACGGTAGGTGAAGAGAACCTTGGAAGAAATATGCTTAGCAAGATTCATCTACCTTTCAATTAATCTGTCCAAGGTCGGCTTCTGCTCAAGTGCCGAATGTGGTTGAACAAGAAAAGCGTACGAAGTTTTTGTTTTGACTTTTAAACATTAATATAGTTAAATATTACGAAAAGCTCTAATAATCTTGAAGAATATTCATATTAGTGCACATATATCACTATTCGAGCTCTCATGCCTTTGCAGCGCAAACTGTAATATCCCCGAGATCCTCAGTCAACGGCGATATTCTGGGGGTTCTACCGGATTAATTTCCGGTCAAAATCTGACGATCAAGTAGTGAATTCCCCCAGGGCCTCTCTTGCTATCATTTTTATAACTTCACCTCTCAATTATCAGGGAACGGGAAATATGGCCGAAGAAGATCCTATTACTATCGATCAAGTGGAAGCAATTGCTAGAAGCAAACTTCCAGGAAATGTTTATAACTATTACTCCTGCGGGGCAGATGACCAGACCGCGGTAGAAAGAAATCGAACTGACTTTGATCGGTATTCTTGAAGCCTCCTCTGCTATCAACTCGAATGTTAATCAAGCCAAACAGACTATTTGTTCTCCCTCGTGTCCTTCGTGATGTCGCCGAAGTGGATACATCGGCGGAATTGCTCGGCCACACATACCCTCTTCCCATTGGAATCGCTCCCAGTGCAATGCAAAGATTGGCCGGAGGCGAAGGAGAGATGGACGTAGCCCGTGCAGCTGCCGCTATGGGCTTGAGCCTGACTTTATCCTCAAACTCCACCACATCTTTGGAAGACGTGATGTCCATCAATCGCGATATGGGATCCACAACACCATTCTGGTTTCAGCTGTATTTAGCAACTAAGCTCGATCTCAGTATCCCTCTTATCAAAAGAGCAGAAGGTTTGTTTCAACCCACCCCATTTACCTCGGTATTGATTTGGGATTTGGAGCTAATTACCGCGCAGCTGCGGGGTACGAAGCGCTCGTTCTCACGGTTGACACGCCGATTCTTGGTAATCGAATCAATGAGCGACAGATTCCACTTGTTCTTCCAAAAGGTCTCCAGCTGGCCAATATAGGAAATTATTATGGACAAAAGACAGGCAAACCAACCTCCAATCGCACCTTAATGGATGCACGTTCGGCAAAGCATGCACGTGAGATCCGACTGGCGATTGGAAATGGGGCAAATAGCGCTTCTCTCACGTGGAAGGAGACTATCAACTTTTTAAGGGAGAATTCCAGGATGAAGATCATTTTAAAGGGAGTCATGGCGCCGGAGGATGCCGAGCTTGCTATCGAGCATGGGGTTGATGCCATTGTTGTTTCTAATCATGGCGGTCGCCAATTAGACTGTGTTCCATCAACTATTCAAGCATTGCCGGAAATTGTTGCATCTGTGAGAGGACGAATTCCCATCATTCTGGACGGAGGAATACGCCATGGAAGCGACGTTTTCAAAGCGCTAGCACTTGGTGCTGATTTTGTTTTAGTCGGCCGACCGGCATTGTGGGGACTCGCATATGATGGTCGCAATGGTGTCGAAACAGTGATGAACATATTAGAGCGAGAGCTTTCTCGTACTATGGCCTTGTCTGGAACTGTGAATGTGAAGGATGCTCGCCAGGCGTTGATAAGACGCTCTGTAGAAGGTCGGCTAAGCAAGATTTAGCGTTCATGATCGGAGCTTTCTACTAAATAACAAACATGTCTCAATTTCTTCCAGTGATTTAGCTAGCTCAAATGAGAAATTGCTCTTGGATGATGGATGTAACTACGCTCTATCGCCGGTAAGAGTACTATCATCGTCATGGTCCTGCTCCCCGGGCAAGTCTTCTCTTCCATCCTGCCAGCTTGAGCAGTTAAGACAACGTTTTGCCTGGTAAATGTTAAGTCAATGGATTGAAGAACGTAGGAAGGGACTGTATCCGCCGTACCTCGACGCTAATGAACTTTTTGCAGTACCTGCATCTTATGGTGGGCTTGATGATTTTGTTGTGTGAGACGGCCATGTATAAGTGAGCGACTGCGAATAACGTAAGGCTGACTCCCATGAAGTTGAGGATCGTTTCAATGAAAAGACTATCCGAATAGTCAGAATGAGTAGCAGTCCGGCTTGTATGCACGGATATTCAGTTTTCAGAATTCAGGATTTTCCAACATACCCCCATGCGAGGACAAGAGCCCCATCGTCCCTAGCCTGCTTAACCGTATTGTAGCCTTGGCCATGTATATAGTTCGGTCCCTTTGACAAGACCGCGAATTTCTGATCCATGTTCTTATTCAAGAACGGCAGAAGAGAGACGACCGGCAGAACGACATCCGACACGAAGGAGGTCACCACTTTAGTGAAGGCATTACCGATGCTGTAATTTTGAGGATATTAGCCTGCAGCTTAAATCCCTATATATATCAGGTTCGAGGAACAATCTAACATCAAACCAAGCGCGACTTCAAGAACGTTATCCCGCGCTGCAAAATTGACAAAGGCGCCCAGGCCATCTTTGACCTTTTCGCTTGCCGTCTGTCCGACGCGAATTAACACGTCGGTACTTTCATCGAGTCCACGCATCTTTGACAGTAGATGCTGTGTGACCTTGCCGTGGTATATGGGGGTTCTTTATTGTGTCCGGGATCAGTTCTCGCACAGGTTTTCTCGCGTCATTGTGCATGGCCCCTACTAGTCATGTGGGCGTCGGGGCGGGAGGGGCTGGGGTTTGGTGCCGCTTGGCAGAGAGGGGGCACTGGCACATCTCAGATGCCTCGTTGTCACGGCCAATGGGGGTTCCGATCTCGAGATTTGGTATTGGATTTTCAATGATCGACGCTTGCCCATAGCTTCGTCTTGCGCAAATGGCTTCTTTCCAAGGTTGTGCGCGTCACAGTCCTCGCCTTTGCGAGATATGATCGTTCTTTTATCTACACGTAAGGAGCCCGAAGTGGCTGTCACTGGAAAATATACTTTTTCGTGTTATTTCCCCACTGAAAGTGCCCATCCTTCCATGTGAAATACAGTGAAGACAGACTCGGAAGCGACTCGGATCCCTTGAGAAACGAAATTCTGAGGGGTGGGGTGAATAAGTCAATACTAGTACTTAGGTAGTCAACTGGTCTACCTAGTAGGTACCTGAACTGGGATTAAATACTAATTGATATTGTGTGATAGTAGTAAATAGTATGTTGTAAGAAAATATAGATCAAAATGACCAGTGTACCTGGTAATAGGTAGTTATGAAGTAACAAGTTAAATGTAAAAATAATATGCAGCACCAAGGCAAGCTGTTGACGAGGTTCCGAGTTATTAAAAACGCCAGCTAGAGCCTGGGGATATCCCTTTTATTAGGTATTTATGCCGGGCTATCGGGATGACGAGTCTCATCATTCGAGAGAGTAGTGCTTGTAGAAGTGTGCACAGCTGTACCATTAGGACTGGGCGTGTCGCGAGTCCAAGACGACTTTTCCTTGTTCTTCTCAGCGAAATCATCCCGGCTACTAGCATTCGTCGAGACATAACGCGACCAGACTCTTTCATGCATGAGTTTGAACAAGGGTCGCATATTGGACAAGCAGGCAGCGACGATACCGACGGCCGGCTCAATGCATGTCCAGACACTTGGGTTGACCTGGGTGTAGGTGATATCATCGCCCGCCTCGGAAAGTTGAACAAGGGAAACGAGACGGACAATGTCAAACACGAGAGTCCTTTCTCTTGTTAGAATTCATTATTTACTTCCAAGGTTTCAAAAGTATGAGCGACTTACAAGAATCCGACAACGAAAATACCCGACAAGCCGACCTTCTGGGCACGGGAGATGGGAAGCTTCCAGACAGTGTGCATAGGCATGAACAAAATCATTGCGTCTGTAACAATGTTTGGGATCTGGAGTCCATAGTAAAATTTTCCCATGTTCAAGCAGCCTCCGGGTATCATAGGGTGCCACAGCTTCTCGGTCGGGATGCAGGTGAAGCAGCCCACCAGGATACCACCAAAGGCCCATAGCACGACGATAGCGGAGACAATCCAGACCATAATTTTCATACTCTTGACGGGGAATAATCGCCTATAGAGCATGAGAATTGAAAGCTTGATGCAGGCGATGCAGCATGTGTAGAGGATCGAGCCGGTAAAGAGGGTCTATGTAAGGGTTAGAAAATACGCTGATTGATGAGTATGTACTAATATCCATGGATACAACATACCTTCAAGTAGACAACCAACTGCTCAGGCTTGACGTAGACGATATGTGTTCCAAGACCATTATAGAGTACTGCAAAAGTTAATATTGTGAGCCATGCACGTAGTTTAGGACTGATTGTGTGAAACCTACAAACAACTCCAGCGATAGAAATCCCATATTCGAAAATCTTGTCTGGTCAGTAACTGAGAACGAGAAAAAATTTGGATTGAAGCTCACCAAAGCGCCTATCATTAAGAAGTCATCAAGGTATAGACCAGTTCCATTAAGTTTTCGTGAGATGACACGGAATCCAACTGCCACAGTAGAAAGGATGAAGGCGAAGCAGGTCGATGTGATAACAACATGACGGAGATTGTGGTGGTCATAACCAGTCGCAGTCTGTGAAGCTGAGTCGGCCATGGTGAATGTAGGTGCTTCTGCGTCTAGCAACACTCTTGGAATCACGTTTTATCCCTTTGTCGAGGCTCCGAGTTTTCGAGGTATTCAAGTTTAAGTAAAAATTGAAGGAGCGTTGGATATCGCGGACAGCACCTCGGTCAATAAATATAAAACAGGAGACTCTCGGAGCCACGCAGAAACCCGATAGTCTGTTTAGATCGTGGTAGACAGGTCTCAGATTTGATGTTCTGCTCCATGGCGATGGCAAAAATTGACTTCTCGAGCGTTGCTGTGCTGCCAATGCCACCCTACATACGGAGTAGTGGGATAATAGACCTATCTCGCCCTTACGTCCGACCCAGCGGTCCATGCCCGGGATCATCGTCGCGCTTAATGTCTGCAAAAGCCCTGACGAGCAGCTAGGGCATGGCTTAGACTAAATTGGGGCAAAGTGTTGAACGTAAAGTTCTGGAGAGTATCGTTCGCGCCCCACTGATCCTCAGCCACTAGAGTCGATACATCAACTCCGCAACTTAGCGAGGTATTCTTTGGCCCCTCGACCCTTCAGACATGACCTTGCATACTTCCGTGGCTATTGCGCTGTGGGGGTCTTCGCTGAATGCAGGATATTGGCAGGGTTTCGGGATCTTCGTCTTGACAGGCTCATCCGACGAAGTGATCTCACCCAACCCGGCTACCTGGTTCGCCCGATTGTGGGATCGCAAGATCTTTACGATCGCACGATCACACAGATGCCTCTGGAGCTGTGTGCCTTGATACATCTCAAAGGCGATCTGCTTTTAGAATCAATTGTCGCCAATTGCTCCCGAAGGCAAACAGACATCTCTGCTTGACCATTGGAACCATAAACTCACGGGAAGTCAATCATGAAGGGTGCATTACTTGTTAACTAGTTTCTTCAGATATCTCAATGGTCCTTGCTCGGTTGAGGCTTGATAGATGATTGACATCACTTTTGATTGTCAAGAGCGAGACCGAGACCGAACTGGGCGTTTTCCTTTTGCTGTCTTGATACCCACTGGGCAAATCGATCACCTGCATATTGAGCCAGAAATGCAGTAACGCAGAAGTGGCTGTGATCATTGCAGTCAGCCTTGTCACTTCTCTACCTTCATGTAGCACTCCAATATTAGATTGAATAATTAGCCGATCTCACATCTTTATAGATGTGGTTGCCTGGCCATCTGACAGGTCCGAGGCAATGCGATTTAAGATTGGCAATGCGCGCTGAAACTTGCGTTCTTGAATCTTTTCATCTTGCCACAATACAGCACACATTCGATGCATATGCATGTGCCCTCTAGCTTTCCGATTTTTTTTTACTTGATGAAATCATTCTGTGGGGAGATCGCCTGGCTCCACCAAGTTCGTCGATTCCGACTGGACAATAGCGCGGAGACCAGTTTTGTACATCAATCAATTCGCATCTGATGGTTGATTATGTGTAATTCATCATCGGTTCGTTATAGATACAAAACTGCGCATTTCAATATTCCAAATCGCTGGTGGTACTCTGTCGTCACTTCGGCGGCGGCGAATACGCCATCGGGCCCGGGGCTGTGTACGGCGAGAGCAAAGCTGTACCACGCTCACGAGCAGCGCGCCCACGCCGCTTCTCCCGCTCCTGGAATTCCTTCTCATCCTGAATCAACGTGCAGCACGTGCAACAAGTTGCCCGCACACAATCCGAAGCAATACCCCCCCTGGATCCCATACGCTTTCCTCGTCCGGGTGTGCTGTATAGTTGCGAAGAGCCCTGGAATTCACCGGATTAAAAAAAAAGCACACTGACCACATGGCGACAGAAAGCTGCCAACTTACATTGACACCCGCATAGAAGAGCCATCGCAGTGCATGACCCATTGCACGTTTCATATCCCAGCATGTTTGTGGGGTCCTCTTTTCTTGACTTCAGGCCCAGACGGTGTTGGGTTTTACCATAAAGGATACATGGGCACATCAGCCCCAGGCAGCATGTTCCGATATTCGAGCATTCGCACAACCCGTTATGCCATGCGCCTCCCATTACTTCCTGATTTGGGTGCATTATTTGCCCTGGCTGGTGGTATGTGGCCAAGTCATCTATTGCTGCTGTCTGTGATGGAGCTGAGGCGGGCGGAGGAGGGAAAAAGGGCGATCGTGGCGATTGTAGAGGGTTCGCATCGGGCGTTATGGTGAAGGTATCTGCCCTTCGAGGAATCTCAGGGTTGACTTTTGATGGTAGGGGCCCCGGCGAATAAGGCGGCTGGCTGTATGCATATTGTGGTGATTGTACATCTGGCTGCTGCTGCGGTTGAGGCTGGGGGGGTATCGGTCACCGGTGCGAAATGAACAGGATGCTGGTCAAATTGCGGGTATCGTGAGTAGGTGAAAACGCTTCCTTCGTCTATAGGCGGCTCTTGTTCGCACTGTTGGTATAGTACCGCTGCTTGAGGTTGCTGGATCGGTTGCTCGGGTGTGGGCTGCTCTTGTTCATGGGCTGGCGGCGGGTTCGCTGGCATCGGAGGGGGACTTTCTAAATCATAATTCTGCGTCCGGGCATTCATTTCCAGCGGAGTCTCAATGAACGAGTATCTTTGGCTCTGTCCCACTTGGGTATTGAGCTGGAGTGGCTGTGGCCGATTCATGCTGACGGCAGCGGTTGCTGGAAGCTCTCCGAAACACACTTGAGTCTCTCTTCCGACCGAAAGTACACTCAATATGCCAGAGGCGCACGAGCTGCGCAGTTGATGATTATCTGATCCGCAATTAAGGAGAAGGGGGAGCTATATTCTCTTGGTTGCAGCAGACGCCACATCTCAGGAGCTTCCCCTGGAGATCAGTACCTAGGTATTGGAAACAAGCTCGGGGAACAGTTCAGGTGATGCCCAGGTGTTCGCAGTAGAATGACATGCGACAGCAGATCGACGAGAAATGGAAAAAGAGCATTGAGACTATTAAGAGTTGGAGCTGCGTGTGATGGGGAATATCCGCCGTGTTCAACGGAGTGGAGATGGCGATGGGTTCGAGGGGGGGGCCAAGTCTGATCTCCGCGGGGTTTGAACGATATGACTGGCCTAGAAGCTCCAGGTTCATGGTGAAGCTGGGATGCTAAGGTGGTCCTGGCACCCTAATGGCCCTAATGCATCTTGTTCACATCGCTCTAGCCGCTGGTTGGGCTGGGGACCCGCTCATCACCTCCCGTCAAGTCGTTAGGGCCATCCTCATCACACGCCGAGCCAACCAACCAGTGTGACTCGCGTGTAACTGAGTTCTTTCTCTCAGCGAGTGGAGATATCAGTCAAGTTAAATAAATGAAATAATGAAGCTTATTCATCATTTTTAGGGAGAGAGAAGAAAGGAACCAGAAAAACGGGAATTAAACTTGGAATACTCTCACTATATGATCCGAAGTATAGAGTCAATCGCGGTGGATTTGAGTCTCCACTTGTAAAAGAGTCGTGTGCCATTCCTGTCGGGGATTGAGATGCTAGAACATCCCGCTACGTCACAAGTGCAATTAAAGTGCCTCGAGCTACTTACAAAATTGCTAAAGTACGAATTAACTCCATCAGTGACTACTTCGGGGCGCTTGCGGCCCGGCCCTAAGCAGCGCCCCATTTACGAGCTCTAGCAGTGACTGTCTGGGAATCTGAGTTAAAAGGAAAGGTAAATGGTATATATTTACTAGTAGTAGCATATTAAACTTGATTTAAGCAACTTGAAGTTACTCATTCGAGCTACTAGTATACCTTGAAAGTCTGGCCGTTCCGAGTCAACATGCCTAGGTGGGCAGGCAAAGTACTCCGTCGTACAACCATGATCGGCGTTTATTTTTGCCGTTTCAGTCCCAAATTTTAGCCCCATGAGATTGCTGCCCAAGCGCATGGAGGAATGCCTTTCGATTTCAAGTTGCTTCGGATTGATTGATTCACTCCCGAGGTCATGAACCCGTGGATACACGTATGTAAGGCACCCTGGTGAGTCATATCGAAGTAGACGACTTAAAAAGGATTCTTGACCTTCAGGAGGGTCAGGGCCGATACTGGTACAATACCTAGGTATATAGATATGACACCCGCGGACCGCAAATTTACATATTTTGTTGCATCCCAAACTTGAACTTGCCAGGCAACCTCAACACTGGATGTCTTGGCCCTCGGTAAACACACCTGGACAGTGTTTGATACGGACCTCAGTACATTGCCTTCTATGCTCTTTGTTGCTGCCTACAGCCTGGCATCTACTCCACCACACAGGAAGTATGTATTACTATCCCCGAGAACCTCCAAGCCGAACAAACCTCGTGATGCCGATCTTTAAGTTTTGCAAACAACGCCACAGATGGCGGTGCACAGCCAGCGCTTGAAACCAACCTGAAAATTAAGCATCGCGCTCGGTCAGCTGCCCCTGACACTTGACCGCTGCTTCTGTGGAGAACAGCTAAGATTTCCCGGACCCTTCGGGATGAGAGCATGCCTTGAATCTAAGCCAAACACACCCAATTACGGGCACTGGATCAACATGCCCGAAGAATGAAGAGGTGACACCTATGGTTGAGCACGAAGGCGGCACGCCGTACAAGAGAATCGGTGATTGGTGCGAGGCGATGCAGAAGAGCGTTCCAAGAATCGACTGATCGACCCGAGAACTCAGTTATCCCTTGCCCCCACAAGTTGGACTTACCGTTGAGAGCCGGACCAAGGATCCTAGCTGGGGAAAGACGGTGACCTCCAGTTGTTCTGCCCAGCTGAGTCGTGAAGGCTAGGTAGTGGTTACATTCCACGATCCAATCCTTGTTGTTATGGATTGTGGAAGGTAAAATCGCACCCCGTGCTCGATACCGCGAGTCTCCCAAGTTCGTCACAAAGAGAAGAGGGTGGTCTTGGCCCTTGCGAGATTTGGATGCCACGAATCACAATGGCTGGCTGTCGGGGTGAGAGTCAACAGTTGCTGCAGATCGCCGATCTGCACCCCTATGGGAAGCCAGTTATAGATATGGCGGGTGGAATGGAGATAAAGCCGCAGATGCAGAGTAAAATGTAGGGCGAGGGTGATACCAGGAGTGATACCAGGAGTGAGGGAGGGGGAGGGAGAGAGAGAGAGAGTGTGTGTGTGTGTATGTGAGAGAGAGTGTGTGTGTGCAAAGAGAGAGAGAGAGATGAAGAAAGAGAGGCACTGGCTCTGGCACCGCAACTTCCTCCCGCCTTCCTATTCTTCCTCAACTCCAACCTCGTCCATCGCTATCCACACCCCTCCCTTCCCCCCCTTTCTCAAACTCTTTTTTTTTTTTAATCTGCACCTGGCTCGATCTTATCATCTATAGAAGTTCTTCTGGACCCAGGGACTCCTTCCCCAACTTCAAGCTAATAAGAAAAAGCCCCGATCGGATCCACTCAATTCTTCAAGGCGGTGACGGACGATCGGCGTCACTGTCCTACGTTGGCTCCAAACTGCAGCTTGATTTGATTCCTTTATCTCTTGAAGCTCAGACCTGAAAGTCGTCTGTGAAATCCCGGCCTTCCGACCCCATTTTGCGGTCAGCGCAACCTGTAAGAACTCTTCCTCACCCAACGTGCTTTAACGCCTCTCTTGAGCTGTCCACTAACTCGTCTTTTCTGCTCTTCGTGACGCCAGAGTCTCATCTGTCTCGCTGCTACCTACTCCTCTTCCCTCGACTCCTATCCCCGAACCGTCTCGCCGCGTCTTTGGGTCTTTGGGTCTTTGTGCTGCCGTGTCGCCGTGTCGCAAACGACTTCCCCTCATTCTAAACCGCCTCCCCAGTCCCTCCAATAGCCATCTGTCGCTGTCCCTACCATTCCGATTGTGCAGGCCTGACCAATGTCCTCCCCATGTCAAACCCGCCTCCCGCTCCCGAACACTCCTTGCCTGACCCCCTGGTAACACCTGCTGCTCCCGCCCAACATGATTGCTCGGAGGCTGAGTTGTCGTCGGTCAACCCACGTCACCACTTGTCGCAGGACCAACACTTGTTGTCCCAGGGGGCTCAGCAGGAGACCCAGTCCCCATCGCGCGCCGAATCCCCCACCATCCGTCAATGGTCCCAGCCCACCCCGGCCTTCGCCCTAAAAAGGACCCATACCTTACCCTTGGAGACACTCTCCCGCCCCGACACTTTCCATAGCCCTCAATTGTCCGAACGTGACAGTATCTTTGCGACTCACTATCTCCCCTCGGAGAGCGGCGCTAATACCCCACAATTGCCCCCCGAGAAAGTCGTGGAGAATGACCATCAGGTCAATTTGATTCCTGGTCTCGATGATGTGCCCGGATCTCCAAGTCCTGCTTCCAAGGTCTCTCCCCTCCGTTCTTGCGTCGACCCTTCCCACATGGAAGTTGACGCCCGCAGACATTACCCATTGCGCCCTGCTTCTCACTACTCAACCTCTCGCCTTCCCCGCTTATCTCTCTTGCGCTCCTCTATCTCATCTGCGGATCAGCTGAAGGCTCAAGACGGAGAGACAAGTGTTACCGTGCACTCGGTGCCTGCGGGTGAAACAGGTACGAATTTTGGTGCTTTTGAGGACACTTTCACTGAGCGCAATCTACTTCCCTCAGCTATAGACGATGTCTCTCACTCTCCTGGCACGTTGACACCCTCAGCTGGCCACAACTGGCCATCGCCTGAGGGAGAAGCTGCGCCTTTCCCTCCCCTCGCAGATTCCAATCGAGGACATCGAGGACGGCTGGACAATTCCATTGAGGCCAATCTCACCAATGCGGAGCCAGCCTCTAACGTGCGCAGTCGAAAATCCAGCCATTATTTGGGTCTATTCAAGGAGAATACCACTTCCCCGGACCGCAAACGATGGGAAGACCGTGACCGAGCTCGGCTGCACGAAGGCTATGCCGATTTGAACTCCATGATGGATCTCGACCAGCAGAATTTGACGCCGTCGATAGACGAGGATGCGTCGCTCCGCAAGAGTATTTCGCTCCCCTCATTGAGTGATGGGCAAATCTTCGAGCCGCCCACCCCAGTCGACCATCCGCCTCGCCAAGCAGATCATGAAGATCCCTTCAAGCGTCACCCACCGACATTGCCTCTGAGTCTCCTAGAAGAAATACGAAACTTCCACCTCACCCCTGGCGGAGGCCGCGGCTCTTCATTCTCCAGAAGTATCCCAACGCAATATACCGAACGCAGTCGGGATTATTTCCAGGCAGAACCTCACATTGAACGCTTTAACGAATCTTTAAGCTCTCTTGATGAAGGGGCAGATCAAAACTCACCCCAATTCGATGATGAAGAGGAAAATGAGCAAATCTCATCCGCAGTCTACTTTCCCCATGAAAGAGTTGCTGTACCCGAAGAAGACCAGAGGAAAGAGCCGATAGAGGCGGACTCCCATAGTGTTCAGATATCAGCTGCAGAGACAGGCCACGAACTGATGTTGGTACCCCAAGAGCGTAGCAAATCTTCCCAGCAGGAGGTCGGCCATGTGGATATATCCTTTCGATCTAAGAATGAAAGTAAAATCCTTCATGGCGATCTGTCCGGTCTTCGATGTCCGTCAGATGGCATACCGGAAAAGCCTCTGGATACGATTTCTGAATACAGCTACGATCACGGTGACAAATCTACTACCGACTCCGAATCTGTATCTGCCGATGAAAGTGTACACTC